TGCTTATTTTACATTTCAATATTGATATAAGATCCCTATGTATCATTTCCCTTAAATTGGTGAAATTTACACCATTAATAAGTGAGAACATACCCCCTCATTGGAGCAGACGTTTTGTACGACTTTTCGTTGACATTGATAACTGGTCCCGGGCAACTGGCAGTGGTTCATCAACTCATAGTATCCCTATCATGTCATCATGTAGATAGTCTTTAAAAAACGATTATTTGAGCTAATGACACTTAAATATACAACATTTGGTAGCCCTGGATGTCTTGGCGCTGAGCTAGTTTGACACCCTTTGGAGGGAATTCCCTGGGAAACCCCTTGAGGTCATTGAGTGCATATGATTAAATAAATAATTTATTTAATAAATTTATCTGGTGTTTTCCAGTGGTTTATTTCATTTAAGCCAAAAGGACATCAAAACAATTAATAACCAGTCTTACCCTGTGATTCAAGCACTGCCAAGCACATCCAAGCATCAATCAAGCACCATTGGGACTTTATTCCAGCACCATTTAAAGGCAGAAGCAGATCTAGCAAAATCCAGATGGTTACTCTTTACAAAAATTGTTTAGTTTCCAAATATTTTGGACTCATAGCATTCCTTGTCATGCCTATTTTCATGGGCTTTCAATATTCTATTTCAATATTCCAAAGTACATGTAGCTCAGCTGTATTATTTGAGAAAAACTTAAGGATTTTTACAATAATACATTCTATTTTAATTTTATGGTTACCATTTTTATTTGGGAGAATTTAAACAATTTTCCCCATTTTGGCACATTGAATCCTAATTGATAATTTCACCAGTTAGGTATCATGGAGCTTTAGGGAGATATCATATTTTAATTTTAGCCCGAAGGAATATACATGTACATGTATTGGTAGGTCAACTGTACATGTCGCTTGCAATTTGTCTCTCCCAATAGATCTGATTCTCCCTTTAACTGTTCTTTAAATAATTTGAATGTTATACTATGTAATTTTTAAATTAATATGTAATATGCCGCACTGGGACCTAAGGACCCATGTGCCACTGCTGTACCGCACTGGGACCTAAGGACCCATGTGCCACTGCTGTAAAAGTGTGTGAAAATAAATAAAAAAATAAACATTTTAGATGAAACTATGTTTATGCTTCTATAAAAAGCCAAAATAAAAGTGAAATGTGAATACTATATCAAGTTATTTGGGAATTGAACCCAATCCAAGGAATGATTAGTTCCATGGTGTAAGCCTACACAACTTGCAGGATATTTGTATAATCACATCACATTACTTTTGACTTTTCCTTGAAAATACTTTCCGGTTTCACAATGACATGGGACCTTCTAACAAAGATAAGTACATGATGTAGCATTATATGTTTGTTGGTGTACACTAAACTTCCAGCTTGGTGCATCAGAAATCAAAGTTGGGTGGAGTGTGCCAGGGTACCATCATTCTTTCTCATTGTCATGTTGCCTGGGATCACCAGAAATCATAATCAGGTTGGGTGTGCCAGAGTTGAAAAAAATAAAACAATCCAAAATTTAAATTTTTCCCTTTGCATTTCTCAATAAATATTTTTTCAGAATATTCTTCAATTTTATACTTAAAAGTTAAACATTGAGACAAATATAATCTAAATATGTATTTAAAATAATTATCTCACCATAGGGGATGGTTGGGTAGTGCTTGGAGGACCACTGACGAATCTTCTGCTACTTGCAACAACTCTGCATCGGTCTCATAATCTTTAAAAACTGCTGCGTTTTTTTAACTGTAGATAAAAAAATAAAGATATTCATACAATATATTAAATTGACCCTTATTTTAATGTGGTTTAGTTAAAATTAGTGTACGCCTCGGAGTGTTCAGTAACCCTGGCCTGGATAGTTTATCCTTACATTTTATCAACTTCAAGATAATTGAAATGTAGATACAAATATCAAGTTGTTTGAGAATCGAACCCAGTCCAAGGAATGTTTAGTTCCATGGTGTAAGCGCACTGGTGGATCCAGGGGATCCAAGGGGGGCCATGCCCCCTCCCCCCTTATGGGGGCCCAGAAAAAAAGTTAGGGTCCCAAAAATTTTTGTGCACATGACTTAGCATTTCTGGACTTTTTAGGTCAAATTATAAAAAAATAGGCCTAATTTTTGGTTTTAAATCTTTTTGCCGACATGTAATGTGCCCCCCTCTGTTGGCTTCTGGATCCGCAAGTGAAGCCTACATAACTTTGAATGATATTTGTATATTATAAAGACATTGTGTTTTATTTCAAGCTCTCACATGAATTCCCAAATTAATAGGCTAATTAAAATAATCTACTCAAGAAAGCTAAATTTTTGCATGACACTCATGACTTGATGAGTAAAGTGGCAACAAGGCCTGTAGAGAGTAAATAGGAAAATTTCAACTTTTTCTGAGCTATCAAGGCAGCATTTGGCTTAATATCTTCTTTGACATACCTTTTTTCTTAAAATGTAAGGATAAACTATCAATTTCAGCATTAAGAAGTGTAAATTCAGTTCAAAGCTTCAAAAAGGGGAAATCCACTTTTATATAACAGTATATCAGCACATCTTGGATTGCTTTTGGTTTGGCTAATGAAATGCGTGGCCTCTTATACTAGTATTAGTACTAGACGTGTGAATCAGAATTAACAGAAGTATTCAACAGTATAAGGACTGTGTCGGACATTTTTTAAAAGCCTATATGTAAATGTTGTAAAAAGTTATAATCAAAAAACTATCTTTCGGAGTAAAGTCCATCTGCGCCGATTTCAATAACTTCTTACTTGATCAGAACTGGGTTCCAACAGAATTCCTTCAAACTCATGAATGAAATAGTCATTGCATGGAATACTTACTTTTGTCAAAATCAAAGTAGAACTCTAGTTAAAAAATATATTGTGCTAAATTATTGCCATTTCCTAGTAAAATGTCATTCTCCAGTACGACCCCAAAATTATTCGATGGCACCCCGTGAAAATATACCCAAGAATTTATATTTGGTAGGTTATTTCAGTCTGTGGGGTGTTTTTAAAACTCAAAAAGTATTTTTTGATTCAATACTGTATAACTTATGCAGTGATCTCCCCAGCATTAAAGGAAGCAGGGCTGTCAACTTGGGACCACCTAATATGAGTGACTTCAAAATGTTGGACACCTAAGTCCAAATCTGAACACTTTTGTCCAAATTTTGAACACCTTTGGCCAACTTTTAAACACCTTTGGCCAAAGTTTGAGCACCTTTGCCAAACTTTGAACACCTCAAATTTTTCGCGCTCGCTACGCTCGCGATGTCGTCAACGGGGGGGGGGGGGGGGGGGGGGGGGGGGGGGGGTAGGTACGAAAAATTTCCAATGAACATGCGTGACACATACGGGATTCGCGTGACAAATCCGAACAAATTGCGTTCGGTTTTTCCAGGCGTTCGTATTTTTACCGTATCGTAAACATATTTCGAAAAAAATTCTACAGAAATATTTTTGCTTGACAATTACCAGCTAAAATGCGTATTTTGCGTGACATTTTCTGTCACGCAAAAAAAACTGGCGTGACTTCAAATTCTTCTGCAAATGCGTGACAAATACGCAAATTGCGGGACAGTTGACAGGCCTGAAGGAAGTGGGCGCAGCACCCACCTGAGACTTTGAAAATAGGCTTGCACCCACCTGGAAATCCATTTGCACCCACTTGAAAATGACAAAAATCATAAAAAATGGGCACATTTTGACCAATTTTGGTCTAAATTGTGAAAATGAAAATTTTGCACCCGCGTGTGAAAAAATCCTGTGGAGATCACTGTTATGTGTACTCTACTTACATGTACAACCATTATTGGTTGTAAAATATCAATGAGGTAAGTCCCTAGGGGGTTCACTTCAATATTTTAAGCATTTTTTCGATGTTAATTTCCTCTCAAGTTTGAAACTTTCAATGTTAAATTCCTCTCAGACTTATAAAAGTCTATTTTATTCCTCTCAACTTCATAGATGTCCATGTCAAATTCCTCTGGAGTTTGCTGGGACTAAATTTTCAGAAATACTGGTAAATTGACTAAAAATTCACTTTTCGGCTGATTTGTCCCGACCCTCGACAACTGATTTAGCCAATTTAGTACCATTTTTTGTAGAAGAACTGATTTTTGACCTCAAAAAGGTACTCTCGTAGAGTCGTAGACAATTTTTCCATTTTTTCTCAGATTCGCCAATTTCCATGGTTGATGCCCAAAGCCAAAATTGGCCGTGCTGCACATACATTCCAAAATTATTTAGAATGAACCCTCCGGAATCAGTCCCATTCTATTAGAGCCTAGACCTACTGAGGGACTTTATTTTTGGTAGTGCACATTAGCAATATTTGTACAAGACAGACATCCTGACCATGTTGTTGTTAGGGACTACTGATCTATCAGTACTGGGTAAGGTCTAGAGTAACCTAGACCAAAGGATCAAATGAGGTTATGTCTTCGAGTCTGAGTACTTCTTTGCCCTTGTTGGTTTGTACTTGGGCATGATTCTGTTTTTCTGACGGTGTGGAACTGCAATAAAAAATAAACGTTCAGGCTATTTTAATTCTAAGGGAATGTCAAACACCTAAATAACTCACAATTTTAAGAGAAACCCGTGTTTAGTCATCACAAACATAGACAGTATCAAGTATGAAGCTGAAAATGTGAATATATATGGGCGATATTAGGTGAAATTACGACGTATAATTCTATCTATTTCCTTTCCAGAACGACAGAGACATGAATATATACAATAAAATGTTTCTTTATAATCGATTCTTACTTATAGCAAGCTATGCACAATCAAGTATTTATATTAACGGTGATATTCTAAATAATAACGAGAAATTCAGCAAAATCTCACTTTACTCTCAGGAAGTAGAACTGGCGCATGCGCACTCGCTAAGTGGGTCATCATGTATTTAGATAAAGTAAGTTAATAAGTATTAGGTTGACCATTTCATCACTTTATTGCATTATCATACATACATTTTTTCTTGGTGATAATACGATCATGATTGTTGCTAGTACTGATTATTAGAAATATCTATACTTGACTCAGCATCACATATTATCGCCCACCATCCATGCGATTACACAATTTAAAATTACACAATTTGTATAAAATTGATCCTTTTTTCAGATCTGTGACTGCGTATCCGTTACATTTGAAACGAGGTAGTCCGTTCTTCATTAGGTAAGTGAATAGACATAGACATAAAATTACTGGTTCATTTTTTATGAAAAGTCATGGCCAATTGTCCATAGGCACAGAAATTACAATCATCCTTGAAATTTCTTCGACAACTTTGGCCCTCTAAAATAATAAATTAGTATAATATTCACCACATGATTTCATCAATCTTTCATATTTAATCGATGACTTGATTTTACTCATTTGGTGATTCTAAATTGAAGTTTGAACATATTGAAATCAAGTTCAATACTTTTAGGAAGATCCGGGGAGGGGGGGTACTCCCATATATTGGCTATATGGGGAGTTGGGGACGTGCCGCTAAAGTTGGTCACTTTTTGAAGAAAAACCCTAGATATGGGTCCCATTTTGATGAAAAAATCCCTAGAACTGGGTCTATTTTTGAAAAATCCTAAAACTGGGTACTGTTTTTGGAAAAAATCGCGGGAAGTGGGTCTTGTTTTTTAAAAATTATCTTGAAGTGGGTCTATTTTTGAAAGAAAAACCCTAGATGTGGGTCCATTTTTAGAGAAAAAATCCCTAGATGTGGGTAGATATTTTAAGTCTCAGCGGCACCTGTACAAGAATTTGACCAGTACCCCCCGGGGAAGATCAAACCTAGAATTTGATAATTTGGACTTGCTTCACTGCAGAATTGAAATGAAAAGGTACACCTTTGATAATAACCATGTCATAATTGGTTTTATTATATTGAATAAAAAATTATCAAGGTTGAATTGAGATATTCAAGATTGAATTTGAAAATCAAGATGGAATATAAGAAAATCAAGATCTCATAGAATTTTTCGAAATTGAATTTTGACACTTAGAAAATTCAATACCTCAGAGCTGAGTTCTTCAGATTATACTGTACAATATACTGTACATGTTTTGGCCTAAAAATACACACAAGCCATGTACATGTATACAGTAATTGCACATGGACCTCAATTAAATGCATTGTTCATTTCATTGTACATATGCATATCATGCAAGTGTACTTGTTCACTTACACAACTGTACATGTACCTACGGTCATTCTGATCTCTTCAGAAGCTGCCACAATGGACAGTGAGACAGCAAAGGTGAAGAACCGTGATGACTGGCAATGGAGCCCTCAAAAACGTAGACTCGGTGAACTAGACTATTTCTTTGAGGAAGGAGATCTAGTATGTTATGCGAAACATACCAACACTCCTCTGGATGGAGTTGATTGGCTGGATAATTTGAACAAAGTGCCGGAGTTTCCGTGTAGTTTGGCAAATTGTAATAAAGTCTTTGATACTCTAGTCAGTTATGAGCTCCACTATAACAGTTGCCATAGGAATGTCTGTCAGGAATGTAAACGATCATTCCCTTCAAATCATCTCCTGGATATACATCTTCTTGAATGGCACAATGCTTTGTTTGACTCCATGGCAAAGAACCAAAACATGTATCAGTGCCTCATAGAAACATGCACGGAAAAGTTCAACTCATCAAAATCCAGGAAGGATCATCTAATAAAGGTTCACAAATATCCATCTAATTTCCGGTTCGATAAGCCACGCAGTAAATCAAAGGCTAAAAAGAAAACTGACAAAGATCTTGAAAATATGGAGGTTGCCCAATGTGGTAGTTGTACTGACAAACCAAACATTGAATCTATGGATATAAACGAACCAGCATCAAATGAAAACACAAAATCTCAACCTAAGCGTATATTCAGCTACAAAGTGCCTGAAAATATATCATTTGGGCAGGGAATATCTCGAGGTTTTCACCGTCCAAGGGGACGAGGACGTGGCCATGGGGGTAAGGTGAACCCTAAGAAACAGTGGTATAATGCAGGCAAAGATCCTGATATGGACACAAGTGTTAATATTGATGAAGTAAAGATGGATGATTTAGCTTCTGCTTTAGATACTGTCGAAAAATGACATGTTATAAATTGTGATATCACATGGAGTCGCGAAATAAACATTAATGCAAGAGTATTTTCGATGGAATTAAATGCCTTAAAAACTGGGTGCTGTAAATTCATAATGAATCATGAAGTCCAAGAATGAAAAAGATTTAGCTGTATAGCTTTGACAATACCTGTTCTCAATTTGCATAAATAAACATGTACATGTAAATAGTATTTGTTGGATAATTATTAAAAGAAATGTACAGTATACAATTGTTGACCTCTCGAGAGATCAACCGACAAAATTGTATACCGAGACTGTAAACCGAGAAACTACTGTTGACAGAGACCGAAGGTCGAGGTCAACAGCAGTAGTTTCAAGGTTTACAGTCGAGGTATATGATTTTGACGGATGACCGAATGGAGAGGTCTACAATTGTTTTGTTAGTCAGAAGAAACTAATAATGCACATATAGACGATAATCATCAATCATGGCTTCATTTCACAATATTGTCTTCGAACCACACCAGCGATAATTTTTTTAAAAAAATATGAAGACAGTGGTAGTTAAACTCTCTGTTTTCGGCACATCACTGCGTACTCACAAGTAAATTAATGTTAATTTTACGTTTCTATTTGTATTTTTGCTATACTTGTCGTCTAGTAAAGACAAAATATCATCAATGTTTACAATATGTCGGTCTACCATGTTTTTTCTGTAAACATTATGACGTCATATTCCCCATAATTCACAAGTCTAGTACGTAACATACGCGGTCAATAATATGATATCCCTTGATGCACAGGTGGGGTACAGGCAAAAATGTTGACCGCTAATTGACCAATCAGATGGAAGTATTTACACTGAGGTGCTAACAATTGTATATAGTACATTTTGATCAAGTTTATTTGATTTATTGTTACTACTTTGTAAAGTTTGCACAATATTTCATGTTAGTTGATTTACTATCAATAAATTCTTCTTTACAATTCAATTGTAGAATTCAAAGTTGATTCAATTTTACTTTCTTATGTAATGTTTGTCAGAGCTTCAATGACTCCCTGTTAGATGATATTATTTGCTTGAAAAATATATGCACTCCCAAGTTAATATTAGACACTAATATTTACTCCTAAACAAAACATATTATTCATTCTGGAGCTCACAATGAATTATTTTTGGTGTATTACCAGTGAAATGGTCCGAGGTTGCTTTTGGGCAATGGTCAGTGCTGAGTATAGTGTAAAAAGCCAAATTCAATGTGGATTGTTGAAAATGACTTCACAGCCTCAGATCCTACGCCTGATACTCTTCTGACCCAGCTACCAAAGCTTAAAGCTATGGTGCTTGATAGTTACTTGCTATTCCAGGGTTATTTACAACATGCTATTCCATATTCCAGGGTTATTACAACCTGATATTCCAGGGTTATTATAACTTGCTATTCCAGGATTATTACAACTTGTTATTCCAGGGTTATTTACAACTTGCTATTCCAGGGTTATTACAACTTGCTATTCCAGGGTTATTACAACGTGATATTCCAGGGTTATTACAACTTGATATTCCAGGGTTATTACAACTTGCTATTCCAGGGTTATTACAACTTGCTATTCCAGGGTTATTACAACTTGCTATTCCAGGGTTATTTACAACTTGCTATTCCAGGGTTATTACAACTTGCTATTCCAGGGTTATAACAACTTGCTATTCCAGGGTTATTACAATTTGCTATTCCAGGGTTATTTACAACTTGCTATTCCAGGGTTATTACAACTTGATATTCCAGGGTTATTACAACTTGCTATTCCAGGGTTATTACAACTTGCTATTCCAGGGTTATTACAACTTGCTATTCCAGGGTTATTACAACTTGATATTCCAGGGTTATTACAACTTGCTATTCTAGGGTTATTACAACTTGCTATTCCAGGGTTATTACATATGTGTTAATAATATGAATATTTTACAAGGTGAAACAATCTGAATGATTAAGAGGTCATCTAAAAGTTTTTGCACTAAATTCTACATGTCCTTTTACTCACTCCTGGATCAAGTATCCTCCCTTTTTAACAACTTTCAGAAATATCGTTCACCACCAACTCACTGGAGGCAATTGCATGTACAGTTTAGTGCAACCTCTATGAATAGGCACCTTATATGGTACAGTAGCTGAGTAAAGACTTTGTTATTCTTAATATTCATCAAATACTCATGATCAATACGCATAGTCTATACTCAAAATCCAGTACTCATTCCACTCTCAACACTCCCCCAATGCCCATCCTAATTCAAAACCCAATACTCATTTCACAATCAATATCAACATTATACTCATCCCATTCTCAACACAATACACTCATTCCATATTCAACACTCATTCCACACTCAATACCAGCATAATACTCATCCCATTCTCAACACACAATACTCATTCCATATTCAAAACTCATTCCACACTTAACACCAACATTATACTCATCCAATACTCCACACAATATACTCATTCCATATTCAACACTCATTCCACACTCAATATCAACATTATACTCATCCAATACTCAACATAATATACTCATTCCATGTTCATCACTCATTCCACACTCAATAATTACATTATACTCATCCAATACTCAACACAATATACTCATTGCATATTCAGCACTCATTCCACACTGCACTCAATACCAACATTATACTCATTCCATACTCAACACTCATTCTTTACTCAATATTTACATATAATATGTGCAACCTCTATGAATAGGCACTCAAAATGGTGTAGTAGCTGAGTAAAGACTTTGTTATTGTTAATATTCATCAAATACTCATGATCAACACTCAAAGTCTATACTCAAAACCCAATACTTCACAATCAATACCAACATTATACTCATCCGATACTCAACACAATATACTCATTCCACATTCAACACTCATTCCACACTCAATATCATCATTATACTCATATAATACTCAACACAATATACTCATTCCATGTTAAACACTCATTCCACACTCAATACCATCATTATACTCATCCAATACTCAACACGATATACTCATTCCATATTCAACACTCATTCCACACTCTATACCAACATTATACTCATCCCATTCTCAACACACATTACTCATTCTATATCCAACACTTATTAATATATGAATACTCAACACTTTCTTGACATTATGTTTCAGTATTAACCAAAACAATACACTGACAATGCCTGACAAGAAAGGAGAGAGCCCCACCGTGGATGAGACAGAAAAGCCAAAGTTGAAGCCATGCTGTGCATGCCCAGAGACCCGTAAACCTAGAGACCTTTGCATGGTGGAGAAGGGAGAGGAACATTGCTCAAAAGAAATAGAAGCACACAAGGAATGTATGCGTAAAATGGGATTCAAAGTATGACATGATCCGTAATCATTAGGCAATTTGTAAATACATATTACATACAGTATATTTATAAATAATACAGTACTATTAAGAGGATTATCTAATTATGGATGCGTGTTTCTATCCACCAGAAACTGAGTTTTGTGGATTGAAAGTGTGGATTTTCAACAATAGATATACATTGTACCCAAGTACAGTACTCATATGGGTATCTCCCTAAGTACTCTTATAAGGGTTATCTCATTATGGATGCGTGTTACTATCCACCAAAGTACAGTACTCATATGTGGGTATCTGCCCACAAAATGGACACCAATAACGATAATGCAAAACATGCGTGCTGTGGAGGAATGTTTTAAACTGATATACAAGTTTTGATTGGAATGTATAAATAAACAAACCATTTGAAATATTCATATCTTGAATTACTTGTTTTTTTGTCAAAAATGTTAGTCATCATTGATGGTGCTTCGTCATCATTGAGGATACCCTGTCATCATGAAAATATTATTGTCAATGATGATATTAAAATGCATGTACATTCATCAATGATGAGATATTCTGAATCAATGATGATTTCCCATTATCAAAGATGGTATCATACACAGTAAAGCCTGTCCAATCCAAATGCCAAAATTAGTGTGTCAAGTTAAAATGATGTAATTGTGGCCTTCGAAGATATTAAACTCCTTATTAGTTTTACGCGCATATCCGCGAGACGTTGAATTCCAGCTTGTAAATTTATCAATGACGCTTTCAAATAACTTGTTCCATTTTGCTTGACAACTGTCTTGTCCTGGACATGGGCATTCAATAGCTGAAAGCCCATGTCCTGGAGTATATAATATATTATATTCATTGAGCCTAGACACCAAGAAGAGGTATCTGGCAGAGGTCCGTGAATTATCCCATGTTAGGAGATGACCCCAGTCACCCATTATGAAACCATTGTAAAAGAAACTATGGTCCCCTGGGGATTATGGTCCCCTTTCTTCACGACCCTTATACGCGTACTGGCCCTGACTATGTATAAATAATAGGGAAAATAATTGTAATTAGGTCACCATATTAATCAATAGAGAGTAAGACCAAAATTTGATAGGACCACCTACCGGGTTGTGTAAAAAACCGGCTGACCGGGTACCTAACGATCCTAACAGGGTTACCAACTTTCAAAGTTCCACATTTCCCCCGATATATACAGGGTGTCCAAAAAAAACAGGACCGTAAGAAAGTTGAATAACTTGGTCAATTTTGCATATTTTGCCTCAAAATTTTAGAATTATTTAGATCATTCAATGTGAATTTTGTTCTGAAAGTTTGATGATAATCCGTTTATTGTGTCAAAAACTACAGTACTTTACAAAACATGCTCAAAGTGGGCACAAAGTCGTTAATGACCCTGACCTATACACATTAATGTGGATGGTAAATTTTGGAGTAGTTATTGCCCTCTTAAGATTGTTAGGGGCCTGTCAGTATACACATTGGCTTTGAGAAATCCTCAAAGATAAAAATTTGGGGGATTTAGATCTGGTGAATGAGCTGCCCATATGGTTTGCGCATGCGTTCTGCAACTGATGAGCTGACCACCAAAGCATTGCCTAAACCATTTCAGCATATCATTTGCAGTGTTGGGGTGGTATTGGCTTGTTGAAACCACTGCTTAATTAGGTAAAGATTAAAAGGTGGATTGGATCGAGTGGATTGGATTCATGTAAAAGGTGGATTGGATTGGCTATCTTCAAAATATGGATTTTCCCTTAAAAAATTCTATTGATCTCCCTTTAGGAAGATTGGTGCTCTCTTCACTTGCACAATGTCAAATGAAAGATGTAATATTATTTTGCTTGGGAGGGCTAGAAGGATGACCTGGTACCCGCTTTCTGATACACGATCTTATTCATTCCAAGTGTGAGACATTTCATAAATCATAAGGCAGACTGGTTTGAAGATCCATATCATCTGTTTTCAATCCAAACTGAACATACCAGAAATGTTTTGTGAACATTCACACATCAATTTGAATGACATGTTTTCTTTTTCTAAAGATCTATGTCTTACAAAAGTTGATTTACAAGGGAAAGCGGTTAAATATTTAAGAGTGTCCATGAACTAATTGGAGTATGTATTTGTCATTGGTTTGTTCTGATTTCTCAAAAGGGACCTGTAATACTGTAGAGGGAAATTGTTTAGAGGGAGATCAACAGAATTTTTTTATAAGAAATTCCACATTTTGAAGATTCCCGATCCAATCCACCTTTTACATGGATCCAATCCAATCGATCCAATCCACCTTTTAATCTCTACCCTTAATTATCTCCTTAGATGTCCCTTCTAGTGCTTAGTGACCTCCAAAACTTGGTGAGAACTTACTGGTCCTTGTTCATGGTGATAGCTAGTGGTGTCAATTAACCGCTTGAGCATTAACCGGTTAACCGGGGGTTTTTACCGGTTAAAGTCGGTTAACCGGCGGGAAATTTGAACTTATAATTTCAAATGAAATCTTCATCTTCGATCTTGAAAGTTGAAAAAATTGGAAAAATGAGATATCGGCGTTTATTTTTTACGTTCGTCAAGCTTTACGCTATTCTATGTAAGAAAGCGCGGGAAAGCAATGTGGCAGGGATTAAAGTTGCTGATAGGATGTTTGTAAGGAATTATCGGACCTATCACATGTATGAGTAGCTCACATGAAACTGACGCTTGAAAAACAAACAGATTAAAATGCAAAGTAAGCGCGGGAAAGCAATGTGGCAGGGATTAAAGTTGCTGATTGGATGTTTGTAAGGAGTTATGGGACTTATGACATGTATGAGTAGCTTATGTGAAACTAACACCATAAAACCAAACGGATTAGCATGCAAAATAAGCGCGGGAAATAACAGAATTATACACGGTCAACTAACCGCCCATAAAAACTCAGACCGGTCAAGGCATTATCGGCGGTTAACCGGTTAACCGGTTAATACTTGACACCTCTAGTGATAGCACGTCCCCAGTCACCTTCGAACCAAAAGGGACTGATGATTCCAAGTTTCCTCATTGCCACCCAGGTAGTGCATTGTTGAGAATGCAATGGATGCTGTAACACTTCATCAGGAGGATGTAAGTCCCAGTAGCAATTATTCTTGGAACAAACGTGTCCATTCAGAAAGACATGAGTGTAGGAGGATCATCAACAACTTTGTTCGCCAGATTGAATTGTGCATAGAGAGGAGAGGTGCACATTTGGGGCATGTTTTGTAAGGAGCTGTTGTTTTTGACTCAAGTTGAAGATTATTATCAAACTTTCACAACAAAATTCACATTGAATGAACTAAATAATTCTGAAATTTCAAGGCAAAATATGCAAAATTGACCGAGTTATTCAACTTTCTTACGGTCCTGTTTTTTTTGGACACCCTGTAGTAGCGAATTGACTTGACAGACTTAGCCTATCGAGTGCACTGCTGTTCGATATTTTTACCCTATACGAGACAGAGCACTTTTTGAAATAATCGATCCAGCAAACAGTGACGTCCATGTCACGTTGCTGATAAGTAGCATATAAGTTCCTAGAAGACATTGCACATTTTCGTTCTTTACACATCGAGGCAACGTAAACATGAGACATCTATTGATGGTATAAAAAGAACGTTGTTGTAACGTGTCCGTAAAGTTCGTTAGTGTGGAAAACATAACAAACAGGAACGTTTGATTTTTTACTATATTGGTCCATATGTGACGTAATTCAAACGTTAAAATTCAACGTTGTCAAAACAGGCTTTTAATATCAAAATATTTGTTGGTGGAAAAAAACATGACAAAAACTTTATGTTCTCACTAAGTCGGTTCATTTCCGACGTATTGTTAACGTTAAAATTTAACGTTTTCGAAACGTTTTTTCGATTTGAAATAACCTCAAACGTGACGTCAATAATGACGTTAATGGACCGTATTGATCTGACGTTATTTAGATATTCAGCAAAACGTCGATGGATGGTTGAATTTCAAGATTGTGGAAATGGCTTCAAATATTTGTGAGTTAAGGAAACGTTACAAAGACGTCAATATGTTCTCACTAAATCGGTTCATTGCCGACGTTATTTTAACGTTAAAAGTTAACGTTGTCAAAACGTTCTTATGGTGTGAAATAACCTCAAAACGTGACGTCGAAAATAACGTACATGTATCGTCCAGATCCAACGTTATAAATAAAAAATTCCTAACCCTGCTAGGAACGTTAAGTACCCGGTCACCCGGTTTTTTACACAAACCCCCACCTACCCTTTTACACGGGCAACCCAATCTATGTCCGCTAAACAATGACTGTGTTATTATCATATACTTTCCTGATATGTATTTGTAACTTTGTAATTGAAAGCACGCTAATATCACAGTACCGCACGGTACATTCAGAGATAGGTACCGTATGGTATCGTTCGAGTATGGTGCTGACGTATAGTGTTCACGGTACCGCATGGTCGTTTTAGTCTTCGGTACCGTACGGTATCATATTTTACGGTACTGTACAGTGCCGTATACAAAACGGTACCGTACAGTACTGTTAACATGGGCTGTGTACTTAATGATTTGCCGCATATTTACGCAAAATGAAATCTTGCAATGAAATGAACCTACAGGGTGATCAATAAGTAAGATCAAAAGTGCTCTCATTTTTGTAAACATTAATGAATCTGGCTCATTTTCTCACAGAATGTTGATCTAATAATTATGTATACACAAAATAAATTACATCACGTTTCATTCAATATTCTGCGTTTTATGGTTACCATGGCAACACAAGTTGTGGGTACCCGGAGCAGTAAAAAAAATAAAGAAATGTTGTGATGTTTTCTGTCTTTATGGTTTTATACTCTGGAAATACCCCCATATTTTGTTCAACACATTTTAAGAGACATTTAATCTAGGCCATGAACACATGTTTGAAGGCACCTTTACTCGTCACACGCATTCTGTTGAATACCACCTTTTTCAGATCCTCTTCTGTCTTGAGAAATTTTTCCCGGAATTCAGATTTTAAGTCCCCATAGAAATACAAGTTTATTTATTTTATACACCCAGTTTATTTTAGTTGTTCGATCCCCTGTTTTCCAATTTCTTCTGGGTTTTTGCTGCATGGCAAGGCGAATTATTCCGATGCAGGATGAAGTGATTTGCCAACTCTGGTTTTGTCTTGGAAATGTCATTCAGACGTGTGTTCATGGACCGGATTAAACATCACCAAAAATGTGTTGAACGTAATAGCAAATATATAGGACACCTCAAGTAAACACCTGAGAAATTATAAAACAAGAATGTACATTTTTGTACAAGAATGCATTGAATATAACAAAATGTCATGATATTTCCAAAGTATGAAACCATTAAGAAAGAAAACATCATAATATTTTCTTCTTTTTTGACTGCTCCCTCGACATGGGTTATGGTTACCATAGAACGCAGAATTTTAGATGTAACGTGTTGAAATTTACTTTCTGTATGCATAATTATTGGATTAACATTCTGTGAGAAAATGAGCCTGCTTCATTAATATTTACAGAAATTAGAGGACTTTTGATCTTACTTTATGATCACCCTGTATATGACGACAGCTAATGTCTTTAATTTTTTCAATCCGCATAATTTAATAAACTACACTTTTCCACGACTTATAAATTACAAAGGATCTAGTATCCATCATTTTACTTAAGATTGAGAATAAACACAGTCATAAACATTCATAGGGCACATTTTTCTTGAAATATTTGTCATAGCGCGCTTCGCCAATTTTATTTACTTACCTTTTTGAAAACGACATCCTTTGAAATGAGGTGAAGTTTTAACCTATTCATACATCACTTATAAAAGTATTTTACTGAAAAAATTCAATGGTTAAACAAAAAGAATTCGACAACCTTTTGACAAGGAAGTGAAGCAGTTATTAAATTGTATACTGCATAATTTTACATTACCGGTTCTACAAACTGACGAGGTCAAGGTTTATAAATTTTTCAAAGAATCTAACATAATTCAGTTTTTTCTGATACGCTAGGCTTGATTGGGAATAGAACTTAACTAGCAACCTGTCGTATATCAAAAAGGAGTAAACCGTCGTATATCAAAAAAGAGCAAACGTCAAATCCCAAACATTAGCAAACATCGTATATCTAGAAAATCTGAATCAATGTCAAACAATCCAGAAAAAGAAATGTATTTATAATGCGACTGAGCTTCTCCTGAAACTACAACTCTTGGAGAAGAAACTAAGCTGAGGGTCTAACTAGAAGCATGGCAGATGCGGACATATATGACGTTGTTGATGATGCCGAACGTGAAGGTGTAGAAGAGATCACTGATTATAATGAGGCGTCCCATTATGCTGTAAGTGCACATTGTAATATCGGCACCAAGAAGTAATGACATATTAGGAAGTCGTTGTTTTTGTGAGTGGAGGCGCTCGGGGTCTGTAACGTACATGTTTTATAGAGCTGTTTCAAGTAAGCCGTGTGGGCATTGGGCTTACCGTTCACCACATTCACCACTTTGTACATATGTAAATACTTTTGAACAGACGGCGGGGTATGGTAAGGAAACATGTCCCTCACTACTCCAAATACTAAGAATTAATCAAATCAACTGACTGAAAAATTAATTACCAAGATTAGTCACGGTGGCGAACGGTGAGCGCACACGGCTGATGTGACAACTACTTTTCACCTCTGTAACTTTTTGTAACAACGTTTTATTGTGGTGACATTTTGACACGTTAATGCTGGTTTAATTCTTTATGCTATCGAGAATTTTTGATTCTTTCACAGGTGGACTGTGAAAATTGTGTACCTCTACTGTATATCTCAAACTTCGAAAACTCTATGTGAAATGGTGTCCAGTTGAAGAATATACAATTTACATCGAATGAATAAGGCTATTCTATAAATGTTTTAAGGTCGTACAGTTTTATACAAAATCATTCACGAGGTTTTTATATGGAAAATGAATGGTTAAGACGTTTTCAAGATAACTCGGTGAAATGTTAAAATGAAGTCATGTCCAAATTCTGAAGAAATGATTTTCATACTATTTATTTCAAAAGACTGCACCAATAGTTTTTATATGTTTTAATAAAATACAAACAACCTTTTATAAAGGCCGATATAGCTCGCTGCTCTTAACCTAATACGTCTAGGTGTGTCGTAGGCTGCCTATGAAAACTGTTATTATGTGTTTCTTAAGACCATACATAGCGGTTTTGCATTCCTTAGCATTATGAATCATTAGCGCTATTAGGGAAGTAAAAATGTACAAGTAAAACAAATCAAATATGCGTACCCAAAGGCCATTTATAACGTTATCTGGTTTCAAGATTCGACCAAAAATTAAATTAGAACTATTCAAATTCGTCCTCCTAGCTATAGTTTTTTGTCAAACTGTCAACACTTGTAGTGAAAGAATGATTATTTATTGTCAAGTTTATTACCTCTATATACCTCTACCTCTGTTTATGTCTCATACTGGCTCTGATCGAGGAAAAAGAGTTATATTTACTATATAAATCATAGGACAATTTTAAAGGACTGATATACTAAATCTAGGATTCACATAGAGGATCTGGTGTAGTTTACTTGTGTCCTTGCTACATGAGTTTTTTTAAATTTATTTCATGATAATATACCAATGTAATGTACAAAGATACCCCATCCCCGCTGCATTTGTAGTAACTAAATAACGGTGAATGTGGTTAGATCCCTCTTTTATTCAAGTAAAGGTCACATATAAAAGAAACAGAATCTAGATTCTCAGTGCAATGTATTTTATAGGCTGAAGATGTCGAGCTGGTCCCTGAAACAATTATCCAGGCACCTACGCCTAACGCAAGTGTTGAGGACTTGAACGTTACTGATGTCAGCTCGGAAACGAACAGACAAGAAACGAGTGTTACTGAAGATGCAGACATTGCAGCTGTGTATGCAAATGACAGCACAAATGACGACGCTCAACTGGAGTCCAATGTTTCAATTAAAGATGGCGCTTCTAACGTCAGCGTGGTGTCGAGTAGACGAGAAACAAGTGTTACTGAAGATGGAGACATAGCAGCTCTGTATGCAGTCCCTGTAAAAAAGTCAGACAGAACTAAAAATGACAGAACATGGGGCGGCGCCACTTCGGACTCAAATGTATCATTTAAAGATGGCGGCGCTTCTAATGTCAAAGTGGTGTCGAGCAGACGAGAAACAAGTGTGACAAATATACAACATTCATCATCGCTATCAACAAGGACGGCGCCCATTGTAATGTCCGGGACAGTCGCTCTTCCCAACGACCAACAGATCATGCCTGGCCCTATGGTATGTATGATCTCAAAATTCTACACAGAATCCTACTCATGATAATTCTATATAGGCCTACACAATGTAGATATGCAGGATTGAAAGTCAATTGCATGCCCATGTTAAGTCAATGGCACCCTTACTAAAATCCTCACTTTTTCAGAACTCAAGTTGAGCGAGTCAACTAAGGCTTTTTGAAAATTTTGCTTAGTACTATGTGTTCGATTACCTTTAATCATTCTCCAACCCGGCCTTTAAAAAATTAGTCTAGAAGGGAAGTTTGCTTGATTATTTTATCCAACTGTTTGTTTGTAGATCGACAGGGACGTCGACAATGTTCACATCCGCCATCTCAGTGATAACAAAGGTCACCATTCCCAAGTGAGTATTGATGGTCCCAAAATACCCCCAGTGAAATATATCCACAAAACCACCATGTTGGACAGGAGTGGCGTTATTTCTGGCGCAGTTGGCGTTGGGACGACTGAGTATGCTGTCCAAAGAAGCTTCACTGCTACACCTCCTCGACGTTATGTTAACAGAGACCTGCATAACGAAGTAGGATTTAGTAATCGGACAGAACCTGTCGATGAATCTAAGTATCAATACAGGATATCACAAGATCGCAATCCCCATGTTGCCCATGTTGACATCCGTGGACAGCGGGATGATAAAGCAATAGGCATGGGAGCAAACCTATTGGTATCATCGTCTGGAAGATCGTCTGCTGTGACCTCATCAAACATGGACGCCCTCTATCTTGAAACAAATGAAATTTATGACTCAATGACATCTACACAAATAGAAACGAACGGGAGCATCGTAAAAACAGGAACTATGGCAAATGGTGTATCGCAAACTGTCTCAGAGGGTGTCCAGACTCAAGAAAATGTCAAAGTGATACCAGTGCCCGTATGGTACAGGACCAAATCAGGAAGATGGAGTCCATTGTTATGGTGTACTCTTTGTCTCATGATTTTTCTGTTTGTCCTCGTACTAGTTATTATCGCAGTGGTCATCATCTACAATAGAGGTGAGAGTTCAATAGCATTCTTGAATTGAAGTTGAATATTCCGTGTTTGCTCTTATATCGTTTGTCACATTCAAGTACACCCGTATCATCGCAGTATGGATCCTCGTCGGAATGAGATAACGAGGCTCATCCTAAGCTCAATTTATTGCCTCGGACAGTTGACAATTCTTCGAATGTGCTGACATCAACATTTTGTCATTCATCTAGATGGCTTGAGTAAGAATTAGATAAAAAGGCAAAAATTACGACAAGAAACTTTTAAAATTGATGAACCAAAGTTATTATGTTGTACAACGTATGACCTTTAATATGTCGCAAAATTGACCAATGGTTAACGTTATTACATAACTTCTCAAATGGTGCAGCGATTAAGGATTTGTAAGATGAGCTTTATAAACTAAGAGACAATGTAATTGTTGATTTCATTTCATTTCAGGCGAACGATTGAAAGTGATGCCCACGCCAGTTCCAGATGTTGGATGTAGCACGGACTTTCCCTATATGGACCTCGTCTTCGCCGTTGATTCTTCTGGGAGCGTCGGGGAGGCCAACTTCAACCTCACGAAATTTTTTATGGCTGACGTTGCGCGCCATCTATCAATAAACCCCGATGCGAACCGTGTAGGGGCAGTCGTGTTTCACGACACGGCCGAAATAAAGTTTAACCTGGGCGATTTCACAGATGGCTCAAAAGTGGAAGAAGCTCTGCTGTCGTTAGAATATTCGGAAGGGTCAACTCATACTGCCGATGCCCTCGAGATCATTCGCGATCAAATGTTTAACGGGACAAATGGGGACCGGCCTGGTACGCGTGATGTCATCGTGATCATCACTGATGGAGCGTCCAAAGAAAAAGACCCCGTGCCTATTGCTAAATCCCTTAAAGATAGTGGAGTTACCATTTATGCACTGGGCATAAAGGATGACGAATTACAAGAGGAACAGATTGAGGCCATGGCTAGCATCCCGAAAAAGGACTTCTACTTCATGATCGATTCATATGATCAGCTAGATGCGATTGTTGAAAAAATAACATCAAGTTCCTGTTTCCAAAACAACTTAGCTAGTACTTAAACGAGTCATCATCATCCCAAAAAGATGGAACCTCGGGTTTCATAAGTGAAATTACACATTTACAGGTCATGGTAAAATATACACATCGGCACATCCTATATTCAGCCACTACTAATCTTTAGTTCCATATTTCCAAAATGTTTGTACTTTTGGGATTCTGAATGACGAATATGTCATTAGTTACTTTTTCATTGTGTGTACATGTTAAAATCACTTTACTTTATGAACATGAAGGTTTGTTTAACTGCATTATAGTAGTAAGTGTATAATTCGGTAACAATGGTACACTTTTATCATATTAGAAAAGATGTCTGTCTTATGATAATGAACAGAATAGAAAAATCATGCACCAAAATTATAGAATCTCAATCTTTATTTCTTCACATAGCAATTTAAAACCCCGAGTGTAGAACATTCGCTGAACAATTACATTTGTTCCTGTACGTTCTGTTCAAAGATTGTGTTACTGACGGTAGCCTTTTCTTTCAATTTGGTCATAATTTGCACACTAACAAATTAGCCTCTTATAGCAATAAAATGTTATAAAGTGTAAATGATGTTTTTTGGATGAAAAACATCAGCGAAATGCATGAAAAAACTCCTAGGCTAAGCAAATGGGCTCATAAAAGGCCCAAACATCCCAAAAATTGCAACAGTTTTTAAATTAGTCTTATATTATGTATTGATATCAGTTGAAAAACATATCAAAAGTATAGAAAAATGTATGCAGTGGACAAATATGAAATTTCACTTCCTAGGTACCCCCTACAACCCTACCCCAAAATTGAGTATTGGTAGGAAACAATTTTTTCTTCCCAAATGGAATACTTTAGTCAAGTATTCAAGCTTTATTATGATAGATAACATATTCACAAATAATTAAAATATTATTTTAATCATTTTTGAGACCAGTAATTGGTCATTTGACCCCAAAGTATAACAAAATAGGCCAGAAAACAGGCATGTTATCACATATCTATTTAGATATTTTAGGATCAGTTTGTCAGAAAAACATGAAAAAATCATGGTGTTACATATTCATATGAACTTCATATTTGGAGAGCGTCAGAATTCTAACGTGTATACTTAGGAAGAAAAAAATTACTTCATTTTCATAGTTTTGCCCCACCCACTATAGGGGAGACTATAGTTTTGATGACTAACTCCCACAATGCATCACATTTGTGTTAGAGTTGACATCTAAATCGTTTATATAGGCTTGTAATCATCTAAAATACAAGTTTTGTGAAGGTTTATACCTTATTAGTATGAAAAATAGGAATTATTAGTTGCACCAGGTGAAATGTTAAGGTGACCTCACTTTTATTTGATGAATAATTACAAATCACCACTCTGATATTAGGGTATTAGGGTATTTGATAACTGCTATACTAGGCTTATCTAAATAAATAATGTAAGTTGTAGTTTCTGTGCAATTTAATTTTGTTTAAATTAAAATTATTAATTACAATCCGCAATTACAAAATTTGCATATATTTAAATCCATCAGATAAATAAATCATCACATAGGAGTACATTACTATGGAACTATCAATTGGATGTATAATGCTGTAGAAACGAATTTATGGTTATTAACGGAATTTAAACTGATAGAGCACATTTAAATCTCAGATATCTGGGGAGTCTTTCATTAATATAATTTCAGTGCGTAGGAATGATGGTAATTCTGTCTGTCAGGTTGGAAAACATTGAGTGTGCATGTGCTACATTCAGAATCGGATGCAGATATTGTGATTGTGAAAACTGTAATCCAAAGTGTCCAAACCTCAAATACACTACTCATACAGATCTCCTTGTGTAAACAAACTTCAACATTTTCCTCAAACCTGAACCAAAAGCAGTAACCCAAGAAACAAAATGTTGGAATATAAATGAAATAAGATTGTCTTTTGTTTATCTTTTCTGGGGTGTGACACCGCATTCTGGTTATGCCTGGCATAGACAAGAAGCTATCATTGAGGCAGATAAAAAAGATAGAGTTCTTGAGAAAACAAGCGGTTGTTTTTAAATTACCAAATGGGTCGTTTCGGTAACAAAATGTCTAAACGTCGAAGGTACGATTTTTCTTTTTTCTTTTTTTCACGCGTTATAGGCAGAATCCCCACGATGTTTTTTCTTACAATCGTGATCGTGTATCAGTATCATATGTTTTAGAAAATGTACATGTTTGCGCAAAAATAGCTCAGAAGACAACAGAATTGTTGATTTAATTCCTTACTAAGTTACATAAACGATTTGGGTCAAAAGTGCAGATCTTAACTGTTTATCGAAATACCGTTTATGTAACTAAAGTGAGGAATTAAATCGACGATTCTGTTGTCTTCTGAACTATTTGTTCGCAAATATGTACATTTTTAAACACATAATACTGATACAATTTTGTGATAACAATGTTGTGGAAATTCTGCCTACAACGTGTGAAATAAGGAAAAAAGAAAAATCATACCTTCGATGTTCCGACATTTTGTTACAACGTAATTAAGTGGAAACCAGTGAAATGCAAGCAACTCTGTCATTGCAGAGGAACATGCTCTTTTGTCAATTTAAAGTGGAAAAATGGTGAAACCCTAACTGAACTTAGGCTTCAAAAATTCTATTAAAAGAGAGCAGCAAGATCTGAATTATTGCAGCCATGTGTTCTTCCTCCAATTTCTGATGCTGCGGAATACCACAGTTATAGAGTGTACCATCAGATCCAGGAGTGGGAAGGAAATAAACTGCCTCCATTATAATTGGGCTGGGAAATAAGCAACGAAGCTTTTGTACCAATTGCCTAAATGCAGCTCCCCTCTCTCAGAGATCATCCATTGTGTGTGTAAGGCAGATTGTACTTCTATGAGATGTACTAGCAGAAAAATGGAATAATTGTTCTATGGCATGTAAGGTATGCAAAGGTATTTTTGCAAATACCTCCATTACTGATTATGAAAATAATGATGACTAAATAATGAACACTGGCGGATCTGGGGGCCGCGCCCCCCCCCCCCCTTGGGTTACCCTTTGCATTCGTTTGACTTCACTCCTTAAAAGAGAGCTTCGTCTGTAGTTTAACTAGACTCTGCGCGCAGGGTACCCTTGGGTGGGCCCAGAAAAAAATAGGGCCCTAAAAAAGCCTTAAGGCCCCGAAAAGTGGGCCTTTTTGGTCATTAGTGGGCCTTTTAAGGCCTTATTTTTTAATTACAGGCCACATTTTGAAGATAATGGGCCTCAATGTTTCAAAATTTAGGGTTTTAGGGGCCCAAATTTTTGTTCCGCGCAAGCCCAGATGTTTTTTTCTCAGACCTGAAATTTGCCCCCCCCCCCTTGTTGGTTCCCAGATCCACCCTTAATGAAGTTTGGTGATAGACAAGTTTGTAACTGATTGTTGCCATATATGACGGTTAAGATTACAAAATTAAGGCAGCTTTTTGACAATGAACATAACGTAATCGAACCATGCCCTGTATAAAGACCAGGGATTTACTTTGTGTTACACTAGTTAACTCAGTAGGATTTATTAACGTAGAAACCTTTTCCTCATTAATTATTGAATTTCATCTTGGAATCCAATTCTTCAGTTGAACTTCTTCATTTCATTTCTCAATATCACTGTGTGGTTAAGAACACCTTAGTCAAAAGTAACAATTTTTCCTTAATACAGGGCGAGCCAAAAAGGTAACCCAAACAAATCTTAATAACTCAGTCCAGTCATCCTGCATGAGTTGAGTCTTGGTCAATGTATTATCAGTCTACCCAATCTCAGTGGTCTATCTCTAGTGGTCACGATTTTATGGCCATTTTATACCATGCCATGAAATAGGGGTGTCATGCCTGGAGGCCAACTTGAACGTATCGCGCGTAGTTGTTCAAATCAAGAGCATAAAAATCTTGTGTTATGGCTCTCATCTTCATTCTTATCTCTTGTTTTAATGTTTCAAGTGTTGCTAGTATAGAAGAAAGGCCCACAGATAAAAAAAACTGGACTTGGCATTGATGTCCAGTCAGTTAGGCACATTTCGATATTTTGAGCACATTTTGTAAATGGCCATAAAATCGTGACTATTAAGGATAGATCAATGACACTAAGCAGAATGAAAGAACATTGAACAAGGTAATTGTGCCATATATGATGTCAAACCCATGCTGAATGACTGGGTTATTAACAAACATTTGGTTGGGTTACCTCTTTTGGCTCATACTGTATTAATAAACTGATGTCAGGGACAGGGATATTTAACATTTTGTTGCCTTTTCAAGGATATTTTTAGACCACTGATTCTACTTAATTTCTAACAAATCGTTCTCTGTTCTACCAGAAAAGGTATATTATATATCAAATTGAATTTAAAGGGAAAAAACATTTGATAATTTAGCAGTTATCAACTAAAAGTAGGGCTTCCCCTATATTTCACCTGGCATTTGCTGGTTTTTTTTTACTTTTTTTACACAATCCTTTCCTGAAAACATCAAAAAACTGATTTCAGGACAAAATAAGCCTTTACAAATAATTTAGTTGTGCTATTGAGTTCAAATATGACATATCTTTGAAGTAATTAATCAAAAGTAAGGTCACCCCAAAAGTGGGTGTGGTAAAATATTGAAATTTCAAATATTATTTTCACCCTTAATATTCACTTAATGACCCTGATACTTATCAAATACAATGGTCAGGAGTACAATAACCTCCTTGATTTTTTTCATGCAATTCAGATAAATTGATTCAGAAATAGATACATTGTTAAATTAAATTGGGGCTATTTGATGGCCTATTTTCGGATAATTGGGGCTAGAAATGCCAATTTTTGCACTCAAATAGTTGGTTAACAATTTTTAGTTGCTCTTATGTCAGTAAACTATCATAATATTACTCGTTTAGTTGACAAAAACATTCTATTTTGAAATAAAAAAATATTTACAATCCCATACTCAAATTTGGAGGGGGGTACCTAGAATGTGACATTTCATATTTGTCCACTGCATATATTTTTCTATATTTTTGATATGTTTTTCAACTGGTATCAATATACAATATAAGCCTAATTTAAAAACTGTTGCAATTTTTGGGATGTTAAACTTCCATTTGCCTAGCCTATCCCCCGATTCATTGTACAAGCAACTCACGGTCTTTAAAAGGAAGTATAACATCTAGCTTAGCTACCTGAATAAAAATTGTCTCAATTTAGAATATTTTCGACTCATTTCATTCCTTGTCATGTCTTCTTTCTAAAAATCCCCAAAAGTGCATACTTTTTGAGGAAAATTAAAGATTTTTACAAAAAAAATAATATATTAGAGGGTCAATTGTACATGTTGCTAGCAATTTTGTCACCTCTTGTAGATCTGATTCTTCCATTATCTAAAATGATATCGACATTCTCCATATACACTCTACTATACCTTGCATTTGGTGTTCATGAGCAACCCACTTGGCTTATTAGTAATGATTGTGTATTTGTTTTTATTTGTCTGTTCCTTTTTCGGTTGAATTTAGATTTTACTAAGGCACTTTCAAAAATATATTAAACAGTTCAATTAGACAAACAAAGTATCTAATTATGCATTACTAGGTGCTAGGACAGTAGAGTAAATATGTCCCCAGGTACGGAAATAATATGCAACTTCAACTACTTGGTCGTAAAAGAAAGGTCTAATCATGTATTAAATCTAGTCTTTAACAGCTGCCTTTAAGCAAGTTCAGGTTTGACATCATATTCGTACTCCCAATCAATCGTGGTTAAGATCATAACAACAATGGTGCCTTCAGGTATTTGGACAGTCAAGACCTAAATCGCATTGATTGCGAAAACACGGTAAGAAGTAATTTCAGAATGGCATTTGACCATTTAGAAATAGTCTAGCTACGTACATAAGCCTCTGTACATCGGTGTGAGAAAGTTTTTGGTCAGGTATAGAGGGAGGGGGGTCACAGAGGGTTGTAGCTAGATTAATTTAGAAAAATTATATCGATTTTCGCTTGTTGCCATTTTTTGATATTTATGGCCGATTTTTACGAAAATGTTTTTGTCCACCCTGGGGATCAGTTTTTAAAGTTATGGTAAAAGCATACAAACATTATATAGTAAAGTGGCTACATCATACAATGCAATAATACATTAAATCTTAAACACAGGGTGAGCCAAAAAGGTAACCCAAGCAAACGTTATTAAATCAATCATCGATGTTCTTTCGCTCCACCAAGTTTCATTGGTCTATTCCCCATGGTCACGATTTTATGGCCATTTTACAAAATTGCTCCAAATGCCGAAATGTGCCACTCTCACGATCATAAAATCATGACCATTGCGAAAAGACCTATGAAACTTAGGAGAACGATTTTAAACTCATGCTGAATGATCGATTTATAAACAATTGTTTATACATTTTTTATTGACCCTATTGACCAAGATACTTGGGGGGGGGGTGTGTTTGCAGCTTTTGGCTTCACTTCCTCGGCCTACACTTTATATATGCTGTCACAGTTCAGGGATTAATCCCTAAATGATCATATTTAGCAAATTCTTGAAGCACCTTGTTATGTCTCGATGTAAATCTCCAAGGATTGGGAGTAAGAACGTATGTGGATGTGACATACATCGCAGCAGTCACCCTTGCACAGTACGCAGTTGTAAGAATTACCACCCTTGACCTTATCCTGCGGCAGTGGGGATTGTGTTTAAAACATTAGTAAAAAACCAGCGATCAAACCCCATTTGTTCATACTTGGTAGGTCATTCTTGGTAAAACGTAAACAATGTTTGAAAATGTGAAGTAAATTTGGAACCGATTTCATTTGTCGCCAGTGGGTATTTTTATCCTACACGAATTAATAAGGTCGATTCAGTCCATAATTTCTCCGAACAAACGATTTCACTTGTTGAAGACAATCGATCCAAACAATCTTCCGACATTAATTGTAAAGCAAAACAGCCTAAAGAAACGTGTAAGGACTCACAGGTACAGGTCTCCATTGATTTCAATATTTGCCGCCACAACTTTCCTAGCCCTTAACCTCTAGGCATGAAGTGCTATACTCGTGTGCTTATATTTGGAATTAAAAACTGACGTTATGTGACGTGCATGTTTGGTGGATGTAGGCTATGCTCTATTTTTTTGTTTTGCTTCTTTTTATGGGCACGACTATATTTGGTATGGTAGTGCCCACGGTATGAAACGTTTACTAAAACAAAACTGTCGTCAAATTAACTTAATCCTATATACAGTATAGTAAATGCTTCTATGTCTAAACAACGTCAAATTGCGAAATTTCAAAATTCATAATAGGACAATCCATTCTCCACACTGACAAAGCTGTTCAATGGAATTCTCGCTTCCAGTAAAATGCACTTCTTGTCAGTTTTGTTGAACAAAAAGGCTCGGCAGATACAATTGGTGACTTCAGAACATTTCATTGCACACTCTAATTTGGACCTCGTGTTGAATTCTCCACCAATGACATTTGAAAGATTATTCACTTCTTTTTCATCGGCCTTTAAAACAAATCCCATTGTTCCTAACTGTGGTGTGACGCAAGGTGTGGTTGATTGTTCAGTTGTTTGTTCGGTAGTTGGTTCGGTTGTTTGTTCGGTTGTTGGTACAGTTGTGTGTACGGTTGTTTGTTCGGTTGTCATTCCGGTTGTTGGTATGGCTGTTTGTTCGGTTGTCATTCTGGTTGTTGGTACGGTTGTTTGTTCGGTTGTCATTCCGGTTGTTGGTACGGTTGTTTGTTCGGTTGTCATTCTGGTTGTTGGTACGGTTGTTTGTTCGGTTGTCATTCCGGTTGTTGGTACGGTTGTTTGTTCGGTTGTCATTCTGGTTGTTGGTACGGTTGTTTGTTCGGTTGTCATTCTGGTTGTTGGTACGGTTGTTTGTTCGGTTGTCATTCCGGTTGTTGGTACGGTTGTTTGTTCGGTTGTCATTCCGGTTGTTGGTACGGTTGTTTGTTCGGTTGTCATTCTGGTTGTTGGTACGGTTGTTTGTTCGGTTGTCATTCCGGTTGTTGGTACGGTTGTTTGTTCGGTTGTCATTCTGGTTGTTGGTACGGTTGTTTGTTCGGTTGTCATTCCGGTTGTTGGTACGGTTGTTTGTTCGGTTGTCATTCCGGTTGTTGGTACGGTTGTTTGTTCGGTTGTCATTCTGGTTGTTGGTACGGTTGTTTGTTCGGTTGTCATTCTGGTTGTTGGTACGGTTGTTTGTTCGGTTGTCATTCCGGTTGTTGGTACGGTTGTTTGTTCGGTTGTCATTCTGGTTGTTGGTACGGTTGTTGATTCATGAACTACAAAATAAATATAAAAAATAACATCAGTAAATTATTTAACACAAAATTAACACACATACATATACTAAATACTGTTGCAGGACATCATTGTCATTTAAAGAGAAATATGCTGGCAAGTATTTTGGATCTGAACAGGTGAAGAAGGACTCTCCTATGTACCGTAGTCTTAATTTAAAACATATATTAAACAAGGCATAAACATGACAAAATGTCACCACCTAGTTGCTCACAATATTTTGAGTTCGATCTTAAGTCAGATTTGAACTTCTGAAAACTTGTAGAAGATTTTGAAAAAAATGAAATCAGTCTTGAGAAGAATTTGTTACAGACGCCAACCGCCAACCACCAACCGCCGTCAAAAAAACGGAGACCACCCCAATATGTAACCACTTTTTGGTGGTTACATAACTAGAATTGGATATTTAGAAATGTCAAACATTTAATTTACAGCGCTCTTCAGCCATGAAGTCATGAGCTCGGTAACTATGATCTTTAAGGCATCTCCCCAGCTCTTCATCAAATGGTCCGCTTCTTACCTATCATACAAGCTACGGCAGTAGTTGGTGCAGTACAGTCCACGTTCAGCCAATCCATGGTGCTTGCATCCACTTGAACACAACCCTGGTCGATTGTAGATCCCCAAGGAACTTTCCAAGTGATGGGAGTTCCGTCGTTACACCAATGCCATGCACCCCAGTTACTTTCAATTGACTGCTGAACGCTGAGTATGTTGCTGCTACTGCTGCCAACACGCTGCGCACCGATCCAGACATTGTCACTAACCCAACTGGAAAATTGTGAGAATTCAGATTCAATTATATTTTATTTACAAATAGCAAGGCAAGGTGTGTTAAATTCAAATAAATCAGAACAAATCAATGTATTTTACTGTTTTTAGCCACATAAGACGTAAATTCAATAAAACAATATCCAATTTTTCTGAGATTGATCGTCAAAAAAATAGATGTAGCCTAAAAGATGACCGAAGGGCTACATCATACTGTATGTTCTCGTTGTACAAACTTGAAAAAATCATCCGATATCTGAACTAAATTGAATAAGGTTTCTTTTCTTTTAAAGCAAATCAATTCGACGAAAGCTAAAAATGAAAGAAATATTACACATGTAGGTAGAATGACCAAGGAGAAAAATACCAAATATTACAAAACACAAAATACACTCCCCTCCATAAGTTTGGCAACCTTAGCTCCTTCATTGAACTACGTGTTAAAGCCTCTTTATATTTGAATTTTTATTTACTTAACCTGCGATGAAAATACTTTTAATATTGATGGAAACTTAATTTCCAATACCTCCAAATTTTTCCAATTTTTCCTGAATTACAATTGGTCGAAAATTGATGATAAATTTGATGAATTTTTGAAAATCGACATTCCCATGTTTACCAATGTGAAATGGTAGGTTTGCCGCAAGTCATATGACAGAATCTTATCCATCGGCCGAGTCCCTGCAAAAAATATAAGTTAGGTAGACAATTGAATTTGCTAACTTTATTTACCCAAAAATTAATACGTTTCTTCTGGTTCAACAAAGTTATAGGTCTTTAAAGTCAAAATTATTTTTCAAAAAAACCCTCCCATTGAAATAACACAGGAGGCGAAAAAGTATTTTCAATAATGACTTTGAAGCTCTATAACTTTAGTATTCATGTAGTAAACTAAATACAAAAATACAATTCAATTTTCTATCTGAAAATATTTTTGTTGAATCTTCTACTGAATAGATATCCTGATTTCTGATTTGCCCCGGACCCACCATTTCCCATTGGTTTACATGGGAATGACGATTTTCAAAAATTCATCAAAATCATCAATTTTCGACCTATTGTAATTGAATAAAAAATTAAGAAAATATTGAGGCATTGGAAATAAAGTCAAGTTACGTTTCCATCAATATTACAAGTATTTTCATAGCAGGTTAAATAAATAAAAATTCCAAAATAAAGAGGCTTTAACACGTAGTTCAATGGGGGGGGGGCTAAGTTTGCTAAACTTATGGAGGGGAGTGTATAAGAAAACTGCATGAAACTAGGTAAAAGAAACAGATGTTTATGTAAAAGATATCTAATTACACAATTATACGAAATTGTTTGTTTCGGGTGATCTGCCATGGCATCATAAAGGATAACTGGTACTTCGACTCTACTTTTTCCACAAGGGGAGAGTTCCAAAGCTCTGCAATCGGAAGCCGAATACGACTGTGTCTCATAAGCCCAGACTAATGACTACATTTGACCTAATGATGTCCACCGGCCCAGACTAATGACTACATTTGACCTAATGATGTCCACAGGCCCAGACTAATGACTACATTTGACCTAATGATGTCCACAGGCCCAGACTAATGACTACATTTGACCTAATGATGTCCAACGGCCCGGCCTAATGACTACATTTGACCTAATGATGTCCACCGGCTCAAATTAATGACTACATTTGACCTAATGATGTCCACCGGCCCAGACTAATGACTACATTTGACCTAATGATGTCCACCGGCCCAGACTAATGACTACATTTGACCTAATGATGTCCACAGGCCCAGACTAATGACTACATTTGACCTAATGATGTCCAACGGCCCAGCCTAATGACTACATTTGACCCAATGATGTCCACCGGCTCAAACTAATGACTACATTTGACCTAATGATGTCCACCGGCCCAGACTAATGACTACATTTGACCTAATGATGTCCACCGGCCCAGACTAATGACTACATTTGACCTAATGATGTCCACAGGCCCAGACAAATGACTACATTTGACCTAATGATGTTCAACGGCCCAGACTAATGACTACATTTGACCTAATGATGTCCACCGGCCCAGACTAATGACTACATTTGACCTCATGATGTCCACCGGCCTTACCCAAATGTGTCTACAAGAGCATCCAGTGATGCACTGTCTGTGGCACTGTCAACTTTGGCCAATGTGGCTGTTGGGCCAAACTGTGTTGTACACCAATTTATTGCATCGCTTTGAGTTCCCTGTTTGTTGTTCTTGTAGGCCATATACTCATCTGGTGAACACAAATTAAAATATATAATAAGTAAATGAAGATTAAAGACCTAGAAATGATCAAAATCAAACTTTTAAAGGGGACACATTTCCCTTTAACGTGATAAAAAGTATTGTCGGTTCTGCATTAAACTTTTTAAACATACAGTCGAAATTCTTCAAGGAATTTTAAAAATGCGAGCAAATAGAATAAAAAAAGAAAATACAAATGTTCACTAGACACTATTTTCATTTTTATTGAATAATAAATAACACTGTATCGTGCAAATAAAAAATGTTGTTCTGTTTTAAAAAAGGTCTGGTGTATATCACACGTTGTTACTGAGAAAATGACATACGCGATAAGAAATTTTTTTAACATATAGATACTCACATTGACAGTGATCTCCTCCAAATGGACTTGAACAACATATAACTAATGGTATGAAACTTCCAAGCAGAACGATTGACAAAACTGACTTCATTTTTGTTTTTGTCCAAGTTCTATTTTAATAGTTTTCAAATCACTTTAATGTAGACGGTTTTCTCTAAAACCAGCATATTTATGGAAAACATGATTATATCCCTGTATCATCCAGAAATGTAGTTTTTTGCTGTTATATTCTTAATGCGCTTCAATATCCACTTTTCCGCCCATGGCATCATCAAACTTGATCTCCACCATTGGGAAAATCTGTCGAAAGATTTGATTTCCAGACAGTCTTCTTTTCAAAGTAAAACTGGTGACTGGCCTGTCACGTGGACCTGTGCGAGTCTTTTATAGCGCATATGATGTTACCATGACACTTTGTAAAACAATAGAGATACCCAAGGCATTATTGATCAATTTCAAATATTCAAATTCCACACCGTTAAAGCCGCGCGGAATCAGATCAGGTTAAAAACCTTGGCAAAAATTGTAAATCCGTTTTTAAAATTTTTTGGTTTTTATCATATCATTTATTATCACACTGTAGCTATTTAAAAGAAGTTTAATTCTAAACGTTCATTCCATGAAAACGAAGCAAAACATTTTGTGTTCATTTTCATTTTCAAGTTTACTTTTTCATATCCATCCTTCACATAAATGTTTGCATATCATTTTAAAAATCATACGGGGAAATTATCTAAATGCATCAAAAATATTCCCGAACTATTTCATTGCCATGGGTGTTAATGAACGACTTTAAATGCATTAAACCACGAACTATTTCTTGATGTATGATCTCCATGTAAATAACGATTTGTAGACGATACAATAAGCTAGTGCACTGGTGATCCACTCGATTACGCTGGGTAACAAAATGTCGGAACATCGAAGGTACGATTTTTCTTTTTTCCTTAAGTATTTCACACGTTGTAGGCAGAATTCCCCCGACATTTTTAACACAAACGTGTATCAGTATCATATGTTTAAGAAAATGTACATATTTGCGAACAAATAGTTCAGAAGACAACAGAATCGTCGATTTAATTCCTCGCTTAAGTTACAGAAACGGTATTTCGAAAAACGGTTAAGATCTGCACTTTTAATCCAAACCGTTTATGTAACTTATACTTTGTATGAAAAAACGTCTTGGGGATTCTGCCTACAACGTGTGAAATAAGTAAAAACGAAAAATCATACTTTCGACGTTCCGACATTTTGTTACCGAAACGGTTCGTAAACCAGCGTAATCGAGCGGATCTCCAGTGGAGTGGGAGTGTTTAGTCCCAATATTACATTTAATGCTACTGGTAGGTCATTAGAAAAACTCATGAAAAACTCTTAAAAACGCCAAAAGCGATCCGATCCGACAGAATTTTTCGATTATCCGGTCAATGATTTTGTAACATTTCAGGATATCTTGAGCTGCTACTGTTCAATTTTAACAACGTTGGATTTGTTGATAGCCTGCAGCATTTACGGTCGCGGCTGTGTTCTCTAACATTTCTATGCCAAAAGCAAATATTGGGCCATCGCAGCTTTTCAACACAACGTGCTATAGTAACACAAGTTACACACAATTATAATTTGAAAAGCAGTGACAAGGAGAAGATCTAAAGCTGCGGCTGCAGTATGGCCTTTTGAGGTGATGACGCAGACGCATTTGCGTTGAAAGGTCGACTGTACTGCACAGCGACAGTGCAGCCAGACTGACGATTCCGCAAGACACCTCAGGGGCATTCCAATACTCAGACCATCTCTGCCATGCAAAGAATAAGATGCCTCAGGGGTGGACTTTGAACTTAGGGAAGCAACGATTTTTGACCCCAATCTCTCAAAATTAGGCCCAAATATTAATGCTCAGTAATGTCAGCTTGTCACCTTAATTGCCAGGTTATGTTGGGAGAAGCAGATTTTGAGCCCCAATTTTTCGATATAGCAATATTTAGAAATGTTAGATGCCAAATGTAAACTCTAAACGTCTCATGCAAATTATCGAGGGAATGAAAAAAAGTATGCAATGTGTCACTTCCACAAACCATTTCCAATAAACTTAACATAATTATCATGATTCCGTAAGGTAAAGTACTTTACAGTCTACTGTCTTATTCTTCATATTATAGAATGGAATTGCAAATTAAACGGTTTGTGGATATGTACATTTTATTTATAATACACTTACTAAAACACCAAATTTCTAAAAAACTATAGAACATTAAACTATGATGATGGTATGTAGAAACTTCCGCACATATTTGAATTGACTAATAAAATTCAACTTATACATGTAGTTATATACAACATATTTATTTTGTCTGTATCGGACGATACATCGAAACTAGTGCAATTATTTGTACGGAAAAATCGGAAAAACATAAGGAAGACTCCGACCATAGCGATCCGTACAGTTATACTCTGACTTTACACACCCTGGTACACTACAGTATCCATTTGCTAGGACATCAGAAGGGTAGGCTGGCTCCTAAATCATAAACACACTAATATTAAATGATGGTTTCAAGGCAGAGTGAACTTTGACCTAAGGTCAAGGTTATTGGAAGTACAGCGTGCATTATCACAAATTATGTGTATATTAACTAGATATATTCTACTTCTTAAAGTGCCCTCTTTGTATCATTTGAGCATTTGGCCGGACGGTGTTCGGCGCCTGAGGGAACAGTTTCATATGTGAAATACAATTCTCGATATATTTAGCTGCTGTCTTGTTCTTGACCAACTGGTGGCGAATTGTTAACCTGTGATAACTAACAGTTTTCTGTGATATGTATCTTCTACGATTCTGCAACTCTTTGAACAGTTGAAATAATACGTACAGAACCGCCAAAGTCACTATGAATCTTCCTTCAAGACTCCTTTTGTTTAAATCTATTGTAACATGGTCATTTTCATATTTTTATATTTCTCTCTTTTCATATTGATCAGTCCTACATATTTCCCTTATTCTCATTTTAACAGGTCCCTAGCTTACTATTGTATCAGTGCCAAATGTTTTAATCCTGTTGTTTGCCATGCCTTACCTGCTATCTTTTGTTTCAAACCAGTTTTTAGCTTTTCATGTTGTATGTACAATGTTGTTATGTATTGTGTAACTTCCATATATGGAAAACACACTCACTCACTTGAGTTTGGGTGTTGGCCCAGCATCAGTAGTTGCTTTGAGATTGTACAGAGAACACTGTGTTTGTTTTTTTGAAATAGACTTTTTATACATTTTAACTTTTGAATTTTGTTATCTTTATATCGCCACCCACGGCCTTAGCCCCGGACATTACACTATGATGAGTCTTTTCTTCATCCTAGGTTCAAATAAGTTATTATCTTTTCGTTTTTCCTATATGTTAAGCTTGACATCTCGTATCTTATACTCCATATACTTATATTATTGATTTTTTTTCATTCTAAAAATAGGATTGGCATATACTGATATATTTGCATTGATTGTGCATTTTCATTTTCTATACAGAGTGATCATAAATTGATTGTTAGTACCTCAGTTGAAATACTCGATTTTGATTGGTCAACGAGCGGTGAATAATTTTAACTGTACACCGCGCAATGCATTGCCGGTGAATAATATTCCCAGCATTCCACTAAAATGACGTCATAATCAGACGATAAAATGGCCGCCGCTAGCACTAGCCGTTTCAAAAATGTTGATGATGAGGATATCATTAGTCTCTTACAGAGTCAAGACAGTCAAAATACGAAGAAAAATCTAAAACTTTGTACAAAGCTTTTAGTGGACTTCGCCCAGGAGAGTAATTTGACTCCATTGAGTAAACTTACTGCCGTGGCAGATGTAGATAATTTTTTTAAATACAACATGAACGTCTCGAGGGTCTGGATCCAACTTCAAGTCAACTTCAAGGGTCAGAAAAATCTAAGATATTCTTCGGACTAACAAAACAATTATAGACCTCTCCATTCGGTTTACTGTCAAAATTATATCCCTCGACTGTAAACCTCGACCTACGGTCTCGGTTTACAGTCTCGGGATATAATTTTGACAGTAAACCTCTGGAGAGGTCAATAATTGTATATTGTACTTCAAACCTAGATATTGGTTTAAACATACATAAACGCTGAATAACAAATCGGGAGCATACCAAAAATTGTTCCATTATAGTGGCTCGCCGTGTAAATCTCATTAATACCCTCAAGGTTATGAGGAAAACATTAAGCAAATAAATATTTGTTTTATGATATATTGCTAGACATTCTCTTCGCATTTCAAGGAATTTATTTTAATCAATAAATGTATCATATACCAAACTTACAAGTATCGCCTTTATTTTCGCCCAGTGCAGTTTTCAGAATTCCCGGGCGTACAATACGCCGGGCAATACGTCTTTTATAATCCAAAAATTGAGAGATCTGTGAAATACGCTAGTGTTTTTGGTCACATGGTACTGAATCAGCCAATTGAACTACATGATATTAATGATTTAATAATGTAGATATTATGATGCCACTATATTGTTAAATAAGAAATAGTACGTTTTAGAGTATGATACTAGCTCTGCCGCCGTTTTCATGATCAATAGCTTTTACTCCTAGCGATATTGGACCTCAAACAGAAGTGAATTAAAGGTCGTAACTTATATTATTGTTTCATAGTACTAGAGGATTTTATTTTCTTTAGTATAACGAAATATACGAGTCAAAAATGACTTGTAAGTTTTCTTTGTGTTTTTTTACGAAAAATACCTAATATGCCCATTAACCATGGTTAATGCTTTTAGAAAGCAAATGATAATTCGCTCGTAGCTCTACTCTGTAGGCACAAGAGTGGTACCACTATGTACATGATGATAATGTAGTCTCTTCAATATCGAAGATCAATTTATTTGCTTTATTAGCTAAAGACATATTTCGGTTGATTGTAGAAATAGAGCTCCAAGGCTCGGGATTACCTTAGTAACTCACCTTAGTTTTAGGATCAATAAGCATTCGATTACACCCGCAGCAACTGGGTGTCTCATCCCCGGTATGAACTATCTTGTTTTCATCGGGACATAGTGGATTAGACTTGAACATACATTTCGGATCTACAACAAAATGTACATTCATAAGATGACAAATGATACCGACACACAAAGATTCCCGATAATTCATGGCGCATTTAGAATTATTATCAAACAAATAGAAACAAATAATGAAGTCCCCATGTACATGTATCACTGTGAAAAAAGCCAAATATAGTTTGTATGATAGCAATATTTTTTTAAATATCCCCCATATAGTTTGAGTTTCACCCAAAATATGGGCGAGAATTGTTTCTCCCATATTCCTTAAATGGAACACTTTAATCCATATAGTCCATAGTCCTAATATACTCTTCGGTACGCCCATATAAACTGATATAAGTTGCATATATCATTGCAGAGTATATCTTTACTGAACTATTTTCCACTTATACGCCTCATAATCAATCTACTATATGCGGTGAAAAACAGCTTATATGTAATAAAAAACATATCATATCAAACTATTCTTGACTTATTCTTCTCTTATTCTACCTCAAAACAAACGGTACGCGTCTTATACGCGATATTACGTAATAGGTTCAGTTCCCAAGTTTCTTATTCTAACAAATTAAAAGCAAAGTCCATCATTGAATGTCTTTTGTTTTCAGTGCTGATTAATTTGCTTGTTCAGGTTAATCTGGTCATTCCGACAACTGAGGGTTCTAATTTCCACCAAAAAGTCATTTACAAATTAACTTTTTTACTTTTATTTTATTGAAAAATGAAAGTCGCATTATACGAGTAATTAATATCGTGTCAAATTTTGGAATCATTAATGCAACTCTGCCTCTATATGTTGAAGTTTCAATAAGTCCCCGGATATTGTGAAATATACTCCAAAGTTGGTACATGTACATGGTAGAGAAATTATGCAAATGAAACATTGAGACATGTCATAATGGTACATTAAACCTTTATCCCAAATAATTCAATTGCTAGAGGAAGCTGAATCAGTTTAACAATTGGCATTTTTAGTCATGCCACAGGCTAAGGAAAGTGACACTTTGAGATATGCCAGAGCATACCCTAAACCTTATCCCTGATAATACATTTTTTATCAGGTCTAAGCTGAATGAGATTAGTTAGGCATTTTGAGAGGTGTCACCTAAACATAAATAATGTAACAATTTTGCAAGCTGTTGCTAATGATGTTCATCAGTATATTAAAAAGTTCAATTTTGCGCATTAGTATATTTCAATTTGGTGCGTAATTCATGATGTTCAAAGTACATCAATATATTGAAAGATTAAACTTGGCTCACGAGTATGTTTCAATTTGAGACATAGTATGTGATGTGCTCCAGGTACATCAGTTCATTAAAAAGTTCAATTTTACGCATTATTATATTTCAATTTGGTGCGTAATTTATGATGTTCAAAGTACATCATTATATTGAAAGGTTATTAAACTTGGCTCATGAGTCAATTTGAGACATAGTATGTGATGTGCTCATCAATATATTAAAAAAAATAATTTGGCGCATTAGTGTTGTTCAATTTGGTGCATAATTTATGATGTTCAAAGTACATCATTATATTGAAAATTTAACTATACTAAAACTTGACCCATGAGTATGTTTCAATTTGGGATATAGTATGTGATGTGCTCGAATTTTATCAAAATATTAAAAATTCAACATAACGCGCCAAAATGAATTATACTAATGCACCAAATTGACGTACCAATGTGGATATAAGGCTTTTCTTACTCACATTTGCATCTAAAATGATATAGTGTATACGCGTCAGCCAGCCAGGGATCTGATCCTGATACACATTTACAGATTTGACCATTTTCTCTCTCATATTTTTCACCAGGTTGTGTAAATATTCTCGTTTCTGTGGGAGGGTCCTTTGTGAAGTCAATATCCCAGCGATCACACCCTGTCCAAGTTACACAAATTGGAATGAATTGACCTCCTTAACATGGAAGGTCATCATATTAAATGTTGCAAATTTTTGGGATAATTTTGTAATTTAGGAAAATATATACTGGAGAAATATGGAAGGAACCTAATATACTATTGGTTAAAACTAAGAAACCTTATCATACCTACAAGGAGGCAATGACGCATTGGGGGATATGGGATAGCACCTCCATCGTTGACCCATGGGAGGAACCTAATATACTATTGGTTAAAACTAAGAAACCTTATCATACCTACAAGGAGGCAATGACGCATAGGGGGATATTGGATAGCACCTCCATCGTTGACCCATGGGAGGAACCTAATATACTATTGGTTAAAACTAAGAAACCTTATCATACCTACAAGGAGGCAATGACGCATTGGGGGATATGGGATAGCGCCTCCATCGTTGACCCATGGGAGGAACCTAATATACTATTGGTTAAAACTAAGAAACCTTATCATACCTACAAGGAGGCAATGACGCATTGGGGGATATGGGATAGCACCTCCATCGTTGACCCATGGGAGGAACCTAATATACTATTGGTTAAAACTAAGAAACCTTATCATACCTACAAGGAGGCAATGACGCATTGGGGGATATGGGATAGCACCTCCATCGTTGACCCATGGGAGGAACCTAATATACTATTGGTTAAAACTAAGAAACCTTATCATACCTACAAGGAGGCAATGACGCATAGGGGGATATGGGATAGCACCTCCATCGTTGACCCATGGGAGGAACCTAATATACTATTGGTTAAAACTAAGAAACCTTATCATACCTACAAGGAGGCAATGACGCATTGGGGGATATGGGATAGCGCCTCCATCGTTGACCCATGGGAGGAACCTAATATACTATTGGTTAAAACTAAGAAACCTTATCATACCTACAAGGAGGCAATGACGCATTGGGGGATATGGGATAGCACCTCCATCGTTGACCCATGGGAGGAACCTAATATACTATTGGTTAAAACTAAGAAACCTTATCATACCTACAAGGAGGCAATGACGCATTGGGGGATATGGGATAGCGCCTCCATCGTTGACCCATGGGAGGAACCTAATATACTATTGGTTAAAACTAAGAAACCTTATCATACCTACAAGGAGGCAATGACGCATTGGGGGATATGGGATAGCACCTCCATCGTTGACCCATGGGAGGAACCTAATATACTATTGGTTAAAACTAAGAAACCTTATCATACCTACAAGGAGGCAATGACGCATTGGGGGATATGGGATAGCACCTCCATCGTTGACCCATGGAAGGAACCAAAGTACACCATGTGGTGATACACATTCACATTTCTGTCGTGTGCGAGTTGCAATATCTACCCACTCATACCAATGGCCAGAGTCTTCTTGACGGGGTATATCATAATTCTCATCCCAGCATTCTGGAAGCATGGAAAGCTACACTTGTTTCCTTATAGTGATCAGAAACTGATGCAAACGACGTACACGAGCCCGCCGGGGGTCCCCTTGCCATATGGGCTCATAGAGGCTTGTGGGTAGACTAAATTGACGGTTTTACCTGTCGGGCAGTTGGTTGGGACCTCACAGACTGTTCCATTGATGGTTTCGTTCCGTGTTTCACACCCAAATGCTTTGTAGAAAAATAACGTGCTGTGGTACACGCATGGTGGGCTAGAATATCATAAACAACAAGCACAGTGAGTAAAAAAGTCTCAATTTTATTTCATTCATTTGATTCTCTCAGACGTGTCTGTATTTTATCTAATGGATGCGACACCATATAATGTTTTTGCATATATACAGAGTGGGTCACAAAAATGGGACATTTTGCACCATTCTTGATGCTAAGCTCATATGGAGGTACCATGTGTAGCATACCGAAGGATGGGGAATTTAATGGACGTTACAATGAAAATATCTCTGGAGATATTCGATGTGTCTACCTTTTATATCAGCAATAATGGGCCTCAATCTGTAAAGGCCATAATTATTCATGTCATCCTGAGACTTTAGCTGCTATGTAGGCAAACACAAAATTGTTCAAATAAACCTAATATGTAACGGGAAAATCGTCTTAACCTATTTCCTTTTTTCCACAGAACCCCTGATTTTCAGACTAAAATTCTTTAGATTCCTCAGGTACTAGTAAATGGTACATAAACGTATTAAAAAGTCACTGAAGACGACTTATGCTGATGTCAAATGGTCGAAAAATGAAGAAGTTTACTTATACTTATGAAAGGCAAACTCTTTATAATTTCAATAATTGATTTTGTCTAAGTTGTTTCAGAGACATATGTGTCTCTGGTTGTTTCAATCAAAAAAATAATGAAAGCATGCATCATCTGACTTAAAATCAAGGTATATTCACAAATGTAAGAACTTAACTCCCAGGCCCGTAGCCAGGGGTGGGAGCGGAGGGAGCGGCCGCTCCTCAAGAAATTCTTTCAAAACCATGCAGTTTTTCACCATTCTGAGCAATTTTCGCATGATCATCTTGCCAAAAACTGTCAAAAAGTCCCCCCCCCTTGGCAAAAGCTTTCCACTTGGTAAACCCGCTCCCCCAGGTAAGTCCTGGCTACGGACCTGGCCTGATATGAGCATCTCATTTTTATTGACCCACCCTGTATCTAATATGTTTGACTATTTATTTTTACGACAATATAATTCCTATAGTCGTTATCCAGATCAATGAAAATGTATGTGCTAATGTTAACGAGGATGACTCAAATCTGTCAAAACATAATTTGCACAAAACTGAACTTAAGAATTAACTTGAGAAAATGGATACAATAAAGAGTTATAGACATTTAAATTGAAACTGTCACTTTTGTTATTGATGTGGATACTAAATGAAGTCGGGAAATTGTCGTCGGGTCGGGAGGGGATATGAACCATGTGCTCTGTTGACATTTGTTACCATTTTAAATATATTATCTCCCAATGGATTCATGATGTCTCATCGAATAAAGTAGTTTAGCTTTAAACACCAAAAAGTGCAAATCCTCCCAATTTATAATGTGAATATCCAAAATTAGGAAGATAAACAGCACAAATTCTTGTAACATTTTAGATCTTTTGGAAAAATACATGGTTTCAGAAAATAGTTAATTAATAAATAAAATTATCCAAAAGAATTCATAACGTTAAACATTTTGTCAAAAAGGCTACATATATCACAATTGTCTTAAAATTCTCGTTTCTGAAAGGGAAATTTAAAAAATCCACTTACCCATCATAATCATAATATTGGGCCAAAGAATTGTGTTGTACATAAATCACAAATAACATCCAAACAAAATGGAAAGATTTGCTCTTTGCCATTGTGATTCATAAAGTAAATGCAATTAATTGAATTGGAATAGTTTTTATTTCCAGGTTCACCATTCCAATAAAGTATATATTACATTTATATGTAGTATATATAACATTTATATGATTTGCTTTAATTCATTGTAAAACTGTATATCGTTACTTTGTTCTCATTAACACTGTTACACTTATTGTATTTAGTTCATTTGATTTTATAAAAGGGAAATGTTTTTTAAAGGATCATGAAAAAGCCTAGATAATGAATATTCCATGAGAATTTGAGTGGTTTTATGGCCGTAATGCGCATGCTGATAAATATGCAATGAATGTCACACATGAACGCACTCGACCCAATTTATGATTGTTGTGGCATTATATGCAAATCAATAATAAAATAAAACGCAACACAAAACGATGGTTTAACATAATACGCATACTTAAATAGAATAGAAGCTTCAGTTTAATATTTTCTGTAAAAGTGTATTTTTGTGGTCGGTTTTTACATTTCCGATGTGGAACGTTTTTCTCAGGTTGATATATTTATGATAACTAGTTTACTATAACTCTTCAAAAGTTGATTCCTCGTTTGAGGGCTTGCTATGGCATACAATTTATAAATGGCGCATTTGTGCTTTAAACCGGAGAACAACTTGAAAAACATCATGATACGACGTCAGATACTGTACGTCACGGCGTAACATTGTAATTGTTCATTTTACCGACAAAATGCAAAGATTTACGCGATAAATATGCGCAATGCTCCTCCAAGTAATTGCAAAAGTTTTAATATTCGTGGAATCTTCTTAAAAACTTCAAGTTTTGTTCAGATTAATATGCGCTTCAATACAATTCTATATTCAAAAAGGTTGTGTCACGATATACAGAATTAGAATCACCAGAAAGTAGACATTTCAAACCCTACCCGTTTTCTTCTTTGTCGCGCTTTCCTGCCCTGCGCTCTCGTTGTCGCACCGTCTTTCTAGACTCTTTCACAGTGCCCCTTGTCATATTCAACTGATATACACAGACGGGAAGATATTAAGGATTGTTAAATGCATTATTTGTAATTTTTTTAACACGAATATTTAGTTTTATTTATTTAAAGCAATGAATAATAAAGAAGAACATATAATACGCTAACGGCGTAACGTCTTATTTTGTAAAGGCTTCACTTGGGGTTGCGGTGATAAAATGATGTCTATCTCAATATATACTGGTTCAAATTAAATGAAATTAATTGTATGTAGTAAGGGGTATATTTAAAAGAGCATGCTGAAACATTGGAAAGTTTTGAATGTTTATCCCTTAATTAGAAATATTTGAACTCAAAAAATGAAACGTAATTTTGTGAATTTTTCACATGGCTTCACTTCATATTTCTTTCAATTTATACTTCTTACAGACTGAATTTTAATCGAATTGATATAGTTTTTTGATAAAAATATAGAATATGATATGCCTTTCAGGAATCAAAAAAGAATAATTCACCTTTCAAACGATTTAATGTTTAATTGATCAAAATATATATCTTGTTGGTACGAAATTCTGCCTGTCCACACTTTTTTTGCATAAATATAAGCGTTAAGTTAGCATTGTTATATTATGACGTCATCACACAGAATCTGTTTGTCTTTTCAAAAATGGTGAATTTAAATATTGTGAAAATTTGAGAAAGATCCGTTTAGAAATGAAAAAGTTATCTTCATTTTTCGTTTAAAATTAAAATCATTTTTCTTCAAAATGTTACAGTCCACACCCGGTTTTAGCATAGAAAGTCGCATAATACGGCTTGCGTGATTCTCATTTAAAAAGTCCCAAATCAGTTATTTGGAATTCTGATAGGCAAACTATTTCATGGACATACGTGTTCAACTGATGACGAAAAATTGTAGAAAAATATGATTTTGCTGTCGAGATATTGCGGTTTTAAAAGTAAGTACGCATGTAAAAATGCGGTAAAATGCCACGATGTACAGAATCTGACGTCGTATCCATACGGATAATGATATTTTTAAGAAAGAAAAGAATTCGGGATATCCAAGGTAAAAACATTAACGTAAGAAAACTTTATTTTGTTGAAACATATTTTCTCCTTTTATTTCTCCACAGAGTCGGTAACTACAGTTTCCGTACCATTCTCAGCATCTTAAATATTGAGGAAGGGTAACGAAAAAGTCTCGATTCGGTGTCATCATTTAGAATCAGTTATTTATAGCAGCAATTTGGTGTAACAGTTTATTTCTAATAAGAATATATGTGAAGTGGCATCTATTGTTAATTTTATATACTGAGTGTCCCAAAAAGTGTACCCAAATTAAGCAATAACAAAGATCATAGCGAGTTGGGTGTTTTGTAATATTGTACGTATAACCACTAGCACTTATACTTGTATTACATATTTAAAATATGTATCATATAATAAAATTACCAAATAATATATATTGCAATCAAGAAAAAGGAATGATTACCACCTACCCTTCATAATCATAATATTGAGCCGAACAATTGTGCTGAACGTAAATCACTAACAATATCCAAACAAAATGGAAATATTTACTTTTTGCCATTCTTATTAACTGTAACTTTACTTTATTAAGAACCTAATATCTGGGTTCAATTTATATTATCGAATGAGATCTATGAAAATTCAATTAAGTATGTCAATTTGAATAATAGTGTTAATATCCATTGTATACTTTCATAGTATTCCATTTTTGCTTATCAAAGTTGAATTAATATATACTAAATGTGACGATGTATTGTATATAAGAAAAATAAATTTATGATATTGGATTTTAATAGTCTCATAAAAAATCATATGCAAATAGGTCATACATTTTATCCGGTTCTACTTGTGTGAGTTACAATGTGTTATTCAGATAAATAGGTGAGGTCCGGTTTAAATAAATATATAATTATAATAATGACTTCATTTATATTGTATTTATTCTTTACATATATGCATGTCGCACATTATTAGAGAGTGAAAAGCTCTAAAAACATAAGTGCTTTGATTCGTTGCCATGGTAACCAATATTCATGCATATTTTCTACAGATGCTTATGTGCTGGTATTGCTACGGAGGAATTTTAATTCACCCTGATAGTGATTTAGATTTTCAACGTTTAAGAAGTTTTAGAATTGTTTTAATCTTATTCTGTTACCATATTGACAGATTTAATGTCCAAAATCACCTTTAACATCACAATATGCATTCATAAAACCTCAAGCCACTCACACACAGACGTTGATTACCAAAAACGGGCTGCATACTGCAAAACACCAGTCGCAACAAACAAATTCTTGTATTAGTGGTGACGCAACAACAAAATCCGTATGCAATACGCCTCTGCTTATGGATATAGTGGTTATCTATTCTGATACTCAGACCCATCTTGGACTTCCAAGTTATGATGTTTTCATACCTTGGACTATCAGGCTGAAATTTCTGCCCAAACCCTTATTAATTTGTCATAGATTGAGGATTCTGATGAATGAGATATGATCTTATTCAGCCTACATTATGCTAATTCTTTTGTATAGGTAAATAGAAGCTGACACCATTCTAGAAGGAGGAAATTGACAGGAGGCTGTGATATCTCACGATGGTGATTATCTACCAAGGGGTGGCAAAGTAAGGCTACTTTGTGAATCAACGCTTAATGTGTTCAAAGTATCTATAGAAGAGTTAGCTTGAAAGTTTATCAAAGCAGACTTGGAGGCCTTTTTGATATCTTTAGCATCTGCCCCAAAGCTTTGTATGGTGGCACTTAGTGGTAGACTACCGCGTCTATCATTCAGTGGTCTTCCACTAAGGGGTCGACCACCATATGATCTGCCGCTATGTGGACGAAAACCAGGGGTTGTACTCCGAGTGCTTCGACTATCTGGGGTTGATATTCCACTGCTTAATCTGTAAAGATATAAAATCATGTAACCATGTAGTGAGTTCGGTATTTTGGATTAGGTTTAAGGCATGATGACGTTTCAACCTCATAGGAAATACACAAAGCATAAGAACTTTTGACTTAATTTCTTTTCATATGTTTTGAGCTAAACATTTACACATACGTGGACACAGCTCATTAGATGTATTTATTAGTCAGACTTGATATACTGAGCAGTAAACTTCTCAACATGGTGTCAGCGGTGGGATATTTAATTTCGCAATATACTTGCCTATCGAAGGTTGCAGGTGAGTTGATAGTTTGGCGCTGAAATGTCGAGCTTTTGGGTCTGGGGGTATATAGCGAAGGCATGGTACTTGATGTCTGAGAAAAAGGCCTCACTAAAGTTTTCTCTCCACCAGGAGGTCTACAAACAAAACAAAAATGCCAGAATGAAATGAGATGATCAACCACACACCATGTACATACATACATAATGGATCATGGCTGATCGTTTATTAAACCATTTATTCTTGAATACTTGGCATAGCCACAGGGATCCAATGGCCCGAAACAAACAGGAGGCAACAAGGAACATCTCCGTTCACTCGGTTTTTCTCGGTCAGAACACATTGAAGGCCGAGAGTGCAAAGATGTCGAGGAAGGGGTTGTGCCATAATCACCCTCTTTTTATTTGTATTTTGCGTATGTATGACACTTTTGATTAATCATTGCCATACCTTGTTGTTGTTAGCTCATTCACCATACCAGGGAGATCTTGAATTGGCGTTGTTACACGAGACCGCTGCTTCTGGCGTTTCATCTTACGTCTTACTTTATGGCGGTAATTCCTATGTGTTTGCATCAATTCTCTGAAAAATATATACCATCTTGGAAATGAAACATTCGAATAAAAGTCATCAACCCAAGAAGTAAATGTGGACACAAAGTAATAATACTAATACTAAATACTCTAAATATACCATTGATTGGATTGGACACAAAGTAATAATACTAATACTAAATACTCTAAATATACCATTGATCCGACCCCATTGATCCCTATTAATTTTACAACACGTGATGAATCTAATTTATTACTTGTAGGCAGTGAGATTTCCTAAAGACTTACCTAAAATCGATTTCTCCATTGTTGTTGTAGTCAAAATGTTTTATCAACTCTTCGATTTGAAGGTGATTTAATGGCAGCCCAATACTCTAAAATATAAAAAAAACATTTTCAGGTAAAACATTTACATAAAATTAATGTATCGATAAATTTTACTAATGAAATAGTCATATCTTGAATCTTGTATCGCAGAAATTTTAAAGGATAAACCTACTCGTATGCCTTTCCTGAACTCATCAGTTGTAACATTCCAATTCTTATCACCGTCAAAATGTGAGAAAAAGTCAATCATCCTGTAGTTATTTTGCCTAATGAACCGCATCAGTAATACCAGCGGGTCCTTCATGGTACCCTCGCGTATAAGACGTTCTGCAAATGCATCATTGTGACGCACATAGCCACCGTGTATGACATGAAAATGAGGCCGTTTTGCTTGTACCTCATCAAGTAGTTGGTAAAACTCATCTGTTATATCCACAGCCTGTAAATGAATGGGGCAGAGTATCCTCTATTTATTATAATATTGATAATATATATCTTCAGTAATTTTGTTGATAACTATCATGACTATCATACAAGATATGATTATGAAACTTTATAAAACATTGTATATACTCCCAAAACAACCAGCTATTGGCTTTCATCTAGACTAGTACCATATATGCACCTTCAATCGAGGTTTATACTTACAGATATTTCTAGTCTAGCCAGTGCAGACTTTTTGCTTTTCTTCAACATTTCTAGGATCAAACAGGCTCCCATTGTAGTCAATGGATTCTTACTAATCTAAAACAAAATAATAATTATTATTAAATAACATAATCCTGGTTTACGTTTCTCACGATGGTTCCTTCTTCATCCTTTCGATACTTTTCTTTCTACAGAGCTTCTGGTAATGTACTTTAAATTTTAAAATGTTGATCTAAATGGCAATGTCATCTTTTTAAAAAGTGTCCCAAATTGGATAAAGCATACATGTAAGCATCTTAATTTTTAAACTGGCAAATCAAAGTATGGGATTTGAATGTACGGTTTTGATATGATATTCATAAATAACATTTATGTGGGGTTAGAGTAAAGTACCTTTAGTATCTGAAGGGTCGTGTTCAACCTCAAACCTGTACAGAAACTGACAATGCCCTCTAAGCTGATTCTATTACAGGACAAGTCCAGTTCAACTAGAGTTGTATTCCTCTTTAGGGCCGTCCCCATAGCTTTAGCACCATCATTAGATATCCCATTCCATGATAGGTCGAGTACTTGGATACTGTCATTAAACTGAAAACATATCAAGGCATTGTAAATTTATGTGTTTATTTAATGAACATATCAAACGCAAACACCTGATAGGACAGTGTATTGAAAATGAAAAAGACATTCTGAGCCAAGATAGATTTCCTTTGGAAACAAATGGCCAACCAAAGGACATCATCTTGTACCAGACTCCTGCGACTGATTGTGGTATCGAGGTTTATTACTGCAATCTTCAAGGTATATCGCACCCTGAAATTGTACATATTACAATTTGATAAATAAACATATATAATAAAAACACCAACAAATATTATACCTGACACAAAAAACAACATTATCAAGCGTTAATGAAAAAACATCTAAAAACAGCACGGAGCACTCACATTTCAGCACTTTAACAGGCGACCCCGTGTACTTTACTTTAAGAAAAAAATGAAAAAACAAAAACAGAATGTATTTAGCAGGAAACATCAGCGCTAAACCACTCGTTTATTGTGCTAAAAATATAGCAAAATAAAATAAAACAGATAAATAAATAAATAATGTAAAAGAAATTGCAATTTGAAAATCACGCAGAAAGTGTTCCTTGAACATAAAATCATACGCAATTAAGAATGAATTCAACTTACAGCGATACCTTTAGCTATGGCACGTCCCCCTTTAAGGCGTAGATGATTCCAGCTTAGGTTGAGTATCTCAAGCGTTGTGTTGTCAGCTATAAACATATTACATGGTGAAAGTACACTGTGAATCCCAAACCCTAGTAAGTAATTCTTTAAATCAATTCAACGGATACTATATATTGATGTGATGGAAAGCAATGATATATGCCAAAAAGCATATATGGAATACATATCACAGAGAGGTCATATACAGGGTATCCATAAAGTCTATTTACAATTTACAGACTTTGTATTGAAATTGTAAATAGACTTCACGGACACCCTGTATATGTAAACCCCCGAAATGCCTGTGTAAAAAGTGTAAAATGTTCATTAACATTCAGATTTAAATTACCTATGGCTTGACCAAGTAATATTCCACCAGCCTCTCGAAAGTCATTATGACTGAGATCAAGTTCTTGAAGACGAAATGTTTTCTGAAATATAAATAATTTGTTTGTTATTTATTTGTTTCTTATAATTCAAAATGATAATGGAGTTTTTCAAAATATATGAACTCGAAAGAGGAACGACCAAAATATAGTCCAAAACTCTGTTAGCAGAAAAATACATATAAGAGTGTATTTAACAAGGAAACAATATTATCAATAAGAGTATCAAAAAGCAAACATCCATTCACGTCACAATGGGATCTTTGAAATCGTCTCGCCTGTAGTTACATCTTCAACAAACATCAAACAGAATCTGATTTTGTATTAGATATTGAGCATATTAGTACTTATGTCTATCCTTGAACCCAACTTACCGTTATAGCAGCAGCAAACTTTTCTGCATCCCTCTCTTGGAAGTTATTACCTGAAATAAACACAAGACATGATAACACAAACATGCCACATGACATGAAAGCACACGCCAGGATCGCAAAACAAAAGATGTAGCACTATCACAGACAAAGGGGCAGTACATGTTGGAGTTGAATCCATGGCCCAAAGGGCCCGGAAACAGTGATTTGGGGGCTGGGAGGTAGAAGGGTTTATGGAATGGCCAGCAAGGTGCGACCAAACATTTATTTCAATGGTTCTATGAGAACTCAAAGCATAGTGAATTATAATTCATGAACATGACACTTTTTTTATGAAAATTGAGTTTACCTGCGAGATTCAAAGAATTTATACCAGCATTATCCATTAGCATTTCACATATGTACTCCGCTCCCTTGCTACCTATATTGTTCTCAGATAGGTCCTGGAAGATACAACAAATTAAATAAAATCTGCAGTAAATAACATTGGTGATCTCACATTGTGAAACCACCACAGTCAATTTCTCCAAAACGAGCTAGGCTAGAGTAAGAGTCGAGACCAACGGCGTAAACCACCATATTGGAGCCTCATAAAATGAGGTAAAAGAAGTTTTCATTTCGAAAATTGTTAATGAATGGACATTGACGAACACGTGCGCGTTTGGTATGATATTGGTTAGCCTCAGAACGTTTTCCAAATATTTTTCAACCTTGTCAAAAACTGTGAACAAATAAACTGTCTTTCTTTTTACATATAGCATTACCGACGATAGTAGTAAGATCATACGATGATATTTATTTAGCATTCTACAATGTAAAAATTGTTGGTGACCTAAACTTGCAAAAACAAAGTATATAAGACATGGGCATCGAGAAGAAATTAAAACTGAGATACTGTCTCTCTCCACTGGTTATCATCAACAAGGAATAGGGAAAGATCCAACTACAAATCATGCCCACCAAGACCATGCCCACATACTTAATTTCTAGAAACCCTTTGCAAGAAACATCCCTGAAAATATCAAATCAATCTCTCAAGCAGTTTGTCTCGAACTGCAAAGAAAGGTAAGGTGATTTATCATATAACAGGTAGTTTTAGGGAGATAAATGACAAGAGTTTTAGGGAGATAAGTTGGAAATATGTAAGCCGTATCCTGGTTTTGAGGTTTCCATATCCAGAACCTCCATATCTCTCGCCATATCTGCCATTCTAGGGCATATCTTCCCGCTTTGGAAAAAATGGAAAAAATTCATGATCTAACGTGATAATTCTACTACCCCTCTTCCCCCAGCAGCAGTCAAGTATCACTATCACAACCCAAGACCGCATCACCAAAGGACATTTCATTCATACTGAAGTCATTATATATTAGGAAGTATACCTACCACATCTGTAATGATAACATTTTCTTTTAACATGTCAGCTACAGCTCTAGCTCCGCTCTCTCCTACATCACAGCCCTGTAGCCTCAGGACTTTCACCTTTGTGTTGGACTAAAATCAATGTAAAATACTTAAATACAACTCATCCTAATAACTCCTATGCACAAATAACTGACAAATTGTGATTTGGCTTTTTTGGATATGCAATATAGATAAGTAATATTCTATAGCCTTTGGAGACATGATAGACTACATATGCTGATGGTGGTTATTTTACGATGAACTGGGCGCAATTCATGATCCATCACAACATGTAACTTACCATGCTGGTGGTGGTTATTTCAATATGAACTGGGCATGATTCATGATCCATCACCCATGTAACTTACCAATAAGGGCACGCATATATTACTCTGGCTGTTAATGATCCAACAATAAGTTTACAAGAACAAATAGCCGGCTCTGACTTTTAATAATTAAAACAAACTCAGCAAGAAAAACAAGCACATAACTTTGGCTTCTAATGATCCGACACTAGCTTACCAAGAGAGGAATGCATAAAGCTCTGGTTCCCAATGGTCCAATGCTCCTATTTGTCATGTCCAAAATTGCACGATCAAGCTGCAGTTGTTTAAGAAGGTTGGAAGATGGCACGATTCCAAACTTTTTGCACGCCGTATTGTAGATATCAACTTGGGAGGGCATTTTGGAAGGCCTTTCCTCTAAAATCAAATTCATTTAGAAATAATCAGTAAAATGCCATTACCAGTAAGAATGAATAAATACGACAGTAAAATTACAGATGCACTTTTGTCTCAGGAAATATTGAAATGTCTTTTTATATAATATAAGATTTACATCTGAAAGACCTAGAATTATTTAAGGCAATAATTTGAGGTATTCTAAAATCATAATTAAAATGAGACTGGGATGACATTAAACATTTTACCTTCTTCCAGGTCCGTGTCATCTGATTCATCAATATCAAATGGTTTCTTTGGTTCTTCCTGTGTATTAACAGTATTCAACGATGATGCAGAATCCAATATTTCACGTAAATCCTGTGGTTTAAGACTGTCATAAACCTTTTTATATGAATATGATATTTTACGATTCGTTGAGCTCTCTTCAGTGTTGACTGTTAAAAGACCTGTATTTGGGTTGTCATCGTCGTCCGTGCCGTCAGTGTCAACATCGGAGTAGTCATCCTCCATGGCATCATATGCCATAGGGTCATTGTTAGAATTATAGACAATATGTACGTGTGCCGTATTACTAGTAGCATTTTGTTCTGTAGGTGCACCATCAGCAACAACAACAGATGCATTACCATTTTCATGAAGTTCATTTGAGGCACCATCTGTATCAATTGACTCAGCATCAATCTTGACATTATCCAAATCATCCACAATACGTAAAAATGTTTTGTTTATACGAGAACTGTTTGGTTTTTTGGCAAGAACTGGAGGTAGGCATGTAGGTGTTTCTGCGTGATTAATCTGAATATCGGGATTTCCTCTCTTTTGCTTTTTAGTTTTTGATTTCCTTCGATGTATTTTCTTGCTCCTTGACACGAGAGATTTGTGAGGCACTTGTCTTCTTTTCCTTTGAGCATAAAGCATGAACCGATATACAAACGATATTTTGAATTCACAAGAATTGTAATTAATTTATTCACCAATGACTACACATTCAAACACTCAATACTACTATTTTTCTTTTTTTAGGATGATATACATTTACATATACATCAATGATTACTTTTAAAGATATCCCGTAATTGTATCTTTAGATGTTCATAATGAATTAAGTATCTTGGTTTTTGTATACTAATAATATCTGACATGTATGAAATAACATTTTATATACTCACATATCTGTTAGGGTAGCTGTGAAACCCGACATGTTGTATTCTCAATTACGATTTATATTAACAATAAAAAATAACTACATTTCAACAGTGTGTAATTACTACTCTTAGTGTTCTCAAGCTTTGTAAGAACAAATAGTAACAAAATGAAATCTTGTCATACAATATGTCAATAGGAATATACATAGCAACAGATAAGGATTGTATCCAAATTTATTAATAGGGATTGACCATTTGGATATTTTAATCATTACAAACCTAATAAATAGGGGCGATCAACAAATAACGTAAGTCCTATCTCATGCAATAATTGAAGCTAGAACACCAAACTTGGTATATGTATCACAAAACATTTATGATTATTTAAAAAAAATCAGATGCACATAATACGTTATGCCAGAGTAACGATTGCGATAGCAACCCGTGGTATGGGCACATAAAGTGGGTTGTGAATTATAGCCAATAATGAATAATAAGGTAATAAGTGGACACTTTATTTAATTATTTGATAAAAAAAATATTTAGTAATAATATTTTACTAAGTGAACCTCTTTATTACAGGTTAGCTTTGTACGTGTTAATTGGGTGTTGCACATTACAATGGAAGCAAATTGGATGACAATAAATATATAATTGTAGTTTAGAATTTAAAGTATTTCTTATACATCAAGTAATTAACGAATTCCCTTTAAGAATACATATCCAAGGATGGCCCCAAGGTTCCCATCTTGACTCTTGAACTGCTGACCTTCAGTTTAATAGCTCCCAGCAAAATAACAATGAATATATGAAAATATTTGCTGGTGCAAAATTAATGCAGAGAGAAAATAATAATATCTAATATCTAAAAACGCTTCAAAGGAGTAATATAAAATATGTTAAATCTCAAATTATCATACAAATATAATGGGCAGCAGTGCCCATGGATAATAGTTTAAAGCAAAGGTTAGTCTCATTGACACCACTCGAACTCGAAATGTAACGACAGCAAAGGCTACTTGAACCACAAGATAAGACTGCTGATATTAACAAAGTAACATATTGTGTAAATATATATTATCTTTACGACAAGTTTTCAATAAAATCACAATATTAAAGGTCCTGAACTCAAATTCCTCCAATAGTACGTCATCTAGTCGTCAGTTCTACAAGTCATCAGTTACAGTCGCAATCAATTGACTTAAAGAGGCAATGTCTCTTAGGTCTCTCTCTCGGACAATCAGTGATATCCCATTATAATTGCTAAATACAATAATATCTTACATACATAAGAAATATCTCGAGACCAACTTATGGGAATAGTATTGCCGATATATTGAAAAAATCAACAGAGAAGCTCTCTTTTAAGAAGCGAAGTCGAACACATGCAAATGGTACTGAAAGTTGACAAGTAGATGCCGGTGAACCTGTTTTACATCTCCCAATGCAAAATTATCAAGGGGTACTCCTATCAGACACTGCCTCTTTAAACCAATGTACTAGTTATGAGATTACATTGGATTGGAATCTATAAAACATCTGCCATAAAAGACCCATCAAAAAACAATTAGCTAACTTGATCTGATTACTGTAGGCATACAATGCAGTGTGTGTCAACGCAAAAAAAAGTTGATCTTGCAAACTTTAGTAAGATATTTTTTTAAGACAGTATGTGCCTTTCAACGCCTCATAACTAAAATACATTGTTCTTCTTACATCAATAAAATATATATCATAACCTCGAAGTGAGGCAACCTCTAAGATTTTTCTAGGCAGACATTTAAAATATAAGTTTAGTTTTAAAATACCAAAAGAACGCATAATTAGACCAGATCATTTTTAAGAAAACGCACGCCCGCCACTTTAATAGTTAATATTTGATTAATTTTAGTTAAAATTTCACAACAGCCAAGACTTACTGACATAGTGACCAGTGTCATGACCAGCTAACAAATAGGATGCTATGTTAACACTAGAATACATTTGTCTTGTTTGAGAATTCATAAAAGGGTCCCGAAATGGAGTACAGTAATTCCATTACGTTGGGAATGGGATCAGAGCTTTAATTTTCCAAGTCAACGTTAACAATATGTCGTAGTTTTACAAACTGATCTTACAACATAAACATCCATCCAGTCCAAAGTACAAAAGTGATTTTGATAAGGCTCTCTACACAAATGACCATATCAATGCTTAAAGGTACCTTTAGTTACATATTAAGAATACACTGTAAACTGTCTTTGCCTTAAAAGTACGCAAACTTTTTTCTAAGTTTCAACACTGATCAATGATTTCTTCAACAAAACTTGGACAATATGAAGAACTTCCTTTTAATAACAGCCGTTATTGCTAGCATTGTTGCAATATATGTATGGCCAGTGATTGACCGAGTGAGACAAGTTGCTGTCGGGTATGGTGCTAAAACTGTGTGTTCTGGGGTGTATGTTAGTGGCATGACTTTGGAATCGCTAAGAAAAAACGAACTAATGGGAGGTGGACCGATGCTCCCTTTATTTATGACCTTTGACATTGATAATACGACAAAAACAATCACAACGTCATGTCTTGGAGTAAAAGCAACTGCAAAATACTATGGATACCATAAAGGATGTTCGTTGTTGCCAAGGTCTTATTCTTATGCAGGTATCTCTTCCAAACTAGATACGTTAAAAATCAAACACCATCAAAAAGCATTCCAATGGCCAAATGCAACTTCAAAATCAAAGAATGCTTTCCATAATATTGACTATGAAAAGCTGGACAAGCTTGTTAGTGGAGAGTTTGATGTGCATACATATTCTGGAATCACAAAAGAGGAAATTCAGGAAGATTTAGAGAGGATTAGGAAGGGGCAAACAAGAGCAGTGGTTGTTGTGTACAAAGGTAAACTTGTAGCCGAGGGATACAATTCACTCATGGGCCTAACAAAAGATTCTAGATTACATGGTTGGTCAGTCACAAAAAGTGTCTTAGCAACACTTGTAGGAATCCGCATCAAGCAGAACAAAATGTCCTTGGACCATCTGGCCAATGTTACAGAATGGTCCGATGCCTCAATGCAAGAACAGCACATAACAGTCAGAAATATGCTTAACATGAACGCTGGTATTGACTGCGAGGAGAAATATCATGTAACAGGTGATGTATGTAAGATGATCTTCACCGAGGACAATGCTGCCGGTAAATTCCCCAGGTGAGAAATGGTACTACTCCAGTGCAACGTCGAACCTTTTATCTCAAGTGCTACGTAACTCATTCGACAACGATGAGAAGCATTGGAAGTTCCCCCACCAGGAGCTTTTTGATGTGATAGGTGCAACATCGATGGTAATAGAGGTTGACCCAAGTGGATCATTTGTTGGGTCTAGCTATAGTTACGCTACTGCTAGAGATTGGGCTAAACTAGCACAGCTCCATCTACAAAATGGTGTATGGAATAATAAACAAATCCTACCCGAAGACTGGAGTACATTTGTGTCAACACCAACGAAGGAAAGTGAAGGCCACTACGGGGCTCTTTGGTGGCTCAATCCATACAAAGGTCATGGCAAAAGAGAATCTGAGACAGATCCTATGGGGCATTATCGCTACTGGATGAAATCCCTACCCTCAGATCTATATCGAGCAGAAGGACACGAAGGCCAGTTTGTCATTGTAGTGCCCTCTAAAGATTTGGTTATTGTTAGGCTGGGATTAAGTCGTGGAAATGACTCTTGGGATAAAGAAAAGTTCTTCTCTAGTTTGATTAGCTGTTTTAATTAATGTTTTGATGACACGGGAGCTTTTTATTTATGAATAAATATGTGTATATTAGAATAAGCTATAAACTTTGAATAAATGTTATCAGAAAGACATAAACGGAATCATATACCTTTATATCATATATCCTTAACTCGTTGCTTCATTTTTTATTGCATTTGACCTTCAATCATTATTTCAAAATTAAATGGTTTATTAATTCAGTTTATTACTGAATATATTGATGCATATTTAACCTTATCTAAAGACAATGACTAGAGATGTATGCACATCGATAAATGATTAATCAATGTTCTTCTGAATGTCTGTCCTTCTTCATTATAAGTTTAGAATCCATTATTTTGTAGAAGTATTGTCAAGATTGACACAACTTAATGTGAATTGAAAGTGAAATAAAAATGTTAACAGTATACACCGTAAGCGGCACCTTTGTATCAATTTTAAGAACCAGGCAGCACATTTGTATCTATTCCAAGAATCAGGAAACAAATTTGTATCTATTCCGAGAATCAGTCAGCACATTTACATCTATTTCAAGATCAAGGCAGCACAATTGTATCTTTTTCAAGATCAAGGCAACATATTTGTATCAATTTCAACAACCAAGAAGCCCATTTGTATCTATTTCGAGAATCAGGCGGCACATTTGTATCTATTTCATGATCAAGGCAGCACATTTGTATCTTTTTCAAAAACCAGGCCGCCCATTTATATCTATTTCAAGAATCAGGCAGCACATTTATATCTATTTCAAAAACCAGGCAGCACATTTATATCTATTTCAAGAATCAGGCAGCACATTTGTATCTATTTCAAGAACCAGGCAGCACATTTGTATCTATTTCAAGAATCAGGCAGCACATTTGTATCTATTTCAAGAACCAGGCAGCACATTTATATCTATTTCAAAAACCAGGCAGCACATTTATATCTATTTCAAGAATCAGGCAGCACATTTGTATCTATTTCAAGAACCAGGCAGCACATTTGTATCTATTTCAAGAATCAGGCAGCACATTTGTATCTATTTCAAGAACCAGGCAGCACATTTATATCTATTTCAAAAACCAGGCAGCACATTTATATCTATTTCAAGAATCAGGCAGCACATTTATATCTATTTCAAAAACCATGCAGCACATTTGTATCTATTTCAAGAACCAGGCAGCATATTTGTATCTATTTTAAGAATCAGGCAGCACATTTGTATCTATTTCAAGAACCAGGCAGCACATTTATATCTATTTCAAAAACCAGGCAGCACATTTATATCTATTTCGAGAATCGTGCAGCACATTTATATCTATTTCAAAATCAAGGCAGCACAATTGTATCTGTTTCTGAAAGTGAAATAAAAATGTTAACAGTATACACCGTAAGCGGCACCTTTGTATCAATTTTAAGAACCAGGCAGCACATTTGTATCTATTCCAAGAATCAGGAAACAAATTTGTATCTATTCCGAGAATCAGTCAGCACATTTACATCTATTTCAAGATCAAGGCAGCACAATTGTATCTTTTTCAAGATCAAGGCAACATATTTGTATCAATTTCAACAACCAAGAAGCCCATTTGTATCTATTTCGAGAATCAGGCGGCACATTTGTATCTATTTCATGATCAAGGCAGCACATTTGTATCTTTTTCAAAAACCAGGCCGCCCATTTATATCTATTTCAAGAATCAGGCAGCACATTTATATCTATTTCAAAAACCAGGCAGCACATTTATATCTATTTCAAGAATCAGGCAGCACATTTGTATCTATTTCAAGAACCAGGCAGCACATTTGTATCTATTTCAAGAATCAGGCAGCACATTTGTATCTATTTCAAGAACCAGGCAGCACATTTATATCTATTTCAAAAACCAGGCAGCACATTTATATCTATTTCAAGAATCAGGCAGCACATTTGTATCTATTTCAAGAACCAGGCAGCACATTTGTATCTATTTCAAGAATCAGGCAGCACATTTGTATCTATTTCAAGAACCAGGCAGCACATTTATATCTATTTCAAAAACCAGGCAGCACATTTATATCTATTTCAAGAATCAGGCAGCACATTTATATCTATTTCAAAAACCATGCAGCACATTTGTATCTATTTCAAGAACCAGGCAGCATATTTGTATCTATTTTAAGAATCAGGCAGCACATTTGTATCTATTTCAAGAACCAGGCAGCACATTTATATCTATTTCAAAAACCAGGCAGCACATTTATATCTATTTCGAGAATCGTGCAGCACATTTATATCTATTTCAAAATCAAGGCAGCACAATTGTATCTGTTTCTGAACCAGGCAATACATCTGTATCTATTTCAAGAACCAGTCAGCCCATTTGTTTCTATTTCCAAAAAAACAGGCAGCACATTTGTATCTATTTCAAGATCCAGGCCGCCCATTTGTATCTATTTCAAGAATCAGGCAGCAAATTTGTATCTATTTCTGAACCAGGCAGCACATTTGTATCTATTTCGAGAATCAGGCAGCCCATTTGTATCTATTTCAAGAATCAGGCAGCACATTTATATCTATTTCAAAAACCAGGCAGCACATTTATATCTATTTCAAGAATCAGGCAGCACATTTATATCTATTTCAAAAACCAGGCAGCACATTTATATCTATTTCAAGAATCAGGCAGCACATTTGTATCTATTTCAAGAACCAGGCAGCACATTTGTATCTATTTCGAGAATCGTGCAGCACATTTATATCTATTTCAAAATCAAGGCAGCACAATTGTATCTGTTTCTGAACCAGGCAATACATCTGTATCTATTTCAAGAACCAGTCAGCCCATTTGTTTCTATTTCCAAAAAAACAGGCAGCACATTTGTATCTATTTCAAGATCCAGGCCGCCCATTTGTATCTATTTCAAGAATCAGGCAGCAAATTTGTATCTATTTCTGAACCAGGCAGCACATTTGTATCTATTTCTGAACCAGGCAATACATTTGTATCTATTTCAAGAACCAGGCAGCCCATGTGTTTCAAAAACCAGGCAGCACATTTGTATCTATTTCGAGAATCAGGCAGCCCGTTTGTATCTATTTCAAGAACCAGGACTTCTCAGGATAAAGCTATGCAGAAATGCCTTCGTGATACATCTATAGATACAGAATCTTTCTCCCGGGGGATGGCAGTATTTGTGGCTATGCAACTGCCATCTTTCAACTTTGTCTCTAAACTTATTTGGTTGTCTGTTTTGAACGTTCTCTTTTTAAATCAAATTTTAATTTCCAAGTGCCTAGATATTAAAGAAAATAGTTTTTCCTTGTAATAGCCAATTATACACTCCATAGCCCTATTTTCATGTGTCACTACAGCAGTCAGTCTGCTTGTTCAATGCAATATACTTGGAAGGGAAATGCGTAAATGTGCCCTAGCTCGAAAATGTGAAAATGAGGAGGTAAACTAGGACATTGCAAAAGCAACCATCCATCTGTTTATAGAATGGCAATTTTGTATAATGATTTACCAAAAGGTGATATGTTATGCATAGGTACCTTTGCATCATGAGTGTTCGATGTATTTGATAGACTTATGAGAATTTCTAAGATTCTCACATGTTCCTGAAACTAGTTTTCATTCTTTTAACTATTCGTAAAGATGGTTTTTGATATTGTCTTCATGAGATAGTATCAGATCTAAAGGGAAACCTTAACGAAAAATTGTCTCAATTTTAAAAAATTATTACATTAGCATTTCTTGTGTGGTATTTTTTCTAAAAATTCCCATCATTTTTATAATGTGTTTATTGCTCTTTAAATGTGTTCACTACATTTATCAAGGAAAATTGAGCACATTGACTTTTAAAAAACTTCACCGATTGACAACATACCGCGGATCTTTTTGGAGAAAATACAAGATATGTCTTTTGATTTCATCCCATTTATTGATAATATTGATTTCGATTGTTTACAAGGTACATTTTATTACATTTTGGCTTACAGATACTTCATAGATACTTTCAACAGTTCAACGAGACAATCCTGCTAACAACTTTTTTAAAACAACATCACACGTATATCTTTATCATGAAACCTTTCTGCTATGACGACATGATTACTGTTTCACTCCCGAAAGGATAACCTAATCGCTAAATTACAGCCTTCAAAATACATGTATAACATTATATATAAAGCCATTATGCGATAATTTATTTTGTTCACCGAAAGAGGTCAGAACTAATTGTTATAAACCATTTGAAGAACTGACTTGTATTGAGATGATTCCATTGGAAAATGTGAGATTTTTGTTTGCGGAAAGAAATTGACCCTCTGTGCTTTTATTTTCGGTTTACTTGAAACGATTTGAGCAGATCTCGCATTAATATTTGATTGGCATTGATTTCTTGTTTTGGTACATGTATTGTCCATAGTAACCATGTCTCTTGTAACAGAAAGGCCTTCCAAGGATGTGCTTGTAAATTCTTCTGGACAACTAGCCAAGACACCATCACCGACCTGTTCTGAGGGTGTGGGATCTCCGCAATGAACGACACGCTTGGCTGATGAGCTCCACGTAGGACTTGAGCATAGTGTACCTTTTGAGCTATCGTCCTCAGACTCTGGGACAGGACAGACGTACGAGCTAATACTACTTTGTGTTTTAAATTTTTCATTCTCTTGAACAGATGCACTAATACTTGGAACACTTGGCAAATGAGTGGTGGCCTTGCCAGATTCTGATGACCCATGCATGGAACTGTTATCAGAGCATCTATCACCCGTGCTTGGTGTATTCAACTCATCCCCACACTCTTTGACTAACATTAATGTCGGGGCCATCTTATGTCTCTCTTGTTTTACCTTTTTAAGAGTTTCTCTTTGTAACACTGTATTATTTATTGGTCTTACTTGTGCACGATTGTCTTTAGCACCGAGTTCTTCCATTCTTATCTCGTTAAGGTTAACAGCATCATCGCTCATTCCCTCATTTATATCGATGCGAACTTCTGTATTCGACTTTTGATGGGCTTCATGAATGAGAGGAGGGAGAGATTCGGATAAGCTTAATGATTTCTTGAATTGTAAACGTTTCTCATTGATTCTACAAGGTTTACTGCTTATTGCATTGAAACTGTTCACTTCAGCTGCATTACCTTGACGAGTTTGTCTTTCGGCGTCGTTATGATTTCGATATACCAATACTTGAAGAGCAGATTGCAGCTTTCTGGGGAAATGATTGGTTAGTCCAGAACGAAGGGGTGTTTTCCACACATAAATGGCCGCATTCATAGGTACTATAAGAAGTGTGATGGAAACGAGCAACGAAGTGATTGTTCGTGATGTAATAAGGACACTCAAACCAAAATGAGTGATCCAGGGAAGAAGATAAATCGGAAGATATGCAAATATGAACATAATGACTGCTCTCATTCCCGACTTCATAGATTTAGCATAAGAGAAGTATGAACTCCTAGAGGATGTCGCAACTGATACTTTTTGTTGCTGTCGCAGTCTTTTAGCTAACACAATGTACAATGTTATTGTTATGATACAACTAAGTAAAGTAAAGACAAACAGCCCAACCCATCCGACAGAGTTACCATTTTCAGCATCATTCCAGCCTCCAAGGAATGTACAGGACATGGACATCGGTCTGAGCTGATCAGTGAAGGTTGTTTTGACAAACAGGCGGATGATACTGCCACAAGTGCTGATCATAAGACAGTTCAAAAGGCCAGCGTACGAAAAGATCTTCAATGTGCGTGGATTCAAAGAAATGTACAGACCTTTCATAAGGCGCATGCAGGCGATAGTTGGAATCAAGATATGATGTCCCAAGAACGTAAACGTGCTTAGTACAATGCTTATAGTACAAACGGATGGAGTCATCATTCCGTCCCGATTTGTGAGGGTCGCCAACCATAATGGCGATAGTATCAATGCATCCATTGTGTCAACAGCTACAAGGCCCATAATCAACAGATTATAAGCTGAATAAGGCCTAGCTTTGTAATGAATGATAATTATAGTCAAATTCATTATACCTGTTATGATAACAATCAGCAGGATTATTCCTGAAATCACATCCAGCAATGTCTCAAATTCCATCGGTGGCCTTATAACAGACAATGTGAGATTTGCGAGAGCCATCTTTCGATTTAAAACAAGTCAAGCTTTTTGGTTTAAAATGTAAGAACCTAGTTGATGTGTTGCCTATATACATGTACTTGAGGAAGCTGCTTCGGTAGATATTCTTTTAAATACCTTTGTGTTTAACCTTATATATACATGCTGAGTTACGGGTGTTAATTGACAGCAGAAGTACATCTAATTATTATTAACAAGTTCCAAGGACATAACTAAAATGTAATTGCACAGTAAAAGTAGGTGATAACAATACCTCATCATGTGAGCTAAAAAAGTAACACTCTCTGTGACTGACTGACTGACTGACTGGATTACTCAAGCTTTTTTAAAAGATTAACCATCGGTGTCATGCCAATGATATAACAGTTTAAAGTGATTTTATATAATTAAAAAGAAAAATATTAATATTAAGGTACTTGAGTGAGTGGAATGTGCTATAAAACACTGCAAAGATGCAACAAGGCTTTAACATGCAAAATGTCACCACCTGCCATTTGTTACATTTGGTGCAGCCTGCCAATAAGGGGCCATTAATGTGCAGAGTTTGCAATCAAAAATCCCGGGAGAAAGATTAGAATGGGATCAACCAGTGGGTCATATCCAAAATGTCGTAGACTTACGATATCGTAACATTTCTGGAAACGACCCCCTAATAATATTTTGACGAGTTCATTAATCACTAAAGAAGATCTGGAGAGAGCCTCGAGTATTGTGGAACGTCTTTGGTAATCTACTTTTCCAAATTTTCCACCCGAGGTTGTAAATCGGCCATGTACAGGCAAATCAGCAAGGTGCTACTTTATTGGTGTTGGGCAGATGAGAGAATTAGCTACAACTGGGACTTTTGAGCGGACATCCAGTTATGTTGGACGAAGCCATACAGATGCTGCTCACATTTTCACATGTTTGATCTTTTATGTGATCCCTAGAAGTGATCCTTATTTGTTCCTACAATAATCACCATGACGATATTGTGAAACAGTCAGTAACCCTTTCTATTCGTCCGACTTCGTTTCTTCGGGGATATCCTCATCTTCGTGGTTTATTTATAACTGGACTCTGCGTGCAGGATAAACAGGTAGTTGAATTCTATCATCCTATTTGAATTATTCTGTTCAAGACATAATTAGCCTTGGACATCAATAATGAAAAGGTGAATGCCCCATGTTTAGATTCTCGTGTGAATGTTGGACAATTAATTTAACTCTATTATGACTTTTTTAAGTTTTTCATTGAATGGTGCAAAATATTTTTGCAGTTTCTTCCTTGTTTTCGGTTTCATCGCTGGATGTAATCTGTGCTTATTTCTTCCTAACGTCCCTAAACATTCAACTTTTGACTTTTTTATTGGTGTTGCATTGCTGATATCTGTATGTATACAACTTGTATTTAGCATTATATTAAAGTAAAACTGTTTTTCTTTGAAGAAATGTGTTATGTTCAAAAATGTTTCAACTCGGTGTAAAGTTTCCGCTGGATTTATCTTCAGCTTCATCATATCTGTAATCAAGATCCGATCACGTGGGAAATATTTCAAGTAGTTTTGTATGTAATCTATATAAACGCCACGCCTAATGAGGGGAGACGTCTCATTTACTTGACCATTCACATCCAGGATGACGCTTTCGAATGTTTCATTTTTGGAAACTATAAATCCTTTGAGTGCATTTTGCTGGCAGTGTAAGAAAGCTGACATAGTTCTATCTACTGGATCGCATATCTGAAGTATAATTTTTACCCCGGGTACGGTTTTGTAAATCGTTGATACGTTAACCCTGTCAGCGTAGGCTGGAGTCTTCTCATATGACATCTCCCATGGATATATATCTGGCATGAGATCCATATATGAGACAGATTTATCCAATTTAGCTATTCTATCAAAGAAATGAACTTCTGTTTTACCAGCTCTTGTAAGTTTAGGATGGTATGAAAGAAATGTTGCAAGGGCCTGTGTGCCACATTTCTGAAATCCAGATATAATGAAACCAGGTAGTCTTTTCTCCTTACCAGGTAGTATTTTCTCATTTTCAGTTACTTGAAACTTTGGTATTTTTTTCTCTATTAGGAATGAGGTCACTTTATTTCCACGAGTTATATATAAGTAACCATTTGTCAGCATCACGATAGCCCCGATGGCAATTAATATCAAACTTGGAACGCAGTGGGCCAGTTTAAGAAGCATTGTCCTTGGAAATTAATTTACTACCTAGAATCAATAATCTCTATTAATATTTCATAAACGCAATCTGATTTTCTGATTTCGATGAACAATATCATTAAACATGACATTTTAAAATTATTGAATCGGATAACAATTCGTTATGGTCAATATGCACAAAATGGTACTTGAAATGACCTTTAACGCACATGTATTAGTACCTTTGACAGATAAATTGTTCATCATTTTTACACATTTTGAACAATGATTTAAAATAAAATAACTAGGGATATAGTAGTGGATGAGAGATCCATAAATTCCACCTCTTCCAATAGATTTTTTGGGCTAATGCATGTTAAAAAATCATTGAATGTTTGCATTTTGATGTTGCAACGTTTATCCCTTATAAACTTGAATTCCATATCTCAGAACATTAGAACACGGAATTTTATTTTTGTCCAACATAATCCTAAATAAAATATATGTGTCCTCTACATCCAAAATTTTGGTCAAATTATTTTCTGAAAATGGATATGTCCTTTAGATTGTCAAGCGTGTATTGCATGTCTTTCCATAGATTGTTATCAGCCTATCAACCATTTTATCATAATCATGAAAATAATGAACGGACTTAAAGGCCCCTTGTACATTTATGTTTTTAAATATAACGTTCGGTTTTTGAGTCAATCGTCATTTAGTATAAAATGCGCGAACCCGGAATAATACTCAAGGGTACAAAGGATAAAGTCACTTTGTAAAGACCCTTACCTGTAGTAATCTATGTAGATCACTTAATCAATTTCACATATTATTGGTGACGTTTCAGGATCTTCTATTTGTATTTAATAGGAAAAAGTGATATCTAGATCCACCCATCACGTAACACAAAGCACGGTCTTATGAAATACAAAGCAGTTTGGATTATAGCGCAGTCAGATGTCCCTTTGGTAGTTCGACTTTTTCAGGAAAGCAACAAACTTGGCACAGTTGTAGAAACATATGATCTGAATGAAAAATGATTTCGGGGCAAGTGATTCGGGGTGGTCTTCATGGATTGTAAGCCTCTGACCCCCACCCCTATCAGGCGGGGAGGGGGTACATTATAATAAAATAAATAATAATAGTTGTAAAGTTTATTTCTTTAAATGACTTCATTTGGTGATTGCTTTGAGCCTTGAAATTGAGAAAAACGTATTTTAGAAGTGGTGTTTAGGAAGGAAAATACAGTTTAACCCAATTATCTAGCGTGAATTCATCTTTCAAAGGGTCAAATATGGGACATCAAGTACTGTATTTCAAGAATGTGATGTCTGATCATCCTGAAAAAATTCATACTAATAGAGATATAGGTGTTAATCACTCATATGATATATGTCTTGTGTAGCTCATGTAATTTTTGAGAAATAAATTATCGAAATATGGATATTTAAGCCCTTGCAGCCTAGGGGTGACCTTATTTTACCTTAATAATTTTTAAGATACGCAATGTTTGGGCCTCATATGAATTCTAAATGTTGCATTAAGTATTGTTTTGTCATATTATTCCTAATTAAATGTAAAAAAATTATTGAAAATTAAAAAAAAATCAAATTTTCATTTTCGGTTCTAAAGGGCCAGGGGTAACCATATTTTACCCTAATAATTTCCCAGATATGTAATATATGCATCTCAAATTAGCTCAAGATGTTGCATATAGTTCTGTTTTATCATACTTCTTTCAATAAGATGTAGAAAATGATCGGATATATCTAAAAAATCAAAATTTTCACTTAAGCTCTTGATGGCCCTGGGGTAACCTTATTTTACCTTAATAATTTTCTAAATATGAGACATAATCACCTCAAATGAGCTTAAGATGGTATATTTAGTCCTGTTTTATCATATCATTCCCAAGGAGTGAAAAAATGATTGGAAATTATAAGAAAATGACATTTTCATATTACACCCCCAATCCTCAACATCTTTTTGCAGCGCTGTAAACAGTACTGAACAGTGCAGTCAGAGTACTGCACTATATAGCAATGTACAATGCTATTCTAACACCATCTGTTTTGGACAGCGTAGTACAGTACTGTTTTTACAGCTCAGTACTGTTTTAGAAAACAGCTGTGTTCAGTACTGTTTTTACAGCACTGTTTATGAAACCATGCTGTTTGATGCAGTTTGAGATTGGTAGTGTAGTTTATGATAGGTCAGGAATGACCTAATTTTACCTTAAAAATTTAAACAAAGATATATCATATTGTCTACTCAAATGAGCTCAAAATAGTGAATATAGTCTAGTTTTGTCATATTATTGCTACTGAGATATACAATAATAATTAACAATTATAAAAAATGAACCTCAACAGCCATTTATTCCTTTTAAAGTGCCCGATAAACTATAAAATGCGCATGCGTCCAGGTGTTGATAAACTATAAATAGCGAAAATCCAGGGTTTGTCACCACAAGGTAAGCCAGGACGTGTTGAGAGAACAGCTAGTGTTGATATTGAATTTATATGTAGCCAGATAAGTTTCCTTATTGAAATTACATATGGTTATTAGCAATACTTAAAAGGTGCTAAATAATAAAATATTTAGAGTATATATGAGAGAAATTGGTCATTTCGAACCTGTTGAAAAGTTTGTGGCTCTCGGCTACACCGGGGAATTTACTTCCATGAGTACACACATAAATGTGGGGTTCCCCAAGAGGTACGCGACAAGGTGACCTGGCATCAAATGTGCGACTAAATGCTACTATCGAGAAGATAAAATAACGAATACGACAATAAGTTATTGCATGTGACAATTCCGAGCATTCATCTCACTGAAGTATTTTGAAGTGAAAATAGGATTTTTGTTTTGATACATGGATTCAGATGAACGTAACTTTATTCTGACAACTAATCAAAACTGAACAAAATTGATTGTACGTAACAGACAATTTATTGTTTTACAATGTTTTGATTGGCTAAACGAATGAAACCAACAAATTATGACAAGTAAAATGACAATTTTGAAATGTAAAATTTAAAAGTGACAAACACAACCTCCCTATCCACTCTTTGGGAGCCCTAGTAAATTAGTAATATGGACATGCAGCAGTGGTAGTGTACAGCTTATTATCACACTACGCTTTGTATTCTAAAGCCTGTTGTTTGTAATAACACTGTTCACTCAACGTATGTTTTGTGTATGGGCAGTCAACGATAATCATTGTTTTATCCCGGTTATATGACCTCGGCAATTATAACAAAACCGTACTAAACGAAAAAACGCAAATAAGAGAAAGCTTTCACACACATATAAAAAATGAACTAGTCTAATCCGCCAGTATAAACTCTGTGCTATACGTAGCCGGGTCAGGCGCACACTTTAAGTACCAATGGCAATACTATCTAGTTTTATAGAACATTTTCTAAGATATGAAAATGTTTGATAAGTCCAGTTCATATTCGCACGAGTAGTAGCATTGTTATGATTCTGTATATTATCATTTGAGTATATAATCCAAATCTATAAAACCCAATCAAAGGAGTCACAATATATGGACTCTGACAGTCTCTCCTACAGCTACATAGCTCAGAGGAAATCAGATCTGCTTTCAAACATTTGCATCTGTTCTCTTTACACAGGTATCTACCCCATGACCTACATTTTATGTTGTGGCCTCAGTAGCAGCAGTGGGAGTAGTCCAGCCACATTCATGTGGTGATAGAAACTGTGGGTAAGAATGCACCAGAAAGAATAAGAACTCTAGTCTTCTAATTTAGGGTATCAAAAAAGATTTAAAGCTTAAGAACACTTGCGTAACCTCTGGGTACACCTTCTATTCCTGCAAATCAGTTGACTAAGAGTAGTAGCAGAATGCATCTGGCGATTGTATGAAAGATTGTATGAAAAATGGTAAGGGCTAAACTTCGTTCATAGCCAAGTGGCCTTGAAATATCTAAGGCAGGTCGTACATACTGGAGGAATTTCCCCTCACCATAGGCCATATGCAATCCAAATTGACATTTTCAGCACAAGTTACTGCCAGTTTAAACCACATCAAAATCAACTGTATTGACTATGATTCTTATTAGGTCATGACAGAAGCAGTCTTTGGCATGCTTCTTCATATGAGCGAATGGTGATGGCAGATACTTCACTATCGGGCTAAGATATTGCATTACCTCATTTTGAGGTCACTATCTTCTTGCCATCTTCCTCCAGGGTTTCAGTTTTGATGCCTGGAAGGGAAACAGCCCCCTCTTGTTCCAACTATCTTAGGAAATCTTGCCAATTCCACAGAAGAAGATTAGTAGGATATACTTTCCTCACTGTTAAAGTTTTGTGCTGTTTGTATCTATGCTCATTAACATCAAAGTTGAATGACTAAGCTACATAGTAGATGCCAAAATAATAGACAGGGCATGTATAGTTAAACATGCTAACAGTGAAATATAAAGAAAATTTGGTGATTATGCAAATATGATATTACCCACGTAAAAGTCAAATAGTTCATTGCCTTGATGTCAGCTGGGATGTTTACAAGGACACTAGCTTAAAGGGGCAACAAGGTCTGTAGAAGATTCAATTTTTTTACTTTTTCTGAGCTATCAGGGCAATATATTTGGCTTTGACATACCTAATTTCTTAAAATATATGGATAAACAATCAATTTAAGCATTAAGAAGTGTAAATTCAGTTCAAAGCTTCTATAAACTGATAAAGGGAGTCCCACTTATAGGTTTTTAAGATAAATGGATTGAGATTTAAATGTGTGCTGAATTTTCTAATTGTTGTTAATCATATCTCAGTAGGAATAAAGTGAAAAACTATTTTCCCCATTTTGAGATCATTTTATCTTGAAAATTATTGTGATAACATTTGGCATTCTTGTGCCCAATCATTGACTGTCATTATTCACTGACAGAATCCTTGATAGAAGCAGCTCACCGTAACCCCCCCCCCCATCAGGCTAAGGTGACTGGACTTACTACCCTTTGCATTCATTCGACTTTCCTTCTCAAAAGAGAGCTTCGTCTTCACTCTATCAGTTTTCAATGAATCTCTGAACTCACTGCGCTAATCAGAGTTTGTTGTCGAAATAAGGACGGCTTTCTATATGGTCATTTTCTCTGACGAAATCGCATCATTAATGTGCACGCATTTACCACTTGTTCCTTCAAGCTCGCTGATTGGTTGAGAATAGGTCAGCATGGTTTATTGCAGCTTGGGTCATAAATGCTTTTAGACCCAAGCTGCCAATGGCATCGGTCATGGGGACGGGGCTGCTAAACTCACTCCATCCTTTGCTTCTATATTATGGTAATATATGATAAAATCACCCCTGACCTGTCAAAAGCTAAAAATGTCATTTTTCAAATTTCCATTAATTTCTACATCTCCTAAGGAATAATATGACAAAACAAGAGTATATGACACAATTCTAAGCTCATTTGAGATGCATACGTCTCATAATTAAGAAAAGTTCAAGGTTAAATAAGCCCCCCCCTAGGCCATCATAAGCTAAAATGAAAATTTCAAATTTTAAGAAATGTCCAATCATTTTCTACATCTTATTGGAGGTATTATGATTAAACAGAACTATATGCACCATCTTGAGCTAATTTGGGATACATATATTACAAACCTTGAAAGTTATTAAGGTAAAATATGGTTACCCCTGGCCCTTCAGAAGCGATAATGAAATTTTTTTTTTTGAAAAGTTCCAATCATTTTTCAATCCAATTAGGAATAATATGACAAAACAAGACTCAATGCACCATTTTGAGCTCATATGAGACCCATATTTTGCATATCTTAAAAATTATTAAGGTAGAATAAGGTTACCCCTAGGCTGCAAGGGCTTAAAAATTCAAATTTCGATAATTTTTATTTCAAAAAATACATGAGCTACCCAAGCCATATTCTATATTTGTGATGAACATTTATACCCCTATTAGAATGAATTTTTCCAAGATGATCAGACATCATATTCTTGAAATACAGTACTTGATGTCCCATATTTGACCCTTTAAAAGATGAATTCATGCTAGATAATTGGGTCAAAATGCATTTTCCACACTAAACTCCACATCTACAATCTGTTTGTCTCCATTTCAAGGCTCAGAGCAATCACCAAATGAAGTCATTTAAAAAAATTTACTTTACAACCATTTTTATTTATTTTTTATAATGTACCCCCTCCCCACCTGATAGGGGTTGGGGTCAGAGACTAAAAAATCCATGAAGACCACTCCGGATCACTTGCCCCGAAATCATTTACCACTCAAATCAAGTGTTTCTACAACTGTGCCAAGTTTGTTGCTTTCCTGAAAAAGTCGAACTATAAAGGGCTCATTTCTGGACATCTGACTGCGCTATTAATCATGGACTAATTGAAAGCCCATGGATTAATACAAGAAGTTTTATTGGCTAATGCATATGCATACTCAGGAGTACCCCAAGGGTCTTTTATGTTCCTTTTATACAAAAATGATATTTCTGACAGTTATTCATTTTTAACCAAAGTAACGAGGGTAACTGTATATCTATTTTTTATTTTTTTATAATCATTTATATCATAGAAATAACACATGCAATAATTCAAATAACATTTTGATTTTCATTTACAAATAGCCTAAAGGTGTATTATTTTATTTAAAATAGTCAAGTTGTTTTAATCAGTAAAGTTTAGTTAAGGGTCCAGTAGGTTACAAGCAACGATATTGTCAAACTAAAAACTAATAGGCCTACAAAGTTTTATGCATAAGTTTCATTTACAATGAAAAGTACATTATTTTATCTAAAATGGTCAAGTTGTGTGCTAAATGAGTAAAGTTTGGTTAAGGGTCCAGAAGCCTTTTGGTGGATTGCAAAAATGACACTTGCTTTGATTATTAAAATATAAGTATCAACATCAAAATAAGAGAGACCATTTTAAACTTATCAAAAGAAATTTTTAGCTAGAAATGAACTTAAGCAATCACCATATAGAGATCTTTAAGGAATTGGCATCTTGAGTTGATGTACAGAAAGCTCTTCCCAAAACCCCAGAAGTTACATGCAAAAATGATTAAAAGGAATTTTTATTTTTTCCCCCTTTTCCTCAGCTTTTTCAGCTTTTGTGAACTTTTCACCTTTCGTGATTTTGATTGCTGGCTGTCGAAAAATTTGTTGACAGTTGGATCATCAACAATTTGATGAATGAATACTTGTTTTATCAAAGCATTTGTGATGTTGAAATTATCCTGTGTTACTTTCCCGTTATCACGTTTAGCAACAATTTCATTCATATCTTCTGACACTGTTTTAAGATACGGCTGAATTGTAGCCATTAATTGTTTCTTTCTGTTAAAATGTTTCTGAAATTCCTGCGGCCATGTGTCTTTGTCTGTAATTAAGCTATTCAAATGTTTTACTATAGTATCACTCCCATGTTGTTCATCATTTTGTTTTTCATTAATAAATGCCATATTAGCCAATGCAATCGCTTTATTCCTCATCGTCTTGTGACCTTCACCATCTTCAGTATCACTAGCTTTCGTAAGCTCAGGTCGACGTTTGATAAATTTTGCCACCGTTTTACCCAGTTTTTTCTTTCCTTTGCAGGAATTAACCCTCTTTATGAAGTTTAGAGTCTCCAAATAGGGCGTCCCGGATGTATTGTCCATAGAACCTGTAAAGGAGAGAATAATAAATCCAATATTAATAGAGCCTGTAGATACATACAGTACACACACACCATGCCTAAGATCACGACATGCTCCCAGCCAGATATATCGATCCCATTCCCTTGAGACAGACAGATGAATGGAAAGTTATTATTCTACAGGGCACTGAATCTTCATACTTAGATGAATAGCTATAGACAAACAAATCAGGCCCGTAGCCAGGATTTGCCAAGGGGGGGGGGGTCAGTTTTTCAACAATTTCCAGGGGGGTTCACATTTGACAATTTTGGCCCAAATATGGCTAAAATCATTTGAGAAGTGCTCAAATGGTGAAAAACTGCATGATATTGTAAGAATTTTTCGTCCAAATCCTGCGAACCCCCCCCCCCCCTGGCTACGGGCCTGCAAATATATGGAAATAATGGACGGTCTCTCTGTGCATGCACCTCTTCTTTTATTTAGTGGGATGATTTTTGTGAATTTTTTGAAAAAAATGAAAGGTAATTTGTGAGCAATTTATTACAAAATGTTTTTGTTGTATGATGACTGGAAGGCATCCCCGGGTCCCAGGTACTACTGAGCATAAGTGTAACAAGCGAGATACAGAGATGAATGAAACTGCCCAGTGTGGGAATCTAGCCTAGGATCCTTAGATTCAAAGTCTGATGGAGATATAAAGGCATAATAGCTCACTATAGTTGAGCTGTGGTAGCAACTTGTTATCCAGGGCCTTTACCTTGTTGTCATAACAATTAATTGTTACATTTATACATATTTGCACATATTTATTATGATTTTATGTGCTTTGGTGACAATTTGTACACTGATGCAATAATATTTGTACCCACATGTTTTCAGAAAAATAACAATGTGAAAAAAACATTTCTGTTTCTATAGAAAATTTAACAATAGCAATTGTAATCCGAATCATACCAAAAACAATTCTGAACTTTAACTTCGATAGGCTCATTAAATATGGAAACATACAAAATTAAGCAATGACATATCAATAATGGTACACTGGCGGCCCTGAGAGCCTAGTGCATTAGGGTCTGAGTTTGATCTCTTGATGACCTCAAAAGTAGCTGCCATAGCATCGTTCGTGCCATAGCATCGTTCGTTCCTTCTTCCAAAGGAGGTACGAATTCTAGAGGCCTGTGTTTGGAGGTTGCTGTTGTAGCAAAGAGAGTTTTATGAAAATTAATGCCATATAATGATATGAAAGTATACAATTTGGGGAATGATATTTTTTTTGATCAGGTAGCTAGATTTTCAAATGTTGCCATGTCTTCAGAATTTTGATTGGTTAAAAGGATTTTTCTCTTAAATCAGAGTGTAGATGAAGATTTCTTTTAAAAGGGTACATTTGCAGTTATAAATATGAAGATTATATCAGAGGTCTACATTTGTGTTAAATTTGCATTGATAATTGCAGATAATAAACCTAAGTTTTCTAACATTTTTCCCATCAAAAAAGTCAATGTTTCTACATAATAGGCGGGCGGAATTGGAAATGTCATATAGCAAGAAACTCTAGCAGCCAAATATTTAATTGGGTCATATGAATTGACATAATCTTTTTAGCCCCAATCAATCAATCAATCAAACAAGCAATCAACTCTTCAAATCAAAGCAATCAATCAATCAATCAGCCCATCCCTAACAATAGGGAGTTTAAGCTTGCAATGCTTCTCACAACCAAAACGTGAATGGAAAATATTTAAGCGATGCATTTGCATGGGCGATTTGTCATACGTATAGGTTGAGTATTGATTTTAGATGCAAGCTCTTACTCGATAATATCTACATACCTGTACAAGCCATTTTCTGGAGATCTTTACTTTCTCTGATGGGTTCTTCATGTTTTTGCTTCTTTTGTTTAACTGCACCAATATGGTCATCATCATCATCATTGATATGTTTTCTCTTCACTGCCTTTCGTGATATTTCATTGAGGCTTTCTTCCATCATGGAAGTCACACTATCAAGCATAATTCTCTCCTTTTTCTTGGCTTTCTTGCTTTTCTTGCTTTCTTTAAATGTCTTTTTCTTCAAATTTAAATCTGGTTTTTCACATTCTTCTCTAAATGCTGATCTTGTTATTTTCTCACCGATGTCTAAAGTATCTAATGCTTCATGTTCATTATTCTCATTTGTTTCAATATCATCATTGTTATCATCCTTGTCTTGTTCATCATTGATAACATCTTCGTCATGGTGAATTGATTCATTCTCAGGTTGTTGGCTGGTTGAGAACATATCGAAATATCGTTGGATGTTCAGTTTTTCCACTCCTACCATGTAAAGCCTGAAATCGTAATCGTAAAACCCAATCCAATGCAATAACAACACAATATCAAAATCTTTACACTTTTGTTCGAAGGCACAATCAACGATCAAAGAAATTCTGGAATATTTGCCTGTTTGTATTTCAAAAAAGACGAATCAAACCGATACAATGAAATGTTTGAATACACAAATCTAAATGTTGCTTGCTTAATTCAACCTTCACTCTTATCTTCCATTTAAAAACATGCCAACCAATTTATTACAATTAAATTTCTCTTGATAATTCCAAGTTCACTCAGAAAACATGCTACTGAAGAATGATGCATCATGGGTACAAATTCATTGAAATGGTCCACAAAGAGTTGAATTTTAAAAACATACTTGCGGTTGATGATGTGCTGTTTGGCCGTGACAAGGTTTACTATATCAGCACCCAGTGATTCTAGTATATTCTCAGGAAAATCATGTTCCTTGAAATATATAAAAGTACAAAATTTATAGAGATGGCATCATTTGGTGCGCTCAAATGGTGAAAAGGAGCAAGTGGGTTATCACAAACAATTTCAGAAGGTTATATCTTGGATTATGACTATTTTCTGACAATGAAGACAAGTTTATCTTTTAGATCAATTCATTATCTCAAAGAAAATTATGCACAATAATAAATTCAAACAAACTCCGAGATATTTAACTAGCAATTAACCCATCAACACACTTTTTCAAAGATGTTGACCCCATTTTCAGCAAAAATGCAATCAGTGTTCCACATGTTATTTCTCATGCTATTTATTGGTTTCAGTTCATTTTGGTCATCCAAATTGAACATCTTCAAAGTCCCTGGAGCAATCAAATTTTCCTTTTAGGAAATCGAACATGTCTCAAAGCACATTCTAATTATGCATTCAACAATATAATAATAGGTTGCATTTTTGGTGAAAATTTGGACAACATTTTTGAAAAAGTATGTTGATTGGTCCATTGCCCCTTCAATATCACTTACTCTGATTAACTAAAATATCATTATATATACTTTTCTTGAAGATAATGAATGGATCTAGAAGATACAATGTTCATGATCAGAAAATATTCATAATTCAAGTTAGAATTGTTTGAAATTGTTTGCGATAACCTATGTGCTCCTTTGAAGCAAAAGCAAGAGAAATTATGGACCTTCATAAATGGATAAACGCCTAGGTCTGTGGCAGTTTTTGTTTGACACATAATTGTCGGGGGACAGATGGATTGATCTGTGGACACAGATAAAGAAGGGATGTACCGTGAGCCCTTTCTTCCAAAAATGTTGAATTGATATATCTCCTGATGAGGAATTTATTAGATGCAACAAGCAATAATATGTTCTGGTATTATTTTCAAAGTATTGTTTTATTTGTCCATTAATTTGTAAAAGTTTAAAATTCAAAGTTTATATTTTATTCAAACTTAAGTATTCTAGTATTTGATTTACATGGGAAAGTCCTACTAACAAAAGTGGCCATTTAAAATTTAGCAATAATAATCGGGTTAACTTAAAACTGAGAATCTACTCTAAAAGTTCAAGGAAACTTATGTACTTTTAGGCAAATGACTGAAAAAATGGTAGTTACCGGTACATATTAGCCTAACAATAACAATAAAAGATATTGATAATTGGACCCTAGAAGGATATCTTGTATTACGTACTCAAATTGCAATTAGCAACTTAAAGATATTTTAAAGACCTCTGGATAGCAAGTTGCCACTACATCGAAGATATTGGCCCCCACGTGATTAGAAACGTCATATACAAAATATAGCTTTGGTTTATTGGTTCCTTAGTAATCACAACGTCACGGCAACAATAGGATTGTTGTGTAAACAAATTACAAAACATTTTGGCATAATGACGTCATGATTTAATGGACCAAAACAGGGCCACGTGGGGACCAGTGAGAGATCACGTGGGGGCCAATAATGTCACAACCAATTCGAATATTGCTTATTAAGCAGCCATAATGATCGTTGGAGTGAAATAATTTTCACAATACTGATGAGAAAACATGTCCTAATACATTTATCAAAAAGTTATATCGATTCTTTTAGGTCAAAAATACTATTTCATATCTGCTTTAAGTATTTTATTATTTGATTAACATGGGAAAGTCCTGCTAACAAAAATGGCCATTTAAAATTTAGCAATAATTATAGGGTTAAACCTAAAACTGAGAATCTACTCTAAAAGTTCAAAAAAACGTATGTACTTTTGGGCTAATGACTGAAAAAATGGTAGTTACCAGTACATATTAACAATAAAAAAGAAATTGATAATTGGACCCTAAAAGGATATCTTGTATTAAATACTCAAATTGCAATTAGCAACTCAAAGATATTTTAAAGACCTCCGGATAGCAAGTTGCTACTAAAGCCAAGCTGTGGTGGCTTAAGCCTTATGGCTAATGGGTAGAGTATGCCTTTGAACCAGAAGGTCCAGTGTTTGATTCCCACACTGGCCACTGAATTTAGCAGACTTGCTTTCACATTTGTATATGGCTTGTTGACCATTCCAGCTGCGAAGGGTTGTTACAGTATGATCTTTTAAGAAAGATGGTTCACAAAATGGATTGACATAGCATTGACTCATCTTTTTTATTTCACTTTATGGCATAGTATAATGATAGAAATCAAAAAGATTGAGGCTTTGCTTTGCAACTTACAAGCCAAAAATTATGAGTAGTTTTGAAAATAAAAGTGGCTTGTAAGATACATTGATTTTGCTGGAATTTCTATTCTGATATATTATATTTATGCAGATCCAAGTATTGAGTAAATATCCCCATATTGTGAGAAATTGGTAAGAAAAAATGCCAAGTTTACAAAACTGATATTAAAACTAATAATCAACTTCATAACTGGGATTGTTTCATTTCATTAGAACTAAACTAAAATATTGTCAAGAACTGAGAAAAAACATTACTTAAAAATTAAAATTTGTTTATCTAACTTTTATATATGCATGTACAGTGTATATAAAGAATAGTGTACCTGATTTTTGATGGTGTTGGATTTCAGAAGCGCGAGCCTCAAAGGTAGCAATGTTTGATAAGCTTCGACAGTCTGAATTAACAAAAGTCGTACGAGGGCGCTGAAAGTAGTAAAGCAAAGTTCCATTAGTTCTGAAGTTGACTATCCTGCATGATTTTGTAAGAGTTTTTGGCTGGTGAAGGTGGGAGGGGGGGGGGGGGGTTCATCCGCAACCCCTGATCCCCAACCCCTAACCTTTGGCTAAAGGCCTGTATTAGGAATCTAGAAATGTTTCATGTTTGTGACTGAATCTGATTATAGCCATCACTGATTCCCCATAAAAGACAATAAGTTATGTTTAATAGATATATAACTCCACAACTATATGTACAAATGTACAATAGGTCTTCCTTATAATTCTAGAGTTATGTGTAAATATTATCAAGCCATCATGTTTAAAGTAAGTAAGTTAAAACTTACAAAAAACATAAATTTTAGAGTAAGATACTTAGTCCAAGTTTTCAAATTAACAGGTGTTCACATTCAGAAGTCCTGAAAATGTATGAATAATAACTAAACATACAAAACTGTGACTGAAAAAAGTGTTCACAAAATATGAAATAATTTTAGTGTAGTGTAGACTCTAAAGTGTCAAGTAGTGAAATGTAGTGTGGTGGATACAATGTAATGAATGTAGTGTAGCGTAATTAGGAGTGTAGTGTACTATAGGGTCAAGTTGGGTAGTGAAGTGAAATGTAGTGTAGTGTAGTGTAGAGTAGCAAGGTGTATAGTGCAGTATAGTGCCAACTTGGGTAGTGAAGTGAAATTTAGTGTAGTGACATGTAGTTAAATGTATTGTAGTGGATATAGTATAGTAAATTTAGTGTAGTGTAGTGCATTGTAGTGTAGTTAGGAGTGTTTTGTACTATAGTGTCAACTAGGGTAGTGAAGTGAAATGCAGTGTAGTGCCATGTAGTGAACTGTAGTGTAGTAGATTGAGTATAGTGAATGTAGTGTAGTGTAGTGCATTGTAGTGTAGTATACATGTAATGTGTATATAGTGTAGTGCAGTCGCCTCACAACTTACAATATTCTGCTGACGATGCTCACAAATATCAACTGCTTCGGTATGAGATAGTCATTCTCCATTAGCTGCAGGAACAATCTGGCTTAGTTAAGAGAAAATAACAGCAGCTACAGCTATCTCTTTACACGGGTGTTAAGCCACGATGATACCATGAGCACATGCTTTGAGGATCCACGTTGTTTGAACCTACCGCCGAGCTCACTTATACATCAAGACCCGTTACACAGTCATGATACCGCCGAGCAAGCTCATTGTATCATCGGGTCTGCTTTACCCCCGTGCTTTATATAACAGGGAGTTTCACAATAATATGCGGCAAATTGTTATAAACAGGTATAAAGATGTAACAATTGTAACAGACACAGACCACCAACATCAAAATGCTGAAAAATGTTGATTACATTATTTTGGTGACAAAAATTGATTGGAACATTCAGAATGGAGTTTTTGTATAGGCAATAATAAGATATAAAAAAACTGGGAGAAAATATATATGCTAGAGCTATTCAGTATACTTTGCATTTTTGATACATTTAAATAATATCATCCAGCATGTCTCGAAAATATATATTAAATACAATAACGCAAATGCGAGTAGGTAGTTTAGGTGGCTCGTTCGGGTCAGATAGAATGGCGCGTATAGTAGAAGGTTCCCTTTAACTTAAATTACATCTGTTTTCGTGGTTCAATTTTCATATAGCCCTTATGTATCGAATAGTTATGCAAATTAAAGTATGTCCAGTAAAAGAAAATGTTATATGTCCAATACAAGAAAAGATATTTCACTTTTTGTGATTTTGTAATATGGGGAATCAACCCGAACTAGAAGTCACATTTTCAAAAAAGATTAAATTTTCAAAGTTGATACACAATTTTCGAAACCATATTTCCAGATGTACTTTTACCTGTAGATTTCAAATATGCCATCACTTTAACTGAATTTTGTAAATTTAATGACGTAAATCAAGATCATTTCTACTCTTATCTAGTCTATTGGTGTCTCATCCAAGAGATATTTTAGGAAACCTTAACACGGCCACCAAATATTAGGCCCCTTACAGTTGAAAGGTGTGTGGATCCATGGAAAAAGCCTATTAATGATTTCTTGAGATTATAGGACTTAAGAGTGCATGAATTGAAAAACTCTATTCCAAAAAATAATAAAAATAATTATTCAGCATAGAATGATGAGGTAACTAGGACTTATTTAATAATTAATAAGATTGTGAAAATTAATGTTAGAAAAAGTCTAAGCTCATGAGAAAGCAATACATTTTTTAAGTATTTGGATAATATTAGGTAAGTCTCATAGAAATAATTTGTGAGAACATAAAGTTATTATTGAAAATATAACAAATGATAATTATTATTAACAGCTGAAATGACGAATGTAATTGGGAATTGAAATAACTACAGTAATACCTGTATATAATGAACATTTTTTTGCAAAGAAAAAAATGTTCAGAGTTGGTAGGTGTTCACTATAGCCGCATTTTGCCATATTATATAAAGAGACCAGTTATTAAACAAGGCCAAAAGAGAGGAGGGAATAATCAATTCAATTTGTATTTTCTACCCATGATAACCCATGACACTCTAGTGATGTTTTTGTTTTGTTGTAGTGTAATATTAACTGACTTATTTTAGATTGACTGTCATCTGAATGGTTCATCCTTTTAATGTCAAATTTTAATCTCTTATAATTCTTTATAATCTCATTGAGGTGATCCTTTAAATTAAGGAATCCATGACACATTTGAGTCATATGAAGGACTTTATAGAATTAATCAAAGGACATGGAGTCAATTAAGGGTGATCATTTTAATTTTAATCCAATGGGGGTCAATAGGAGACAAAGGTTTGGCCAAAAAAACACGTTCACTGTTGATAGATGTTCACGAGAGAGATGTGTTCACTAACTCAGTTTTACTGTTCTCCAGGTATAAATAAATTAATAATTATATCCTTCACCATGCAACAAGAAAAACAATACTCCAGGCATTTCTCACATGTTTCAGCATGTGACACAACAGAAAGGTACCACTGTATCATCCATGACAGTGAAGCTTGACCATTGCTATTGACTCTGCAGTGATTATTATGTCAGACTGTCATATCACATGAAAATGATTCAAGTGCCATGTGATGGGAGTGTGTATCATCACAATTAAAATGCTTAGGGGAGGCGTCAAAAGTTCGATGTCGGATCGGAAACTAAATAAATCTAGTTTTGACTCTGACCCCCCCCCCCTCCCCCCCAAAATTAAATACCATGAAAGTTGATCGCTGACTTCCGGTTTGAGAATTTGAAAAATTATTATCGATAGAATAGAATCCATTGGAATGATCTTGACATTCACATGTCAAAGTGAAAGAATACGTCATGAAGACTTCATTAATGGCTCACCATTCTTTGTATTATTTTGGTGGTCATTTCTAAAACTAGGTCAAGTTGCAAAATTAAGTCAATCTGAAAAGTAGGTCAAATGACTCACAGATTAGCAGAAATCCTAATCCAATAAACCAGGAAAAAATAGACAAGGAAAAATATCTTATAATCAATCAATATGTCTTCATCATACAAATTATAATGGGTTGCTACATGTAATATTACTTTAATTATCATGTTTAGCTATGTCCCATTTTAACAATTAACCACTAATTAATGCCAAATGATATATATTAATTTCAGATTTCATATTTGTATATCTAATATCTTCAACAAAAATTACGATTAAAGTACAATAATTCATTACTGTTTTTTGCAACATAGGTCTGATCTATGGCTAATTTGTGGTTTGTTATATTTATTTTACAATTTCTAAATATTTGGAAACAAATTGAACTGAAAACAAACAGAATTAAGAAAAATGGATACGGGTATGTCTCTGTGCAGTAGGTGGCAGCACGAGCTAGCAGATTTGACGCGCCTTGAAGTCTCAGTAAGATATGCTCCGTCATGATAAGTGAAGGTATATAGAGCTTTGTCGTTGTTGCCAACACTGCTTTCCTGAAAAAATAGAACACATTTTTGCTTTGGTTTGATTTAACTACAGGGTATCCCAAAACTTTAAAAAGTGACTTCTAATTTCAAGTGGTTTTGACTCAGATCTCAACAAAAAATACATTACAATTTACAGTCATGTGATTGACTATTGGCAAGGAGCTATTCTGTTATATTTCAAATTTCATCTCTAGTTAGAAACTTCCTTATATGTATCTTATGAGTCATAAATCAAAATCATTTGTTAACACATACTTAATGGCAGAATGGTGTTAATATGAGCCCAAAACATTAATTGAACAAGAGCGTAGGAAGGTGTAAATTCAACACTAATGCCAAATAAATAAAAAATAAATTAAAAAAAAAGGAAACAATTGTGTCAAATCTTCTCTATTAAAACACCTATTTCATGCTCATAATAACGTCATTATATGCCAATATATGACCTTTCTAATGTACTTTAAATGTTTGAATGTTAACCATGGAAAGCTGATCTTCTTAATCTCGACACAACTCATTCTCACTTTTCTCATGTAAATGTTACTTTTCTCAAACGATATAGATGACCAATTACCAATTAACAATGAGAGATTTTAATCAATTTTGATTAATTGAATTTAAAACGTATTATTATCTGATTCCATCATGTATCATGCAATATGACAATACAGATTAGTATGATCAATCAATTTAAAGAAACATATTCGTGATCAATGATACAATTAACCTTAATGTCTGCAACCTTTTTTATAGCACTTATTCGCAAGACCAAATAACCCCCCCCCCTCTACTTCGGAGTACTACCAATAACAATTCGTGATTTAGTAAGAAAAAATATAATTGGTGACTAATTGTTATTCCAATGTAATTTTGGTCCTTGATTTTGCCTAGCAACAGAATACAAATCGAATTAGTGAAATTGAAAAATTGGTGGTAGGAGAGAGTAAAAGATATGTATATCTAAAATTTGAAGAGGTTCATCATTATAATTATGATACCACCGTTTTTATAGGCATTAGGAACATGCAAAAAAGATTGCAAAGGTATCCATCCATCAAGTGGTTTTTGAAAAAACTATTTTTCTCTCAAATTTGTGAAGAGAATGCGATTCACGAATATTTGGCGAAATTGTAGTTTACTTATAAAATTCATAAGATAGTCAATAGTGTCTCGATTTATATTAAATATAGCATGATTGGAAGGAATTGCGTCAATTACATGGACTAAATAATGTTGATAATCACCCAATCAATGTTTTGATTTAGTATATTAAAAATACCAGTATGCGTTTGACTTTTTAGTTAAGAACATTAGACTCTACTTGGTGGAAAAAATTGAAAAGATCTCTGCATGACACTTATTATTAATATTACTAATGAAATTATAATTAGTAATCCAGAATGGTTTTTAAATACTCACGGTAGCACTTTACAGTAATGGTCCAGATCCTTGTTTAATGATAGGTGGCACCACCGTTTTAAACATCGATGGATCTAAAAAGAAAACACATAGCGGACTGACGATTAGAGAGTGACAAATACCATAGCCAGCTTTTACCAAGGGTTGTAGCAAGCTTTTACCAATGCTTTTACCAAGGGGGAGGGTTTAAAAATGCCAGGGGGATTCTTTGACAATTATGACCAAAAACTACTTGAAAAGAGCTCAAAGTGGTGAAAAACTGCAAGATTCTGAAAGAATTTTTGGCCAGGAACCCCCAAGACCCACCCCCAAGCTACAAGCCTACTGCGATGATATAATAATAACATATGGAAGAGTATTAAGCAATCAATTCAATCTTCTTAGGTGTATGACCTCAAGATCCACGTGACAATTCAATAGATTCAATTATCACTTAACAATTGGTAATATAACCCAGTATGTATCTGGAAACATCTAGAACGAAGTAATAACTTCTTATCCGTTGAATTATTTGATTCATTATCACATGTAAGTGTCACATATGTAAGTGTTAAAGAGACACAAGATGATCTCCATACCAAAAATCCTATAAACTCTACAAAATATATTGGCATTATTCCAAGGCTGATATACTACTAAAATGGGTAACTGGTCAACTGGTCTATAAAATATGATAAAAATATGACATTTTTCAAAATGGCCGCCTTCTACCAAAAGTGTCATTTGACAGTGTGCCATGCTTATAGTATTCACGTACCAAACATGAACAAAATCGTTCTACTACTTTTCAAGTCACAGCAAAAATCGTGAAAAAGCGTGTAAAAGCCGCTAATTTTCAAGTGGCTGCCATGTGCTTCCTCGATATCTACATTTCTAGCTTTATTAATGTCCTATATAATTTTTTTACATTTAAAACATATTGCTGTTACAGTTTTACTAATATTGTTCCTAAATTACTGTAAAATCGGCACTAAAATGGCCGCCACTTTTGAATGATCAGCCATTTTGAAAATTGGCTTTCGAGCAGAACCTCTTCCCCATACGGTACATATGTAGAAAATATGAACAAAATCGGGCCAACGGTATTTGAGTTATTGCCCGGACGGATGGACGGACGGACAGAGGTGTTCCCTATATCCCTCCGAACTTCGATCAATGAGATAAAAATTGACTAGACTAGCCCCCCCCCTAGCAAAAGGATCATGACATATTTCAATTTTATCTTTCCAATCCTCTGTAAAGCCTCTTTAAATGTTAATCCATAACAGAGATGACATTCCTACACAGCAGCAGAATTTCCAATTAGCTTAGAGACAATCTTCTCATATAACACGTAAATTGACTGTACTATATTGCACAATTGAGTGGCGCAGCGAGTCAATAGTCATGGGAAGCGCTTGTAAAAAGCCACAAGAATTACCTCCAATTAACATGAAACAAAACGTTGGAGAAGAACAGGAAAGATGGATTGCCCGAGTTAAAATTAGCAGAACAGAAGACATGGAAGATGACCAAAGGGCCCAGATCAGCCCAACAAAAGACGAGGAAAGTGTAATACAAAAATGGAAGAAAACACTCTATGGGATTAAAGTGATAAATGCATCTCAAACAGATAATGATGATGATGACGATGACGATGATAATGACGATACATTCAGTGAAATTGATGGCTTAAACAATAGTGAAAACTATAACTCTAAGGGGATTCCAAAAGGTGTCACCAGTGCATGGGGAAGTGATCCAAACTTTAAATTGAGAAAAATTGAAGTTGATGAAGGATCAAATAAGGTAACATTTCTCGGTTCGATTACCCAAAATGAAACATCAAACTGTGTCCCATCAAGGAAGGTAATAACACAAACAAATTCAAAATTGAAAAATAAAGCATTAATTACTCAATCAGTAACTCTTGTTGAGTCCTCCTCGATATTTTTGGACAGAGTGATGAAACAAGATTCCAAAAATTCTCGCTCCGAGAGCCTTGAGGGAACAGAATGTATGCTACCAGGGGCAATAACTGCTTCAGAGGCTCGAAGATCAAAGTCAACCACACAAATTCCTATCATTATAAACAACCCTACTAGTGAGCATGGTATGCATGTTAAGAAGGAATCTCTTGCACCAGGGACGTTACTTCCACGGTGTGCAACTCTAATCGAATTACCACCAGTTCTTTATGAGAGCCTTGACAAAACAGAAGGTGATTCAACTGGATCTCGATCAAGTGATAGGACAAGCAACAATCCAGAATCAACTACTTATGACTAAAGATTCCACCCACCCAGTGAATAAGGCACAGTTTGTTGGAAAGACATTCTGACCTCAAGGATTTTGATTCCGTGGCAAGCTTCTACCACAATATTGATAGTTTATGAAATAATCTAATTCTTCTCAACATTGTATGGCTGTATGGGATCCATATTGCAAATTAATATCCAACAGAGCTAATATATGGTACACTAACACCATACATGTATGTTACATCATAAAAAATTGAAGATTTAATTATGTAACAGATGACCTTAAGATTGACCTAGTAACCTACAAACATTCACAGAGAGACAATAGAATGAATGTCCTAATAATGACTAATATAACATCACTTAAGACTTATGGATACAGGTTGAAAGAATCATGAAATAAATTGTCTTCCTTGAAGAAATGAAGAAAAGTGTTAAAAAAAGATAATGGTTCAGTTTGGAACATTTGGCATCAGGACGGAACAATTTCTGAACAATCTCAGTGTATTTAGCACACATAAAATAAGTTGATGAACTAGATTCATCTGGTAGCAAAAAGCTCTTCAAAACTCTCCAATGAGAAGCAGTGAAAAAATCAACTTTTGTGGTGCCAAAAAATAGAAAGCAAAATGCTGTTTGTGGCGATTTAAGGGCTAAACACTGTGAAAATGTAAGATTTTCTTGTTCCAGAACAAACCAAAATGCTGAATTTTTTTTATTGTTCAGTGTTCCAACTCAAGAGGCTTATTACGCTGGTTGGAACATAATCAGGTCTCTGTGACACCTCTATCAAATATTTTGTAACAGTAATTTTGTTATTGGAAGAAACCTTATTGTTGGGCTAAAATATCAAAACTAAAATTGATTATACAATGTTATACTGGTATGTAATTTTGTGTACAATAATATTCAATTATGATCTGTAAATTGCATCTCTCTGTCATCTGTTTGAGTTTGAGTAGTTGTGAGTATTTTTTGAATACTCACATTATGTATGACCTTATAGAGTAATACAGTTACCTTCTTGAGTCCTTGTAGGCATTTCTCTTGCCTCAGTTGGTTGTTGGCGACATATATGAGCTTGTTGAGTATGAACATCTCAGTGGAGAGACATTGCTGGTTCAGAATGGTCTCAAGGTATTCTGGTAGCTTTGCACAAACTTTGCCTATCATCCCTTGAAATAAATAAGGGTTATGTAATGGGAGGTTTTGGATACAGGGTTTATCCTGAGTGAGGGAAATATGTATACAGATCCCTAGACACTATATATTCCATGCAACCTCAGTAGATTTGGATTACTTTGGGTTATACTTAACCATGATTTGGTAGTAATTTGACCTATTTTTGCAATTTGACCTACTTTTACAGGAGTTTCTTTTCCAAAAATTAGTGTAAAGCATCATGATGTGAGTCTACTAATTAAAGGAATGGTGTCTTATTATCGATAGTACGTTTCATAGGGGGAGAGGGTATATAAATGACAGTTTCATTAGCAGCAGGCAACAGGCAATTTTCACAAAATTGCCTGTTGTTTTTAGAGACTTTTCAACTTTATGATTTCCATTTATTCTGCCTGTTGTTTTCATTTATTTGGCCTGTTGTGAGAAATTCTGGTGAAACCCCTGCAACTGTATATTCACAAGCTTTATATTGCATACAAATTACTATCGTGATCCTCAATAATGTCCTTACTGCAACATACCTAGGGACCAGGTGTTACAATAAAATAGATGCCAGAGGCAATCAGGAAGAGGAACATTTAAAACAACAACATCTTCTGATATTAATTGTCACTCCTACATGTACATTCACTTACAGAGCAGGCTAGATATGTCTTAAGGAATATCTAAAAAGTTACTCGACTTTTTTGTGATTTTGAATCGCAGAAAGCATTCTGGAGTTTCAAATTGGTGCCACGTTTAATTTTTGGCATCCACCTAATGACTTTTTTCAAAAAAGTCGGGTTACTTTTTACATAGGTATCTTCATAGTTGACTTCAATAAACGAGATGCGAGTACATGTAGATATAAACTTGATTTACATCATTAAATATTTAAAATTCAGTCAAAGTGAAATCTACAAGTTAAAAGTACATCTTGAAATATGGTTTCGAAAATTGTTTATCAATTTTGAAAATTTTAATTTTTTGAAAATGTGACTTCTAGTTCGAGTTGATTCCCCATAGACACAATGTTAAAAAATCACAAAAAGTTAAATATCTTTTCTTGTCTTGGACAGATAACATTTTCTTTTACTTTTTCGAGATGCGAGTAGATAAAAACTTGATTTACATATTTAAATATTCAAAATTCAATCAAAGTGATGTCATGTTTGAAATATACAAGTAAAAGTATGTCTAGAAATATGGCTTCAAAATTTTTTATCAATTTTGAAAATTTAAATTTTTTGAAAATGTGACTTCTAGTTCAGGTTGATTCCCCATAGACACCATGTTACAAAATCACAAAAAGTGAAATATCTTTTCTTGTATTGGACAGATAACATTTTCATTTTCTTTTATTAAGTTAAATGGAACTTTCTACTATACCCGCCATGCTATCTGACAAGAACGAGCCACCTGGTGGTGAATCTGGTAACTACCTACTCGCATCTGAAACTAAATTATTGAGGAAAAATTTGTTTGCAATTGCAAAAGTGTGACAATTTGTTATTTGTATGCTAACACCTCAAGTGACATGAACCCCTTTGCAATCATGTTGATTTTGGTGCCCATTTCTCTGTGACATCATGTCACGATCACACGTCACAATCAACTAAATGCTTTTAACCTGTTTATGTGACAGCCATCTATTGTCCACATGGGGTTTGAAAACCATGAAGCATTAAAACCTTTGAAAGCAAGGAACACCCTGGAAACTACCAGATAGACAACAAAATATCCATAACGGAGTAGAAATGTATAATCAAATCTTACCTCTGTTTAGCCTATCTAGGTCAACTTGTACTGTAGCACAAGGTGGGAGGGGGACAGATATCTGGTTCCACGACATTTTATTTGTGACTCTCTACACTTCTAAATGCCAATGTTACAGCTTTTTCCGTGTTCTCCAATGGTTTTTGCAGAGATTTCTGAAAATGGATACTGTTTAAATTATTCAATGGTAATGTCAAAAAGATGACAAGGCATTTGACATGTAAAATGCCACCACCTGCCATTTGTTACAGACACAATTTTATACAAGACCCAGACACCAGCTGCCATCTACATGTACGTCTATAACAAATTAACAATATGTCACCATGTGGTGTTTTGTGACATAAAAATGGATAAATGTATTTCATAGAATGTGCAGACAAGTGTACCTGGAAGTATTAAAGAGTTGCTTTCAAATTATAAGCATTATCACTGAATTTTTCGACAGGACTTTTGTTTATTCAAGAAATCTAGTATAATGTACAGTCAAGGGATGACCTCTTGTACTGTAGTTTTAAGAGTATCAACCATGTTGACTTTGAGGTCATTCTTCAAGAAACAATTACTCAAATGCGAGAAGGTAAATACCAGTTTCACCACCAGGTGGCTGATTCGGGGGAAATAACACGGCAGGGTATTACAAAGTTCCCTTAAACTTGAATATTCATCAGTTTTAGTGGTTCTCTTTTTATATTACCCTTATGTATCTGATAGTTATACAAATTAAAATATGTCCAGTAAAGGAAAATATTATCTGCCCAACACATCTATGGGTAATCTCCCCAACTTAGAAGCCACATTTTCAAGGAAAATAAAATTTTCCAAGTTGATAAACTCTTTCAAAGCCACATTTCTAGATGTAATTTTACATTTAGATTCCAAATGTGATATCTTTGTTTGAATTTAGAAATTTTGATGATGTAAATCAAGATTATGCCTACTCACATCTAGTCTATTGCAGGGCATTGCCGCATTAAGCATCAAAATACAAGATTTCACGCATTGTTAGTCAAACCAGACAATAAAATAAACAAAATGATTGGGTCTTTAACATGTTTGTAATTTTTCAATAAAGTACTGTATCTCCACTATTAAAACAAAATATCATAGTGAGCTGAAGTGATAGATGATGGTTATTGGTTATTAGTGTGTAGATAGGAGCATAAAACTTGGCATTCCATTTAAGGTAAAGCTGAGGCCTTATTCATAAAGCCACCGAAGTAAATATGTATGACGCAAGCAAATACGAACCCGCAAACCTATCGTTACATAACGTTTGCATTACAATACTGTATTATTCACAAAACCATGCACGCCAGCCGCCAAAACATGAACACAAACCGATCATATCATCACTGGTGATCCACACGATTACGCTTATCGAAATGGATCGTTTCAGTAACAAAATGTCTGAATGTTGAAGCTACGATTTTTCTTTTTTCCTTATTTCACGCGCTGTAGGCAGAATCCCAACGACATTTTTCTCACAAACGTGTATATGTATCTTATGTTTTAGAAAATGTACATTTTTGCAAAAAAATAGCTCAGAAGACAACAGAATCGTCGATTTAATTCCTCACTGAAGTTACATAAACGATTTGGGTTAAAAGTGCAGATCTTAACTGTTTTTCGAAATACCATTTTTGTAACTTAAGTGAGGAATTAAACCGACGATTCTGTTGCCTTCTGAACTATTTGTTCGCAAATATGTACATTTTCTTAAACATATGATACTGATACATATCTGTGATAAAAATGTCGTGGGAATTCTGCCTACAATGTGTGAAATAAGGAAAAAAGGAAAAATCGTACCTTCGACGTTCCGACATTTTGTTACCAGCATAATCAAGTGGATCACCAGTGATTATGTTTAAAACACATGTTAGCCACGAGCACCTATAAAGTAACATTCAAAATGCATATTAAACCTGCACATTGCTCCAAAACGCAATATGTTGACATATATTGTTTTTACATTTTCAAGCTCTTATATAAAGTTTATGTAAATAAAAATTGTTTTTTTCTGCGTAATATCAAAGAACAATCATTTAGTTAAAAAAATAAAAAGGCGAATGCGGGATTCGAACCCGGGCCACCCGCGTGCTCGGCGAGGATTCTACCGCTACACCACCGTATTATTATGAGTGGTGGAAGTAATTAAACGCTACTTATTTTGAATGCTATGATTCGGAAGTGACGTCACGTTCTTCATTTAGAAACCTTTCCAAAATCATATCGCCGGCTCCGATCGAAGCAAATTCAATGGAAAATCTTTGAAATGACACATTTATGGTAAGTATTTCTACACAAGATTTGCCCCATTTGTTCATCATTCTATAATCTTACATTAAGCTCAAAATGATAAAATTCACCCCCGAAACAACCCAAGATTGCGTTTCGGAGCGTAGTCCAGCTTTAATATTTCTGTATTTAGTCCACATTCTTGCAATAGTAAAATAGCAAACAAAGGCTCAATCAATATTGTTGTAGAAATTGTTGTAGAAAAATAAGCATAACCAAAAGTAGATGGACAATGTAAGTTGTATAACTGTTTTAAAATTATTTTTTATTGGTTATGTGCCGCAGCAAATGTCACCGTGTTATTAAGTGTTTTGAAGTTGCGCAACGATCCTGCCATGACCGTGGTATTGTTAACATGAAATCCTGGTATAACCGTGACAATGTTATATTATATTGCAAGGCCTGTCATGACAGTGGTAATGTTAAAGCTAGTCCAACAACATTATTAGACCTAGCCTGGGCCTCGTTCCTTATCTGACATGTCTTATGGCCCAGGCAAGGTCTAACCTCCATGATAATTTTGCCTATGATGCGTTAATTTAATCGTTCCACAGGTTTCGACAAGCGGAACTAATTAAACCCTGAAAACATGGTAATATTACATAAAAAATGTGATTCAAGCATGCATACATACCTTATGAATACATACACACTATCCTGTATCTCCCTTAGACCCTCTTGATGCATAATTACGAAAATATTGCAGACAGGTTTGGAATATAACGAAAATGTTAGTCAGTTCTGGTAACATCGAAATTGCAAATCATATCACAAATTAATTGCATTGCGGCACTCCATTAACAAGCAGTTAAGGTTTACAATTAATAACTATTTGCGTGTATACACGCGCTATATAAATCAATCAAAGATACCTCTTATCCTCAAAACTGATCTTTTTATCACGAGTAATCGTGATAATAATTATCAATCTATAGACGAACAGACACAATGACGGACATGCGGAAATGTCATTTTAGAGATTGTTTTAGTGTAGCCTCATTTTACTAGTATAAATGAACATTTAACACAATAATATTGTGTTAAATCACTTGATGTTATATGTTTTTATATTATTGTCAAGTATCAGTTGCATGTTATCGCGGAAAAATGGTTTTGATGAATCCAGAACTTGCAATAAAGGAAAGAATAGTAAGGAGGTTAAACCCAATAATGGCCAAGAAATTTCCTAATAGTAAAGAACGCCGTTATTGAGTTAAACAGTGTTGAACTATGTTAAAGCCTGATATGACAGTGACAATGCTTTATTATATTGCAAGGCCTGTTATTTAGTAGCATGACATTTAGTAGCATGAGAATACCGTAATGAAAAATTTCATTGTTTAACTACCTTAAATATGTAAATCCAGACTACTATACATGGTACTCACATACATTGATACATAACATTTAAGATTCATTAACTCAAAACTCTAATCTCATTCAAGAACATGAACATTGTCATGTCATATCAGGCTTTAACATTACCACGGTCATGACAGGCCTTGCAATATAATACAGCATTGTCACGATTATACCAGGCTTTCACGATAGCACTACCACAGTCATGGCAGGATCCTTGCAAAACTTCAAACACTAAAATAACATGGTGACAGGTGTGCCAGTCATAAGTCTTGCAATAGATCCTAGGCTAAGGGTTAAGTAATAGTAAGTTGTATATAGAAGAGACAGGTGAACAACTAGGATTTAGGCCACTTGTTAACATGGCGATTTTAACATTATTTGTGTATAATTTTCAAAAAACAATGCAGAGTTGATCCAAAATTGATAGTTCTCAATTCTTACCTATGAATCAACCACATTCAAGTGATATAGAGTGAATAAAGCCGTCTTGAGGCGAGATATTCTGAAAACCTACAATTGCCTGGCAAGTTACCCGGATTTCCGTGTTGAATGGAAGTTTGAAACAAGGAATTTGATTGGTTCCTGCTAACCGCCGCAAGTGACACCTATCTGGTTCTCTAAAATGTAATTCATTTTCTAGAAATAACAATCAATTAAAGTGTACAAAACTATAAAAGGTTTACTTAATAATTATTTATCAAAACATCTGATTCATATAATATCTTTTTAAACCCAATTTAAATGGTGAAATTAACATTTTTCTTGGAATTTTAAACTTCTAATTACAACCAATCAAATCAATCGTTACAAGATTCAATCTTTCCATGTGTCCGGAAGTTTCAACTTGCCGGGCAATTGCAGGTTCGTACAGTTGGTGTTTTTTTATGCTGTCTTATCGAAGAGTTAGGATATACAGTAGATTTGAAATATTCAACAATATACGTTTCGAAAACACTTTGGAGAAGATTCTTGGGAGATTTGGTGGTACGACTCGATACCAGTAAGGAGAACTCGTACCAAGACGGCAAGTTTTTGAAAAAAATTTTCAATCCTAATTGTTTACCTGTCTCTTCTATATACAGCTTACTATTACTTAACCCTTAGCTTACTTCGGTCCAAAGCCTTCTCTATATTCCGGCTTTGAGTAGAAAGATTGAGCTGCCTTGGTATTGTAAATATTGTAAATCATTGTGCCACACGCACAGTAAATACGGCATAATAATATGAAATATACCTCTATATATAGATTTGAGAAACATCAGCACACATCTCCGTCTGAATCTATTGTTATATTTGATTTCTTTAAGCGAGAATAATTTCAAAGTTTCCTCCATTTATTCACGTCTGGAACCGGAAGCCATTTTTTAGCTATAGCGAGAAAATTTCACCATGTGTCAAACTCCCAAAGAAATTTTGAAATATCTAAATCCAGACAAGCAACGCTTCATCCTAAATATAATTAATATTCTTAAAAATATTTATAAAATTTATTAAAAATGATATCTAGGTGCGTGTAGCAATTTTACATACGAAATACGAGTACATACGAAATCAATGAAGTTACATCTAGCTGTAAGCTAGAGACTCGAGTAACCCTTAGCCTATGCAATAGATAGCATGTGATGTGATATGTTAGGCCAATGCATTACAATGTACCTCTCAGAAAAGCACTCATAAAGTAGTTCAACGTCGTTAAACTCAATAACGGCGTTCTTTATTATTAGGAATTTTCTTGGGGCCATTATTGAGTTTAACCTCCATGCTATTCTTTCCTTTGATGCAAGTTGTGGATCTATCGAAACCACTTTTCCTCGCTAATATGACACTGATACTTAACAATAATATAAAACCACATTTCATCAGGCGATTTCACATAATATTATTGTGTTAAATGTTCATTTTTAATCGTAAAATGAGTCTTATTCTTACCAATTTATGAGACGAATATTTCAACCGGCAATGTCTGTCTGTGCGTCGCCAAAGTAAACTTGGTCAGCGAAACGAAATTGTTCTTCAATATTGATATTTATTATAACCATCCAGTATGACACGAATCTTTGCTTTATTCAAACAGCGCGTGTATTCACCCAAGTTTACTCTATTGTTATTTATAAAAACTTTAAAAAGCAATACTCCCTTAAGAAAAAAGCCATGGTAACCATGGTATTCCATGGTGCGTCCATGGTAATCCATGGTTTTCCATGGAAATTCATGGTTTTTCATGGTATTTTCCATGGAAATTCATGGATACCCATGGTAATCTTCCATGGATATTTACCATGATTTTCCGTGGTAATTGGTGACTTGGTAATTGTTTTTTCATGAACATGCCATGTTTTTACCATGACACTTGAGTTGTAAAATCAACAATTTTGGCAGGTTTTGTTTTTACCCAAATCTTCAAAATTGAATCAATATTTTAACGAATGAATCCAAGCTGGATTGAGAATTAGTCTCATTAATCATAGATAAAAGAATATGACACCCCCCACCCCAAAATCTTTGAGAAAGTCAACCTTCTTGACAAAAGCTGGTTTCAGGCCTGAAATACAACCATGTTTTTACAATCTGAATATATGTTTAGTACATTCTGTACATAGTGTCATGTGACAAAGAACTGTTTACTTAATATTTTTTTAATTGATGATTTGACCCCACAATTAAAAGTAATAATTTGTTTGCTGGGATTTGCTATCATTTAACTTTGGCACTTATGTAAAAAAAGACAAAATAAGTGATAAAATCAGCTCACTGGATTCCCTTATTGCAGACTGAATAAACATTTTTACTTGGAGTAAATCCTATTTGGTTTTATTTGATCAACAATGAGTTTTTGACTTGCACTGTCTACACTCACAGACAATAATAATTACTGAAGAGGGAGCATTAGAAAGAGTAAGATTATCATATATAATAACAATTAAGATCAGAATATTTAAGAATTATGCAAATGAACTCTTATAATCTGTTGTAAAGAGATTAATCTTTTGACATTAATTTGAGAGTTAAGACACCTAATTAACATAGAATAATGGCAACCAAATATTTAAAAATTATGCAAATGATTATTTATTCCTATTCAAAGACAAATCAATTTTAATTACTTATACTATGTTTCATGTTTTAAGCCAAATGGTGTTGTTAACCCCCTCCCCTTCCTTCATGCAACTTCTTTTTAAATATAATATTCTTACATAGACAAATTGAATTTTTATCACTTAGGTATAACATTTCAGTTTGCAGCCATAGGCTTGTGTTTAATCCCCCATCTCGATTTCAAGTCAAAATTCTGTAAAGTATATACTTTTCTGTGGATTTTTTCAGATGATATGCTTATAAAAGTTGAATGGGACTTAATTTGGAGAAGTTCATTTAGAAACATAATGTATTATTCATTTTTCTGTTTCCAAAAGACCAAACAAATAGCCCATGGAAAACCATGGACTTTCAAAAGATCAAAAGAATAATCATGGAAAACCATGGCTTTTGATTGCACTTTCCAAAACATCAAAGAAATAACCATGGAAAAGCATGGCTTTTGATTGCAATCAACCGTCTTCCATGGCTTTTGATTGCAGTTTTCTCAACTTCAAAGAAAGAAACCATGGTTTTTGATTATATTCTCAAATGTACGAAATGTAATTTAAGAAAATGAGTTATTTATTTCTTAAATTACTTCATATTGATTTTTAAAACTGAAAATTAAAGAAAGTATTGAAATAAAACAGAGCTTGGGCTAGTTTGACTTAATCTTTTTCAAAGGAAAGAAGTGTTTGGCCTAAAAAATAAGCAATCTCTATCTAGCCTTGATCTACACAAAAGACCTTTGCACAATTGTTTTTTGAAATCTTGTGGCCTACTCTCTGCTCTGCTGTTTCACATATTTTATCATTTGTAAGCTGAGTCTAACATTCAATGAATGTTCTTGCTATACCTTCAAAATGAAATGTCCACCCTTTTTTCTCAATGATAAGTCTCAGTCTAACTGGGATATATCATCAAAACATTCATTTTGGAGATTTTGGTAAATACAAATCCTACCAAAATTGTTGATTTTACATCTCCATGACACATCCATTAAAAACCAATTACCAAACCAACAATTACCACGGAAAATCATGGTAAATATCCATGGAAGATTACCATGGGCGTCCATGAATTTCCATGGAAAATAACATGGAAAACCATGAATTTCCATGGAAAACCATGGATTACCATGGGCGCACCATGAAATACCATGGTTACCATGGCTTTTTTCTTAAGGGCTCGCAACATTATTGATGCATTTGATTACTGGTAATTTCAGCTCAAAGAAATATAGATGTCATTGATTGTGCTAGATTTCTGTCCCTATATCTTGACACTGTTGAATTCTGGCTTTATTTTATTTTACTAGAGAGATGTCAGACCTATAAATAAAGGCATATGGATGCATAAATTCATCTATAATTCAGGATAAACTGAGATTGAATAATGTTTTAAACATTTAAAAATTTAACTCTTTAAAGTCTGGGTCAGGACCCACGTACGTGGGTACGAGGGTACGTGGGTAGGAGGTTTTTTATACAAAGCCCTCCTACAGTATTACAATATTTTGTACTTATATATAGGATAACCGGGGTTCGTTTCGTTTTATGAACTTGTTTCGTTCAGTGTTGCTAACGGCGGTTTATTCCTGAAAGGATTTGCCATTTCGATGTTACCGGAACCAGAACAGAGTTTTCTAAACTAAGAAAAAGCCTTCTCCCAACATTTTCATAATTATACATCGATGAGGTGACAGGGGGGTATGTGATGATTTGTATTTATTCATAAGGTATGTATGCATGCGTTGATCACATTATTTCTGTAACGATACCATCTTATTACGGTTTAATTTGTTCCGCACGTCGAAACCTGCTGAACGATTAAATGATCGCATCAAGGGCAAAATCATCATGGAAGTTAGACCTAGCCGGGGCCATAAGACATGTCAGATAAGAAACGAGGCCCAGGCTAGGTCTAATGTTGTTGGACTATCATAAAGGTGAAAAAATAATTTCTACTTAGAGACAGGGAAGATGCAAAGAACCCACCCACATGTTTTTTTCTGAAATGTTGTCCTGATCTTCAAACCCTTCCACCCCTGCTTTTTCAATTTATGTTGCAACAATATTTTTTTGTGGAAAACAATATTTTCCCATGTTATTTTCCCACAGGAAAAGCTCATACAATCCATTGTTTTCAGCTTAGTTTTGGTCACCCATAATGGAAATCTTTAAAACACGAAAAGGAATTGTAAAATGGCTGTATCAAATCCAGGTGCACCAGGTGTATTTTAGGATCACACTGTCACATACAAGTGAAAATATTTTTCTGATTTTCATTTCAATATAATTTTAGACTCTCATCTTACGAAAGACCCAACCTGATGGACGGTGACAACTACGGAATGAATGATGAGGGTTATTGTAATTCTCATTAATAAGATTCTTTGTAAATTACCTGTTAAAACTCAAATTTGTTTGGAATTTTTCTCATTCATTTTCCAATCATGGACGCAGACATCTTGGACGAGACTTCCTGACGAGACTTCTTTGACCTACTTAAATTAGTTCTTATTTAGTCTTAATTCTAGCATGTTATTGCACCCTATTTTCCTGAGGGTATCTACAGAAATGAAATAATGTATGGATTCTACAAAACATACAATTCCTTCTCTAAATTGCTTGATATGAAGAATCCAAAAAGTAGGCCAAATTTCTCTTACGAGATCTCACCGCCATCTTTAAAAATTTGGAAAATTTACGTGGCAGAAGGAAAAGTGATTTAATTCTCCAATTACAGATACCTCGCAGCCAAAATGGGTCTGTGTAAGTGTCCGAAGAAGAAAGTCACAAGTCTATTTTGTTTTGAACATAGAGTTAATGTATGTGAACACTGCCTTGTGTCGAATCACCCGAAGGTATGTTTTTGAATTTTTTATTTTCATACAGTTGAGTTTGATCTATGTTTTTAGGCTGGTATTCAGGTAGAAAGCAACTTACTTTTTCAACCATTGGAATACATGTAAATTTGGCAAAGTTCAAATCATAATTTCTCAAATCCCAGTCCATCCTGCATCCATTCAGATCATGTAAACTCTGTTAAGCATGATAAAAGGCAAGAAGTTTAGTTAGAAATAAAAGAGTTATCTCATGAATGGGACCCTTACATAGCTCCTAAAAGGTAGAAGACACTAAATGGTGTAACACTATAAGCTGAATTTTGTCCACATAGAGCATGTGCACAATACTTAAGACATGTAAAATTGAACTGTCAAAAGAACTGAAATATACTTACCAGCTCGTCTTTTCCGGAAGTTATGATACGTTATGGTGTAACTACGGTAATTAATTTTAAAATATTGAAAAAATCACAAAATACAAGTTCTGAGGTATATATCGCCATTTTTAAGCGAATTAGCCCATACTATGACTATATATTCGCACCCCCATATACAGATATATATAAACTTCATCTTCACAATAAATTGAGCTTCTTTCAAATTTCCATTTTTTGAGATAAGTGCCATTTTCTTACAATTCAAGCCGTAAAAATAGTTGGAAAGTGCTTCCCAGTTGAGGTTAATGGCTTTTATACTTACATTAATGTATGGAGCACTTAAAATGTACTTAGAATCGTATAAATAGCTCTATTCTGTGAGATTTATTTTTGTTTTTATTTTTATATTTTTCTCACCTCATAATTGAAGAGCTCCGCTGTCGATTTACATTCAGTTACACTTATTTCCTTGAAAATTCGCCATGATTGGAACAAATGATGGTTGGTTTATGTTTTATTCATTTAGTTTGTATTTGAATCTAGCTACTTAAACACAAAACATGTCTTCATGTTATGCTAAAGAGCAAAGATCGCGAATTCTAGGTGAAGCCAATTATTTTGCACAAGTCATATCCTGATTGCATCATAGTTACTTTGTACTAGTGTTGTCGCGATTAATCGATACATCGCGATATACATCGCCAAAGCTGATTCTGGCGATGCATCGATGTCTGAAACAAAACATCGATGTTTTTAAAAAAAAGTCATTTGCTAAAAATCACCCTTTCTTATCTTATTTTGACGCAAATCGCTTAAATTTCTCATGTCTTATTTCATTTCCCAATGTTTTCTGATATTATTTCGCTTTAAAACTGTTTTAGCTAGTCGAAATGAACCATTAATCTAAGAAAAATTACTTTACTTTCATTTCACCGTTACTAGAAGTTCCCGGATGAACCAGCGTTCTGTATTTTAGTGCATTAGCGTTCGGTATTTCAGTGCACTTTTCTCGGACTTTTTCTCGATGTACATCGCGATGTGCATCGATGTTTACTACTGAAAATTGCCGATGCATCGATGTACGATTATGGCACATCGCGACAACACTACTTTGTACTAGTCACATCCTGATTGCATCAGCCAATTCACGTGATTTACAGTTTACACATGGTTTCAATATACATGTTATACTACTTCCGGGTAGGGTAGTGTTTTTTATACTTTAAAAATGAAGCCATTTCGATCAGTTTTTATAATCCTTGGTAGAACTGAAAGGTATTACAATACATATTTAAATTAATACACATGAGTGTATTTGATGAACTCTCAAAAAATAAAACCCACAATAACACCCTATGCAGACAGAGCCTGTGGGAAATATTGGGTGGGGAGCAAATGAGCGGAGGGTGCGGAGCTAACGGTCATTTTTGAATTTAAATTTGGAATATTTCTGGAACTAAGCCGTTTTGGGACTTCAAATATACCAAGATATGTGTATTTTACACCAAATATCAATACAATTGTGCAAATAGTAGCGCAATTCATTCTATAGCGACGCAGTGTGCCCTAAACCTTTCCCAGACCTATATATTTTGAAATTATCCTTTTAATACGGAGCCCCCAGCATTCATAAAAAATGGTGTTCAAGGTACACTATCTATACAAATTATTTTTGCATCTTGGAAGCCAGGCAGTATCTGTGTGATTTTATAAAAATTCGGAAATGTTCTTCAGATATGAGCCCCCTCTAAATATTGGGTGCGGAGCAGCTCCATAAACGTAGCTCCGCACCCAATATTTAGAGGGGGCTCATATCTGAAGAACATTTCCGAATTTTTATAAAATCACACAGATACTGCCTGGCTTCCAAGATGCAAAAATAATTTGCATGGGTAGTGTATCTTGAACACCATTTTTTATGAATGCTGGGGACGCAGTATTAAAAGGATAGTCTCAAAATATATAGGTCTGGGAAATGTTTAAGGCATACTGCGTCGCTATAAAATGAATTGCACTACTATTTTCACAATTTTATTGATATTTGGTGTCAAATACACATATCTTGGTATATTTGAAGTCCCAAAACGGCTTAGTTTCAGAAATACCCCAATTTTAAATTCAAAAATGACCGTTAGCTCCGCACCCTCCGCTCATTTGCGCCGCACCCAATATTTCCCACAGGCTCTGTCTGCATAGGGTGAATAATATCTTTTTTATTCACAATTTCATGTCATTAATGTTTCTAACAAGTCACCTCTTTCTCTCTTTTCTTTATTTTTGTCAACAGTCAAAATCGGAATTTAAAACTTGGTTTCTTTACAAGCTCTGCTTCTGTAAATACTAAATAACAAGAAAAATGTTAAACCTTACATCCTACACTTATTTGATATGAAATAGGCGATCATTGATATCATTTTTGTGCTGTTAAGTGTGGATCTTTTAATTTTTTAGTCAAACTTGATCGCTGATCTCTGTCGATGTGACGTCACGCATTAAGTATGCACGCATGGACAGTACAATACATAAGGCAATATGGCGTCTTAGGCCTATACATGAGCCAGAATGGAGGTCTGCAAGTTGAAATGAATATGTTTGTTTATGCATCAATCGATCACACATATAATCCAGACAATCTTTCAAATCATATACTTAACATTGTAATGGATTTATTTATTTTGTGAGCTAACCTTCACTTTAATTTTCATTGGTGAAGCAATGATTTTACCTAAAATGAGTCCCTGTCTTTGCATAGTGATATTTAAAAATCGAGAAGCAAAACCTATGTTGAATATACTGTGTATTGATGAAGTTTATATATAGCCTAGGGGAACTCAAAAATATTGTTATTATATCGGCAAATTCGCTCGAAAATGGGTGTACACCCTAGAAATTGAATGTTGTTGATTTTTTCAATATTTTAAAATTAATTACCGTAGTTACACCATAATGTATCATAACTTCCGGTAGAGGCGAGCTGGTGAGTATTTTCTATTATTTTGACAGTTCAATTTTACATGTCTTTAGTATTGTGCACATGCTCTATGTGGACAAAATTCAGCTTATAGTGTTACACCATTTAGTGTCTTCTACCTTTTAGGAGCCATGTAAGGGTCCCATTCATGAGATAACTCTTTTATTTCTAACTAAACTTCTTGCCTTTTATCATGCTTAACAGAGAGTAGTCCTATTCAAAAACTTCCTGTTCGGTTATATGGTGAAAAAAATATCCCACGAACGAAAAAAGATTTTGCTACATTTATAAGCGAGCATTGATTTCTGAGCCTGTAAAAAGCATGTAGGACCTGATTACCCCATTGATTTACTGAGACCGCCAAAAATATAGTTCAATTTTTTGGTTCAAAATTATAATCTCTCAGCGGTCCCTGACACTCCTACTAGCTATTACCAAACATTAATTGTCAATACATGTACAAATATACGTGTCATACATCTACAAAGTAGCAAACTAGTGTTTTAAGTACTACCCTCAGTCAGAATTCATATGTGACTTGTTCAGATTGTCTTGGCAAGATGAAATAATATACATTAGTTGAGTTCGTTATGACCTCTACCCACATATAGTGGGGGGGGGGCTGATGATGGGAAGTTCTACCATCGAATCGAGGCCTGTATGAAGAGTTTAGATGGTTATCGCTGAAAAAAATCTTATAGTATTATGATTCATTTCACTAATAAAAGCGATGTCCCGTGATCATTTCAGCCCATTTTACTGTTTTATTGCATCTGTAAAACTCCAAAAATAAGAAATCAGGAGACCATTGTGCAATAATATAGAAAAGTTAATTCATATTGTACATGAATGGCATTTGTATATTTCAGATTATTTCGTTTTTTTGTGCAATGAAGCCTGTGCCTTCTTGTAATTTGCAGAATTTCAGCCATGTTATCTTTTTGAAAATACTATGGCTCTGAGAAGCATCAAAATATAAAAGGCCACACACTTTAAAGCCAACTAGAAGCAATCCAAGATAAATAAATGTCATTTATGTACAATATATGTAAAAATATATTTTTCCATATATTGTTGCATAATGATCTTTTGATTTCATGTTTTCTAGATTTTACTGACGCAATAAAACAGTGCAATGGGCTGTAGTCTGTATCCAATAGATGGAATATCTTGAGAATTCGGTCTATTGATCACCTGGAATTGATCATCTTGTCAATTGATCATCATGTCAATGATAAGGACTATTCAGTGCATAATAATATATTTCAATCCCAAAGTTTAACATATGTGGTCTAAAGTCTGAATATTTTTATTCCAAATTTCAATGTATTTCTAACCATTTATGCATATGAATTAAATTTTATACTGACTATCTTTAGCTTCAATTCAACTGTTATCCCCTTTAAATTATATTTACCAAAATAAATGTCTCCAAGGCTCAATACCAGCATCTAATGCATGATACATTTCTGTTTGTGTTAAATTTTGTAGGGGTCATCTGTGCCAGGTTTGTTTATTGTGGTTTTAAATAGGTGCAAAATTCTCATTTTTTCCCAATAATCGCAAAGCTTTTGCTTCATTTGTGCATTCTATCCTTGAGATAAGAATCTTTTGGGCATCTACATATATAGGCAATCCATTTCAGAAGGATTACTTTATTTAATTTGAAAAACTACAGCTTATTTATTATGTATCTAGACTTAAATCATAGGTGTAGCGCTCGATACGCTGGGTAAGCACAGGCGTATCAGATACAAGCAAATTTCAAAATTTCAAATTTCAGACCCCCCTAAACGCTCATTTTTGCTTCGCTCAACTCATGTTCCCGTGGTGGCGTATTACTGAGAAATGTAGCGGTACGCCCATGTTAGTGAACAATGGATGCCAGCACATAGACTTTGTTGCGTCAACCATATGAGCACTCAGCACACAATATCTTAAGAGATATTAAATTAACAGTAAAATGGACTCGCTTCCTCATAAGGTCCAGAAGTTTTGATACGCAATTTGCACAATTGTTTAAGATAGTCTGTACCATTGTATCTTGTCATTTCAATGCATAGTTCAGTCATATTAGAACTGGCTCCAGGATAGTGACTATAGTCCAGTTTGTACATTGTGTAAAAGAGTCTGTACCAGTGCATAGTTCAGTCATATTTGAACTGGCTCCAGGATAGTGACTATAGTCCAGTTTGTACATTGTGTAAAAAGAGTCTGTACCATTGTATCTTGTCATTTCAGTGCATAGTTCAATCATATTTGAACTGGCTCCAGGATAGTGACTATAGTCCAGTTTGTACATTGTGTAAAAGAGTCTGTACCATTGTATTTTGTCATTTCGGTGCATAGTTCAGTCATATTTGAACTGGCTCCAGGATAGTGACTATAGTCCAGTTTGTACATTATGTAAAAGAGTTTGTACCATTGTATCTTGTCATTTCAGTGCATAGTTCAGTCATATTTGAACTGGCTCCAGGATAGTGACAATAGTCCAGTTTGTACATTGTGTAAAACAGTCTACCATTGTATCTTGTTATTTCAGTGCATAGTTCAATCATATTTGAACTGGCTCCAGGATAGTGACTATAGTCCAGTTTGTACATTGTGTAAAACAGTCTACCATTGTATCTTGTTATTTCAGTGCATAGTTCAATCATATTTGAACTGGTTCCAGGATAGTGACTATAGTCCAGTTTGTACATTGTGTAAAAAGAGTCTGTACCATTGTATCTTGTCATTTCAGTGCATAGTTCAATCATATTTGAACTGGCTCCAGGATAGTGACTATAGTCCAGTTTGTACATTATGTAAAACAGTCTACCATTGTATCTTGTTATTTCAGTGCATAGTTCAGTCATATTTGAACTGGCTCCAGGATAGTGACTATAGTCCAGTTTGTACATTATGTAAACAACAGCTGAGCAATGAAGAGATGGGCCAATGTGTCAGACTTATATGTTATGGTAAGTCAGTTTTCATTAACATTGTTTGGACACATTAATTTGAGGGAAAAAAAGCAGATATACTTTTTTCATTACACAAACTGTATTTTAGGATGCCCCATAGCACAACCAATTGTCTGTAAAGAGTTTCTAATCTCTGCCAGTAGGTGGACTTACTCCATACACTATGTCAATTACATCAATGAAATATAAAAATAAAGTTCAGACCACCCTGGCCAAAAATTCTTCCAAAAACATGCAGTTTTCACCATTTTGAGCACTTTTTAATCTGTGGCTTAAAATTCCAAAGTGGAACCCCCTGGTATATTTTAAACTGAATCCCAACTCCTTATCAAAAGATGGCTACGGGCCTGCTAGCCCTATAATTCAATAATGCAGCCATTATAATTACAGTATTCTATATTTTCAGATGTCCTACATTGGAAATGTATTGATAGATACGCGAGACAGCTTCCGCCAAATACTGCTCCTGCAGGCTACTGCTGTCCAAATTGTAAAACCGGCATCTTCCCACCACCAAATATGGTGTCTCCTGTAGCAGATGCGCTGAAATCGGTCTTGTCACAAGTCAACTGGGCCCGAGCTGGACTAGGCTTACCACTTGTGAGTATTATTTTGTTTGAAATAAGATAAAGTTTCAGAAATGTTTAGTTCCAAATCTCTGAAATGATGTTTATGATGGGGTATTGAGATTTAGTATGACTATTAATCACATATAATTGCATTAAATGCTTTGGGATTTTCATATTACCTCAAAATTGTCATTGCGGTTACTATAAAAAAAGATGCCTTCCTCTTTGATTATTTAGTTTCATCTGTATGTATTGTAGACCCCTTGAGGGTTGCAATGGTGTTGAATGTAATCTTCCAGCCTAATAAAATGATTAAAAAGGGTAACATGTAATCTGTAATTTTTGTAAAGCAGTTGCCATCATCATGGCTTGCAATTGAAGCCTAGTTTCTCAAAACTGTGAAAAATTGGCTAAAATGAGGGGAGTGTGGTTGCACTCAATGTAGTGAATGCCCCCCCCCCCCTCCTTGCAGACACCCATGCTTATCATGCATGCAGCAGAAACTATAGTTTATATCTAGGAGTTATACTTACATTCTTTACATTAAACTATTTTGTGATATCTGTTTCAGATTGATGAACCCCCAGAACAACAATCAGCCCCAGCGCCATCTACAAATGATAGCCTGATTATCACAACCAGTCACAGTAGCGCCTCCTATAGTACACAACAACAATACAGTCCTCCAGCCCAGACCCAGTTCAACCCACCACCCCAATATAGCTCCAGTAGTGCCCCCTATCTAGCCCAGAACACACCACACATGACTGCCCAACACAGCAGTATAAACATAGGGGATGTTGCCCCACATGTAAGGGGATCAGATAAGCTAGGTACGTTTGCTAATTATAATACAGGGTGATCACTAAGTAGTGACACCAGGTCTCTCATTTTTACAAATTTTTAAACAATCTCTCTAATTTTGGCACACACTAGTGGGCATGCAATTATGAGTAAACAACTTTTAAAATCTGTTTTTAAACATACACATTTTAATTTTACATAAACTCACAATTGCATTTTTAAGGCATGTTGAAAATATAAGCAAGATTCCTTAAAATTTGACATAATGAGAGACCTAGTGTCATTACTTATTGATCACCCTGTATGGCTAATGTATCAAAATGGCCACTTTTATCATTGAGAGTATGTATGATCATAGTAATAGACTATAGGTTTTGTAAAGAGTTTGATTGTCTGTTTTAATGTGTCAGTTATACTTCAGTTGATTTGGTTTGTTTGAAAGCTAAGGCCTAGTTAAGGTATTTTTAATTCAACAAATCTTTTAATCAAATTAAAATGTGCCATGTTGCAAAAATAGCCAAAATCCCAAATTCACATATAAAAGATAAATAAACATTTACAAAAAGCAATCTGTGCAAATATAAATACTAATATTTCTATAGCACATATTTCCTGTATTTTCTTAAAGGAACAAAATGCGTAAATGAAGTCTCACTTTTGATCTTCAGAGTATTTCCAGTGGATTAATAAGTACCAGATCTTTCATTTGACACCAAAAACAGCTCAAACATATCACATCAGAGTTGACACTAGATCATGAAAAAATATTTTCAATATATCAATTTATATATTTCAAGTTTTTAGCAATGATAGTTAGAAACCCATACCTCTCTATCGTTTCAAAAAATTTACCCAACGTATCGGTCTCTGTTAATTTATGGCATCCATACTTTTTGGAAAGGTAACACTTTGAGGTTCAATTTTCTGCCGGATGCCCTCGCAAACTCTCATTGGTTGCTCTGTATTGTAGCATTCTGTTGCCATGGTTACGCATCTTTAGACATCTTACCTTGGAATCTTAAATCATTTGTAGCTTTGTCATTACTTAGTCTATAGGGATGATATTGGTATCAAATTGAACCTTATTAAATTCACTAAATGTTCACGATGTTCAATTATGCAAATGAGCTAATTTGCATAATGTGTGACGTCATCAATCTATTTTTGGTTCAGAATTTTCCAGTATAGCAGCATATCTTGTAGAACTGAGGTCGTATGGCAGAATTTCTGCAAAAGTTTGCCCTTTCTTCTTCGAGTAGAAGGTATAAACAAGACAAAAATGAAAACGGATTCAATATTGAATCAGTATTGACCGAGTTATTCAGTTTTTAAGGCAGCTACCAAGAACGTCATTATTTGACAATTATCTCAATAGAGACATTACCTTGAAAACGAAAGGTTTGATAACTTTGTTGTTATTTGGTCCACAGAGGTGATATTGGTATCAAATTAAGCTTAAGCAAATGTTCCATATGACTATGATATTTAATTATGCAAATTAGCTCATTTGCATAAATAAATGTATTTTCTTTGTTCAATTTTCGCCAGTTTTTAAACTGAAGAGTTTCTGCATATTTTATCCTTTCTTTTATTAGTGGAAGGTAAAAGCAATTTAAAATTAAGACAGATTTGAATTTGGATCAGCATTAATCAAGTTAATAAGCAGTTTAGACGACTTTTGTTTAAACATCATTGTTTGAAAATTATAGATTAAATATCAGAATAACAAAATGAAAAATTACTAGTTGCACCAGTTTTATTACAATAACTGTTATTAAAATACATGCTCTTTTAATCTGAAATTTGAAAAGAAATTGCTTTTTACAGAATGTCTATGATTATATAATTATTATATTATGTGATACAGTCTCTATGATAATATTGTCCACATAGTACGACCATAAAGTCCATCTATCAACAGCTAAATATAATGTGTATCTTAAGAGGTGTAAAAACCTCTATTATCAATATGAAACATGATAGTCTAATGTTACATAACAGCATTTAAGGTTGGCGTCAACTAATTCCTTTGAATGTTTAAATATTAACTCGAGAATATACTAAAACATGTACCGGTACTTCTTAAATATATTACTCATGTTATCTGATTTCAATGCATACATAGTGTTTAACATATAGAGTGTTTTGGATGAATCATATTCATGCTAGATTTGCTGATTCATTTTCATCTTCACTTTCATTTACAGAGTTCAGGCAATCTACATTGTCACATCCGCAGGCAGGAATGCAGGTTATCTGTTTCTTTATGCACCCACAACCTCCAGTAGAGCACTTTGTTTTGCAGGAGCATGTAGTAAGCTCAATGCAAGCCTTTGGAATAGGTGGCAATGATGTCCATAACGGCTTTAGGATATTAGTTGTACCTGACTCAAGGAACCAACCACCAGTGTCTTGTGCAGGTTCAACATCTATCAAAACTCTGTCTGCTTGTGTCCATATCCTTGCCTGATAGTCGGCACGGAGTATATGAAATCCCAGTGCATCTGATGTCGGGGGCATTGCCTCTAAACTTTTCTTTGCTTTTGTGAAGATATGAAGTCTTGCCTTGTCAACATCTTCAAAAGTAGTGCCGTAAAGACAACAGACATATTTCTCTAGATTGGTCACATCATAAGATTTTCGCCCAAGGCCATTGAGTAGTTTGGGGTTTTTCAAAAATACCTTCCAGCAGGTTGATTTGCTGTGGCCCTTGAATGATGACACAGAATCACATCCTGTGAATGCGTGAAACCCCAAAATTGCTGATATGGTGTCCTCATTTAGACTTCCTACAATTTCATGGATGGGATAGTATTTCTGTGTTTTGCTGGTACCAGCTTTCATCCAGACTTCTGTATTGGGCTTAAAGAAGGCTATTAATAGCAACAAAACATCAGTGTCTTTACATACTATTATGAATCTCTTAAGCCCATTTTCAACAGCATCCAAACTATGAAGAACAATTCGTGTGTCTGCTTCTTCGTGATTGCAGTTACTAAAGGGGACATGTTCTCTTACACTGGAGTGTGCACTCTCTAACCCTCCACTCACTACAAGTTCTTTAGAGCTTGGTAATTGCTGTGCTCTTTCAAGTAACCGTATCGATAAGAATCTGGCAAGATCTGACTTGTTTTCATTATGAGATATGTAGTTCTGCCAGGAATTAGGCATAGGTATTTCAGGTGAATCTATTTTCTTTCTGATTGGTATAGTCTTGGAGGTTCGTCTCTTTCTAGTAGTTGACTTGATGCTTTCATGCCTGTACACATCAAATACAACATCAATTCTTCTTGTCTCTGGCCTGTTAAAATGGGAAAGCACAACATTTGAGAAGATGTCTCCATACTGCCCAAATGTTTTACATGTTTCCTGTTTTCCCAATGCATGGACAACTGCGAATCCATCTATGATGACACACGATCCTTCTTCTGATGAGGGGAGTGAAGGAGGGATGTTTATGCCTTTTGTGATTGCACCCAGTATATCAGACTTCATTGTAGTATTCATGTCACCTCTAGCATTTGTCAGTGATTGTGGAAATGGGAATAATTCATGTCTTAAGATAGTATTCATCTCAACTTCTCTTCCTGCACTTGATGCAATGAGAAGTCGCTGCAACAGCTTTCTGTCAGCTTTAATGACTTTTTGTTTATTTGCATCACCTGAAGTGATTTTTGTGTTGAACATCGATGCAAAGGTTTTGCTATTGTGCTTTTGGATTCTCTCGTGAAATTTTTTCTCACGCTCTACCAGTCTCTCTTTTACGTTTTTTATGAGTGCTGTTTTCCCCCTCTCATTTGCTGTTAGAAGGTCACGTTCAACATCCAATGGGGCTACATCTTTTGTTGAAAGACTTATCAGGTCATACTCGCCGTCTTGATTCGGAGCTACATTCAGTTGAAATATATTAAAAACTTTCATTTGATCCTTCAGTTTTGAAACATCATCATTATCACGTTTGATGCTTGATCTAACATCATCATTCCTTGAAAATCCTCCCTCGTTCTGATTATGTTTGATTCCTAACATTTCTTTTGTCATTTCAAGAATTTGTGATCTTTGGGACCATGTTACGCAGAACCGGTCTAGAGCTTGCTTGTTCTGTGTAATGCCAATTATGCCCCCTTGGCCTGATTTTGTCATTTTATTCACCCATTCAGTCCCATGGTCTGCAGCTACCTGGTTGAATTTCCCCTGACTAAACTTAACAGCAAAGTTCCCATTCATAAATTCCTGGAACACTTCATAAGCTGTATCTGCGAGATTCATCATATCATTCAGGTACACTGCTCCAAATCGAGCATAGTTTGTGTGATCGTAGATGGTTAACCAGGGAAGCATTGCTGAAAATGATTCCAAGTGCAATTTCCAATTGCCTTCCCTCTCAGCACGGATGAAATTCATCAGGATTTCAACCATGTCAATGTAAATTTTCCAAAATTTATAGTTTGGGTTCTCTTCATGGGCATGGTCGAAATCCATGATTAATTTCTTGTATCTATCATTTGTTTTGGTTGCCTCTATGAGTTTTTTGACTGATTCTTGAATTTGTTCCTCATCTTTGTCTTGGAAACCATTGACTACCTCCTGTGCTGATGATAAAATTCCATCATCGATTCTTTTATCATTTTCCTTTGCCCACTCATCAAGGTAATCAAGGTGTAGGCTTGTGAGTGCTTCATACGCCAGAAGATGGCCTCTAACTGCTCGATAATAGGCTTTGCCCTGCATGATATTTGGTATGATATTTTCAGAATAAACACCAGTCTCAGTCCACAGCTCCTCCAGTCCCGAGTTCTCCATTTGTTGGCCAATACATTTCAAAAAATTAAAACAAACATGTAGACCTCCGAACCTTGTGATGACATTCTTGTATGCTATAGGATTTGCCCATTTCAACAAAGTTGTCTTTGAATATAAGGGTTGGTCACCTGTGATTACAGTGAAACTTTGTTCAAGGGCAGTTGATGTTGATAGGAACCGATTCATTACAGTCGTGAGGGTTTCATCATCGTCTGCATGGGCTTTAATGATAGGATACATACCTATTGTTGAAACTGGGGGGTTATCTTCACAGAGAATGACATTAAATGGCTTCCAGGTTGGGACATTAATTTTGTCTTTGTCCAGCCATCTTGTTAGGGACCATGCAGAATTAATGGCATGGGCCCGCTCACTTTCCTCTGCACATCCACGCTCAAACCATTCTAGGTTCGCTTTGTAATTTTCGGGTGGTTCTTTTTTGTAGCTTCCATTGATTGGCTTGTCTAGTCTGTGAAAATCATCTAAAGATTCCTTTGGTAATGTCATCTTTCTACCGTGTTTAGTAAGATCAAGGTCAGTCTGTTTAGGAGGTCCCCTCTGCCACGCAACCATTTGTGTACAGTGAAATGTGTTCTTCCCATCTATAGTAGAGTCTTGTACATCTACATTGTCACATGAGTAATGTGTAAGTCTTCCCTTTACAAGCTGATCTGGTACAAACACGCCATTCCTCTCATCGGTTCTTTTAATTATTGCATTTGCAATTGATGTATCAATCCTTTTGATTGTATTTGATCCAACACATGCATTTGCTTTGTTGAACATCTCTACTAATTGTGTTGATCTGGTACAGTGGTGCAAGCTTAAGCCTAAGCCCACATGTTTAGGTGTAAGCTTTTTTCCTTTGGATACAGTGAAAATTATATCTTGTGCTATACTGAGGATTTGCCGTCTACGTTCCTTGTTGTTTTCTTCTTCATTATCAACTGCATCTGTCCCACCACAGAGTATATTGAGAAAAAGATAAAGTGTATCTGGTACTATTTTAGCGATGTTTTCTTCATTCAAATCACCCCAGCTTGGATGCCCATCTGTCCTCTCCAATTCAGCTCTTATTGTCAGAGCAATGTGAGCTATGCTTCCCAATGTTACACCTTCAGGCTTTTGATAAGTTGGTACACTTCCCTCATGGTCTTCATCTGTTGTGTCAGACTCACTACTCAGTCCTTCATTTGTGTCACCTTTCTTCCATGCTTTAAGAAGGACCTCTCCTGCCATGTCTGTTGGATATATGTATGTGTTTAGACCTTTATCTGTTATAAAACTGGCTACATCACCCAATGCTTTCCGAAGGAACTCATAGAATGAGTTTCGATTCAATTCTTTTGAGGGAACTTTGACATTCTCATTTTCATCATTACATACATTTGAATATTCATCATATACATCTTTCAGAACATATGTTTTCCCTTGTAACAACCCATTCCTTACATTTTTACACACATTCATCAGTGACCTTTTGATATTATCATCTTCCTGACTTATACCTGACCCACTCAATTGTAACTTAACCTTTTCTATTCTTCTTTTGAAACTGATATAGCAGGGTAGATGGTATTGTATATCTGCAGCAATTAGATCAGTGGAATTTGCTAACTTTGCAGACATTTCCTCACATAACTTTGAGTAATCAATAATCTTTTGAGATACATCAAACGACATTACCTTGTGCTTCTTTCTGGTGCTCTCTTTTTGACAAAATACACACTTCTCTTTATCAAATTTTAATATTGACTTACTTTGCCTCGTTACTACTTTAGCTTTCTTAGCCGAGCTTTTTTTATCCATTTTAAACCGACCCATTTTATATTTTGATGTAAATGTGCTGTAGCAAGATTTATGCTTGTAAAGTGTACATTTAACCCATCCTTCTTTTGACATATTATTGTACATCTCTCTGACATTTACATATCGTTCATCGTTCATTGTTTGCCTTTGATTGAGAACCTCAACAACACGTGCTTTCCCAGCAGCAGACAGTTTTTGTAAGTTTCTATAAGGTCCTTCACATATGAAGCAAGTCTGTTTTTTAAGAAACGCATTGTTCCACTTTCTTTTTCTTGATGTGACCGATGATTTAACTGGACTTTCATCATCCATAGTTGCTTCTGCAAGTGAGAACACGTATTGATATACTAGGTTTGCTCATTTTGATTAACACATTTGAATCCAGCTTTTAATTTACCATTTACTGAATAAAGTCATAATTATCCTTGTTTATGTTAAACCATGGATTTAATGCAAATAGTTTAACATATTTAATATAACTTAATCATCTAAACAGATTTCTAAAATGTTCAACATGTTCAAAATACCAAACATTATTATTACAAGATAGAAAATGAAATGAAAGCCTTTTTAAAATGACTATACATAAAAGCTTATTTGTTACTTTTAATTTCATCACACTTAAATGAAAAATATGGGACACATGGTTTATGCACCTCATTCTCATCAAAATATGGAATAGTGCTCTATTCTAATTATTTACCTTATACACATAGTATCTGAATTGAGAATAGCATTTCTGATTTCTCTAGAGAGTAAGATGATGTACTGCCATTTCAACTGCAACTATTTCAGTGTGCTCAACATCCTGGTCTTCATTCATAATCTGCTTAGTTTTACCTAGCATTAGAGAACAACTTTTAAGGTTATTTGTTTGTCATGATAATTTCCATTTAAGATCTCAGAACTCTCACTTTATTTATAAAAACACATTAACACCCTGTTAAAAGGTTATTGATGTAGCTATTTAAAACATCATGTGTCACACTATTTATAGCTTCAACTATGGACATACAGTATAGACAAGTAACTGATGGATACTTGATCGAAATGAAAATATCATAATATTATTAGGTTACTCACTTATGTAATACAACATTGAAGGAAGGACCATGACTCAATGGACATCATACATCTTTGACTCCCTCCTTGAATATCAACAGTTCAACATAACTGACCTGAAACCTGATATTCAATTTCTAAGTTTCTGCATGATAAAGAAGTATGCATGACATAATGTAGAATCAATTCATTTAATTAAGTTGTACTTTTAATTTACTCAGATATTAATTTTAGATTATAAATCTCAGTTTGGTTGGGAATGCTTAACTATAGCCCATACAAGTAATAATCTACAGTATTTAATGAAATAAAGGAATTTAGTATTGTATTTACCTCTAGCTTCCATAAACATATATCTAAAAACTAGTGTACCATCCATACTAGGCATAGATTAGAAAAAGACTAGGTGACATAACTCAAATAGTAAATCTGGATATCAATAAGTTACCTCCTGATTTGAAGAGGTAATATTCACTCTTCAATATTCATGAACCACCAAATGTAGTTTTGGCCAATCCTGCTGTCTCTCTTGTTTGATATCAATTGAAACATGCATGTATGTCAAAATAGCTAATTTAAATTATCCCTTTTATTTCTATGCTTCAATGACAGTTAACATTATGTACTTGATGAGCTTATATTCAGTTTGGTTAATTATCGAATGGATGCTTGTGTCTTTAATATACAAGATAGAAATGACCATTAGAGTAATAGTCACAATTACAAATACATTTCTACAAAATGACATTCAGTTCCATGGAAAAAAATAAAGACTTTCCTTAGATTTCTTCTGTGTTTCAAACAATAAGATTGGTGCAAGTACATACAAGCATTTTGGTTATTTTATATTCTATTTATGATTGTTTAATAATGAGGCTTAATGATAACAACAACCTCAAAATCTGATCTGTCAAAACTGATCCAAACTGTTTTCACTTTTACCTTACCTTTTACTCATCAATTAAAAGAAAAACACATTGAAGAAATCCTGCCATTGCCTCACTTTTATAATTGAAATGCAGCCATAATGGGCCAAAAACCCAAAATAGACTGATGACATCACAATATATACAAATTAGCTTATTTGCATAATTGAATATCATAATCATATGGAACATTTGATTAAGTTTAATTTGATACCAAAATCACCTCTATGGACCAAATAATAACACAGTTATCAAACTTTTTATTTTCAAGGTGATGTCTCTATTGAGATGATTGTAAAATAATGGCATTTTTGGTAGCTGCCTCAAAAACTAAATAACTCTGTCAATACTGATCCAATATTGAATCCGTTTTCATTTTTGTCTTGATTATACCTTCTACTCAAAGAAGAAAGGGCAAAGTTTTGCAGAAATTCTGCCACACGGCCTCAATTCTACAAGGTATGCTGCTATACTGGAAACTTCTGAACCAAAAATAGATTGATGACGTCACAGAATATGCAAATTAGCTCATTTGCATAATTGAAAATCGTGAACATTTAGTGAATTTAATAAGGTTCAATTTGATACCAATATCATCCCTATAGACTAAGTAATGACAAAGCTACAAATGATTTAAGATTCCAAGGTAAGATGTCTAAAGATGCGTAACCATGGCAACAGAATGCTACAATACAGAGCAACCAATGAGAGTTTGCGAGGGCATCCGGCAGAAAATTGAACCTCAAAGTGTTACCTTTCCAAAAAGTATGGATGCCATAAATTAACAGAGACCGATACGTTGGGTAAATTTTTTGAAACGATAGAGAGGTATGGGTTTCTAACTATGAGAGATGGCATTGCTGTTTGCATTAATTTTCCATTCATTTTCGATAGGATTTTCAACCATACGCCATCTTTTTACCCAAGAGTTATTTAAAACATACACCTTGTGAAAAATGGTAATTCATTTCTTTTGATCTCTGAAAGTTTTTATTATCATATTTGATTGAGTGTGTGAGTAACATGTCTCAAATAATATTTTGTCCTTTTTCCTTCAAAAATAGGCGCATTGCCTGTTTAATATTATAATTTACATACATATTTTCAGGGCCCAGAAAATTGTTTGATTCCAACACTAGGGGAGATGAGATATTGAATATGTCACATGACCATGACGAAGATAAATACAAGAGAAGATCAGCATTCCAATGGTTTTCCAGATGGTTCAGGTAACTACCTATAGGTGGCTCAGACATCCACATTTTTTATCATCATAACAGCATATCAACATTTAGTCTAATATGTAATAACAAATATAATTCCATTATTTTTGTTTGACTCCCTCAAAACATATGTGATGTTGAGAAAAAATGTTTTGTATATTTCATTCCTACTGGATTCTTGTCATCACTCTTTGTTTGATTTTGAATGAAATGCCAATTCCCTTGTCTTTTGCTGCATTTTATGCTCAAATTCAAGTGCTTTCTGTTTTGTGTTAATTCATTTGTATGTACAGTATAACCTGTCTAATCTGAACACCTCTGGGACAGGCCAAAGGTGTTCAGATTAGCAGGTGTTCACATTCCAAGGTTTTATTAACATGTAAATCAATGGGAGATTCCAAATTTGGGACTGAGAAAAGGTGTTCACATTGAGAGGGGTTTGGATTAGAAAGGTGTTCAGATATACAGGTTTCACTGTTGACTGAATAGTGAATGCCAGATGGTGTATTCTATGATTTCTCTCTTTCTACTTTTGCATTTAAAAATAAAATAAAACATAATCTGTGACCTTTTGTACTTTCAGCTCTAGAACTGGAGGCAAGCAAAAACAAGACCCCAATGCATCAATGAAGAGAATTCTAGTGATTTTAATCTTAGCCGTCATAGCCTTCTTCACTTTAGTTATTATATTCACACGGGCGGGGCGTGCCTCTGCCGACAGGGACCCCCTTTTAGACCCATTTGCTAATCCAAATATTCGAGTGAACTCTGAAGATTAGAATTTGAGGGTTGTGGGGTAATGTGCCGTAACTTGAACATGGTTTTATATATGAAGATCCGGAGTATGTTACTGCCAGATATTGAACATGTTAGAAGTAGAACTTGAAACATGTTGTTAATGGAATACGGAACATGTCAAAGGCAGAACTTGGAACATGTCAAAGGCAGAACTTGGAACATGTCAAAGGTAGAACTTGGAACATGTCAAAGGCAGTACTTGGAACATGTCAAATGCAGAACTTGGAACATGTCAAATGCAGAACTTGGAACATGTCAAAGTCAGAACTTGGAACATATCAAAAGGCAGATCTTACTTGGAACGTGTCTTAAGCAGTACTTGGAACATGTCAAAGGCAGAACTTGGAACATGTCAAAGGCAGAACTTGGAACGTGTCTTAAAGGCCCCATGTAAAGTTTAAACCACTTTGGCTAATATTGTAGTCTTACCCAATGTTATCAAAGTGTGATATGTGAAACTTTTTTTTTAAATTTCAAAAAGTGGTTTTTGATAGACTTTTTGTTCCAAAATTTGTGAATTTATTTAAAACCAACTTTTAGAGGTCACTCATATCTTCTAATTAGCCACAATTCATATCAATGCATAGCATTCATCCTCCCATGTTTTTTGCCGAAAAAATTAAGAAAATCGGTTGATAAACAAGCGAGAAATGAACTTATCAGTGCATGAAAATGGTTCTGAGAAAAATGCATTTCAAAATTTTAGTTCTCATAGAAACCAATGGTACAATGATATCTAAAACATTATTTATTCTTCCTTTTAATTTGGTTAGACAATCAACATTGGTTTTTATGAAAGTCTAGCATATTTAGAAAAGATTGACATCGAAAAAAAAAATTCAATTTTTTTCAAAAAGTTTTTGTTACCTTAGTGACATCACTAATGTTTCAAAATATTTTTGATAAGCTAAAACATTGGTGTAGCCCATTAAATATGGCATTTTATTATTGAAATAGCGTGTCTTTTGTTCAATCTTTACATTGGTGTTAAAAAGATAATCTTTTTGGAAATGCATTAAGAAATATTTGATGATTAAGAAATTTCAACTTTTTTTGAAAAATGGCGGGAAATTTGAATATTTGAGAAATGAAATGCTCACAACTTTTTTTTGAAATTTTTTTTTTGTTCAAAAATCTCTAAAATCACTTTTTAAGTCCTGACAAATAGTAAATGAATGAAAAAATAATATTTTCAAACTTTAGACGGGGACTTTAAGCAGAACTAGAAACATGTCAAATGCAGAAGTTGGAACATGTCAAAGGCAGAACTTGGAACATGTCTTAAGCAGAACTTGAAACATGTCAAATGCAGAAGTTGGAACATGTCAAAGGCAGAGGTTGGAACATGTCAAAGGTAGAAATTTGAACATGTCAGTGGCAGAACTTTGAACATGTCAAGCCAAACTTGCGGATCTGGAACATTTCATAAACATGGTACTTGAAACATAATTATATGCAGATTATGTATATTTCATAAGCAAAACCTAGAACCTATCATTAGGGGATCCTAAGACACATTATCACCAGATCTAAAGTATTCAGTGTTCTCCATTAGGCAAAATGGAATAGTATGACAACTTGGATACAAATTCCACCAATCAGTTTAGATTGGTACATCTCTTTGCAATAGTCTTATATATAAATACATGGGCTCTCTAATTTTTTTTCGGCTTTTATAGCCCATTTATTTCATTTACATTATACACAATACACATAATAATATATTAAAGAAGAAAAAAGTGCCGGAAAAAAAGTAATAAATTCTCTAATTTTACTTATCTGTTTTGTCACCACACAAAAAAAATTCTGAGGTAATCGACTACTTAAAATGTCAAGACCCCTTTTCAATAGTATGGTTTTGCTACTTGAAAATATAATGTAATTACAATAGTAGAAAAGTGTTCCTCTGATGGATATGTAGAACAAATGAAGATAGAACACATGGAACACAAATGTTTGTAAAATGTTCATATAATATTGTGCAATAATATCCAGTAAGAGACCTTACAATCAAATTGCAGATTCTCCAGTTTTGAGTGGCAAACAGAGCTGTCGTATCTTTGGTGTACAACTACGAGGAATTGTATTTCTAAGTTCTAGACTATACTGATCAAAATCAGGGTGAATGATAAAATCGGTAATTTTCTCATGTTATTTCAAAATATTCCATGGGGAAATAACGTGGGATTTTTACATTTTTAGTGTTCCTGCAAAAAATATTTATAATGCAGATATGGGGTAAATTTCAGAAATCTGAAGAAAGGATTAAAAGTAAAATTTGTTTCTTCAGGTTCCTGCATTTAGAAAAAATCATGTAAAATCTCGAATGAATGAAAGTTTGCGGTCTTCTGATGTGCATAACTAGAACCATACAAATATTCAAAAATATTCTTAATGTCACAAAATTTTTAAATAATGTATCATTCTAGAACTGATTTTCTATAAAAAAATTATCCCAGACAAGAACATATGTATTGTTGAAGTAAATATATTTGTTGTACACTCCTCCCTTCTTCCCCAAGTGTGTTTAAATCCAAATATTGCTGCTTATTTTTTTCTTTTGGACTTGTTTTCAAAAATATGACATGGTGAGCAATTTTAGAAATGTGGTCCTATATTTTCAAAAATCACAAGCCTGAGAAGGAATTTTCAAATATTTTTGCACTTCATGTCAGCTTTGTGATCTTATTTGTTTATTTCATCAAAGTGCTGTATGTACTTGTTGAATACTATAGTTTGTTCAATTGATTAATAACGCAGTATAAACCATATGTAGCCAGTCAGTTTAATTACAAAGCTTATTTATTACTGGAATTGTAAATAGTGATCTGTATATATGTACAGTGTATATAAAGTATATGACGCAAATGTACATAACAATGTAAATGTATAGTCGGGGCTGGTAAATTGTACAATATTGGGAGCTTGGAAATTTGAATATACAAAATGTACATGTTTGTATACACTCTAGGCAATGTAATTGATAGTAGCTTTCTTCAGATTATTTCTAATTCATGGTCTATGATGACATCTGTCATTTGAATGGAAGAATCATTTTTATGTCACCACCAAAAAGTGGTGACATATTGTTATGGTCTCCGTTTTTTGACGGCGATCAGTGGTTGGCGATCGGTGGTCGGCGGTTGGCGATCGGTTGGCGATCGGCGTCTGTAACAAATTCTTACAACTTCCAATAACTTAACAAATACTGTTTAGACTGACTTCAAATTTTTTCAAAATCATCTACATGTTTCAAGAAGTTCAAATCTCACTTTATATTTAAGATTTGACCTTTAATGACTTTTTCAAGGTCAAAAAGGTGTTTTTCAACTTGCTTCAAATTGACCAATTCTTTCTTTCAAAATAATCTACAAGTTCTTAGAAGTTCAAATCTGACTTTGTTTTGAGATTCCACCTTCAATGACCTTCTCAGGGTCAAAAAAGGTCTTTTCACAACTTGCTTCAAATTGACCAATTTATTTTTTCAAAATCATCTACAAGTTCTAAAAAATTCAAATCTGACTAAGATTGAACTCATAATATTGTGAGCAACAAGGTGGTGACATTTTGTCCCTTGTTATCTTTGTCGTTTTAACTAATATTTTTGTCACTCTCTGTTTAGTGCCAGTGATTAAAATACATCAAATATTTCAAAATTACATTCTCCCATCAACTGATGTGCTAAGTTCGTTCTGGGTCTAGAATTCAAGAATTTGCTTGTAATAGGTTGCAATCATATCTGTGTATAATGAATCCAAATATAAAATGTTATGTGATGTTTGGGTATATGGAACATCAAGAAATAAAAAATAAATATATAAAAGCAAAAAATATATTTTGTACCTAATTAATACACAAATATAAGATGATATTTTCTAATTTCAATTTTTTAGTATCATTGTCATGATCTCATGTTAGATATATTGTCCTATACTTTTTACTCCATTTTTTACTTGAAATGGTGATCACGTATACCGATGTAGAACTGTTTACTTTATGTAGGTTAGATTCACGCTATGACGTGAATGTAACGTAGGTTTCAGGTCTAAAGCGTATGAAATGGACCTCTGTGAAGATTCTCATGCAGAAGACAAATAGATTGCCACCTAAAACACAATGCATAATCATTTAAAACACATTATGCACAATCAATTAAACACGATGAACAATCAATCAATACTCCATGCACAATCAATCAATACACGATATACAATCAATCAATACTTGATGAACAATTAATCAATACACGATGAACAATCAATCAATACAATAATCAATCAATCTTAATCAATAATCAATCAATCGTTCTTCAAATTAAAAGATACTTAATAAAAATAGATCTATTTTACTACATGTAGGTGATAACACACAAATCAAGATCCCTCTATGGCCCATTTACAAAAATATTTGACTTTGCAGAAGAAATTTTATTTTAGGAGTCGAAATGTAGGCTTTCTTATCTTGGGAAAATCAATGTGCGTACTACTTACCCATTGCTACAAGGGCCAGTCTAGGGAGCCATCCCACTAGTCCAATCTGCGTAGTATAGACATATCCAATCATTGCCAAATAGAATGCACAAACATTTACAATCTGAAATGAGAGGATTGATGAAAAAATATAGTTGGACAAAAAGGAAATACCCAGAACCTCGCTCCCTATTAAAGGTTTTTGTGTGCGTTTTTAATGTGATTTAAAATGGTTAATCGCGTTTTTAAAAATCACTTGTAAAGTAGTCTTCCTTCAAGACACTGGACTATCTACTCTAACGACTGGTTAGTCCAATAGGTAGTCCAGGGTCTTGAGCAAGACTACTTGTAAAGTTACTGTTGTCATGAGATTGCGTGTCGGAAATGTGGAGCCAACTGTATGAGCTGCGAAGAGTGACTTGTCGGTGGTCGGCCACTGGCGGATTAGGGGCAATTAATGGGCCTTTTGGGCCTTGTTTTTTAATTTTACTCAAAACTATCAAGGAAATTGGACTTTGGGTCCTGAGTTTTTTCGTTTTAGGGCTCAAAATACTTGTCAAGTCTTCAAAATCAGTTTTTAAATCCGGCCTTGTCGATGGTCGGTCTTTTTTGCAAACCTCTAAAAAGAGATTACAGATAAATCAAGAAATTCTTACCAAAAGTGTCATAGTAAATTTTTGGGTGGTCAGCACTGTAGGGTTCGACTCTGTGCTTATGTATGTATAGTGTACCAAATCATTTATAACAGTACCAGCTAGGAAAATATAACAGAACGTTGAAAAGTAAATATATGCATGCTTTTTTGTAAGCTTGTGAATCCTGGATTTGACGTCATAGCACGTTAGTGTCATTCCCACAGAATTCTTTAATATTTAAGCATTTTTTCGATTTGTAAGTCGTCATCCATCCACGTTTTAACGGTGTTTGGTTTCAGCATTTTGATACTCAGTCGTACATCCTGTTAGCCATTTTGTAAACATAAAACGTCACGTCAATTGATACCATAGAGATAATCATATGACGTCATGTATTGTATTGTATTAGGTTCCCATGGAAAGAAGCACATGACGTCATACAATTTGAGACATAGTGCTGCAAACAACAATACACCCATGGTAGTAAAATAAATGGTGTATTGAACATTTTGTTGTGGCTAGGAATACTAAGCCAACGATTTTATCCCAAGGCTGTGGCTAATATTTCATTGTTCGATAATATACGAATATCGCTATTATGTTATGTTATTTTATTTACCATCTACAAGATGAGTACATATACATAAATATGTCACAAAAATAAATATACGAAAAATACTACAAGTTATATGTATGTTAGATGAGCAAAATTAATATGCTCATATGTCAGAGCATGCTATTATTTACAAGGATTTAAGAAGGTAATCCCTTCTTTTGTGCATTTCATATATCGTGTCCAGCAATGGAAGCATCATTTCAGGATCATATTCGCTCCCTCCACCGAAAATGAAACATATGAATTCACAAAAGTTGTTGACTCCTAGTTTATATAATTCACTAAATAGATTGTATCTTATATCTATATACGCTGGGCACAATAGTAAAAAATGCTGTACGTCTTCAGTGACATTTAAATTGCATAGTAAGCATACTCGTTCAGACATTGGTTGTCCGTAATTAAATATCCTGTATGTTCCTGATATCATTTTCATTATAACTTTACATTGTGGTAAGCGTCTTGGAAAACGCCTGGCAACTTCCCACCATAAAAATGGTTTTAAAACAGTGAAACATCTCAAAATTGGTCTCAGTGTTGGATATAAGGAGCTAAGAACGAAAAAGCGTCTCATCTCAAACGACTTGACAACGTTCATGACTT